GATATGATGGTGTTCTCCAAATAGTACCAGATGCTGGTATATTTATCTTGGGACCACGACACTTAAATGAGTGTCTCATTTCATATATACTTAATCCATCACTACAGGAGAGGACCTCCTCCAGATGCCATCTTAACAGGAGGTGCATTCCTCACGATAGAGGATTCAGCTTTTTCATGCGGTGGAATTCGCTCCCATTGCATGGCACACAGGTTCTGTCCCTCTTGTCTCTTTGGTACCTGCTGAGAGTTTTTCTTTCAATGAAAATTTTAAATGGAGATCTTTATCCCAGTCTGATTCTGTACAGGAACTATTTTAACTGTTTTTATGTCGGATTTGTTGTTGTAGTAAAAATGTGTTATTTTTTGCAGGTGGAATGGTTTTTAATTGTTAAAAATATTGAATTGAAAATTGAAATTGAACTTAAATATTTTATTGTCACTTGTACAACTTGTATACAGTGAGATATGGACCTGGTTTAACTATCTGTTCGTTTGTTTCATGAATGTACCCGTTTTGTTTGTTTTAGAACTGTGCATTTTATTGTTGCAACCAACTCTGGAGCCTTGTGTTGAAATGTGGGTAAGAAATCTAATAAAATAAAGGTTTGGGTTATAATCCTATTGTCTCATGGATGACTGATTTCTCCAATTGCCTCTGACCTTTTTCTTTCTAATCTATCCTGTTATTTGGAGAAGGGCAATGTCCATAAATTGTATGTTTTCGCTTGACTCAAACACAAGGATAGCAGCCAGGTTTAAAGCCGAGATAGTACAGTGTTAGCATCTCCCAATTATTTAAATCTGCTCCTCAAAGAAACAAAAAACATCCTGGTACCTGGGCAAGGTCTCAGGCTACAGGCCTTTGCAGCTCAAGAAGTGAAGCGGACTGTGGGGCTGAGATTAAGGGACTGGGCAGACCGAAGTCCAGATCTGGCCACTCAAACAAATATAATTTAAAAGAGAACAGTATCACAAGTAGTGATAGCTTTAAAGCAGGATTAGACCAGAAAGGTCAGGCTATAATGGCTGCTAACTCCAATGGCTGTGTTCTGCCTCCACTGGTAGTTTGCCTCTGCAGGCCAGTTGCTGGGAATTACAAATGGAGAGTGCGTTGCTGCACTTGTGTCTTGATTTGGGGTTTCTCACTGCGAGAAAAGAATGTGGAATTAGATGGACCTTTGGCCTGATCCAGCAGGGCTCGCCTAATGTAGCAACTGCAAAAGCAAAAAAACCATCCCTGGCAACAGAAATACATTAAAGGAGCAAAGAGGAGGCAGGTCACAAGCTGTTTTTGCTGTATCAAAAAGAAAAGATACATTGGTATCCTCTTGAGTTTATGTGAAGTCAGGGTCAAAAGGCATCAGGCATTCCTCACAGAATCAAGGGCAGGCCGGTACTTGCTTCCTGGCTCAGACTTTGAGGCCTGCCTCTTCCTTCCCCAGATGAACTGGGACAGCAATACTGGACTAAACATGCAATCCTCAAAGCATTTCCATTTATTTCAGGGAAGATTACAGTGAAGGCCAATTAGGAGTGTAGCTGAAGTAATCAAATGCAGTTGTGAATAAGTTTTGTTTTTAGAGCGCTGATTCACCACCCCCCAGTTCAGCCTGTGTACTTCTGAGCACATAACAAGATGCATGGGCTCCGGCCCTTCAGCTTCCAGGCCTCTTCAGGCTCAAAGGTCACACGAAACAGGGCTGCACTGGGCTTCTATGGATGCCTCTAACCAGGACTGCCCCGTCCATGAGGCAAGGGGAGGCGACTGTCTCAGGCAGCAAGAGCCACAGGGGCAGCAGATCTGTCCTCCCAGGAATGCTTTACTTGCTGAGGCTGCTGCCGCCATGGTGGTTTATCAGTTGCAGTGCGCTCCTTGAAGGCCGGATGTGCCTCGTCCTCAGCATCCCCACCCCCCGGCCACCTCTACCGTGGCTTCCGGGCAAACAGGAGGTGCTGCTGGTCTCCTCCCACCCTTGTTCCTGATGCAGAGCTTCAATCGCCCCCCTCCCCTAGCAGGAGCAGTGCCGTTTTTATGGTTCATCTCAGTGCCGAAGTATCCTGGGCCAGCCCTGCCTCCAGAGTGGTTACTCAGCTGCACATCCTGTCTCTTGCTCCAGTGTCAGTAACTTGGGCAGCTCAGTTTAAATCTGTAAAAGCAACTCCACTTCCTTGCTGAGGATGGATTAGTTTTCTACTTAAATTTCTAATGTGCTTTAGTCATAGTAATATAAAGTGACAGAGCAGTGCCACTGCAACTGCAAATGTAAGCTGCTTAGTGGCTTTTGGCGCCTTGACGCAGGGAAATCTTCAATGCTCCAGATTATATTACACTACACTTCTATCCACTTTTCTTCCATGGAGCTCAAGATGACATACAACTCCAACATCCCTGAGCACCAGTTCTGCTGGCTGGGCTGGTGTAAGTTGGGAGTCCAAGAATATCTGGAGGGCCCCACAGGTTCCCCACAGACCTGCGACCAGAGAGTCACTCCTCTTTCCAGGACCAGAAGAACCACGACCTGATCATCAAACTGTGATTGGTTCTGAGGCAACAAGAACTGGGCCTTCTTGGTGGCTGCTCCCTTCTTGGAGAAGCCAGACTGGCTTCCTCCTTGTCCTTCCGCCAGCAGGTGAGGACTTCCTTGGAACAGTATTTTGGGAACTGACTGCTTATTTTACCTGTAAGCCACCTTCAGTCTCTGTCAGGGGAAAAGGTGCAGTGTAAATATATTCTTATATTAACTGGAACTCTTACGGTTTTTTAAATGGCATACTGAGCGTAGAATTCAGTCAATATTCTCTTAGGTGAAGAGAGGATTCTTATGGGTGGGCTGAAGCCAAATGAGGCAGTTGACAGAAATTGAGATGCAGCCCCTATAACTGCACCTTCTTTAATTAGGGTTAGCGATGTTGGAAGATTTAGGGCAGATTTTTAAAAAACCTCCCCCTTCACGCAACACACCAACTACAGAACTCTGCTGGTTCTGCCCCACCTCCGCGGCGAGCTGAGGGCCTCGGGCATCCGTGGGGGCTCCCGCCTTGCCTCTAGTGCTACGTTCCGAAGGCGCCTCCCCGGAAGGACAAGGAAGCCCCCCCGCGGCAGAAAGTGTCGGCGCGCCTTCTGGCAAGCAAGCCGGGCTGCGCCGGGCGCCCTGCCGCCCCCCCCTCGCTGTGCACGCGCAAAGCCCCCCCCCGCAAGAGGGCAGGCATTTCGGCCGCCCTTTGAAGTTTGGCCACGCGCTTCACTTCTAGAGACGGACGGAGCAGCAGCCGGACAGCCTGCGCCCAATGCAACTCGCGGAGAAGGAGATCAGGCGCCCCTTGGCGCTTGCAGGACCGGCCCTCCCTTCGCCGGAGGCGCGCCCGCGAAAGTTGGCGAGAGGCGGCCTTCTCCTCCGTCCCCCCCCCCGCTTCCCGGCATGCACCCCTCGAGCCCTCCCCCCGGCCGGGCCCACCCCCTCCAGCCCCATTTACGCCCCCGCCAGGTGGGAGCGAGCCTTCTCCCGCGGCGCCTCGGAGGGCAGCGAGCATGGCTTCAAGGCAGCAGCTGGGTAACGGGCTCGGGGGCCGAAGGGGCTTTTGCGCTGCGCTCTCGGGCTGCGGGACGGGGAGCTCAGGGCGCTTCGGCAAGTTGGGCAGCAGCAGCAGCAGCAGTAGCAGCGTCCGCCCACCTGCGCGCGAGGGGCGCCTGGCTCCTTCGGGCTCGCTCCCGGGTTGCAAATCCCAAGCTCGTCCGGGTCGGAGCGAGCCGTGCTGCTTCCGGAGGGACCCAGATTTAGGGCCGCAGCGACAGAGCCCCAGTAGCCGTGTTTTTAATAAATATATATATATAAAGGTGGCGTGGCTGGAAGAGTTAAAGTTTCCGTCTCTGCTGCGGAATCGAGGGTTAGGGTAAGAGTTGCGAAAGGCTCAGGAAAGGGCCACCCAAATTATCAAGGAGATGGAGCAACTTCACCCCCAATGAAAAAAGATTGCAGCATTTGGGACGTTTTAGCAGGGCCGGCCCACCCAGGAGGCAAAGTGAGACAACTGCCTCGGGCAGCAGATCCCAGGGTCAGTCCTTCTCCCGGTCCCCCCCCCCCCCCCGGTGTGGATGTTCCCTCGCCCCTTCTTCCCTGGCAGGGAGGAAGCTGCCATTTGGGGGTCAGGTGACCAGCCCTGCTGATAGAAGCTTATAAAAATACTCATAGGGTGGAGAAAGTGAATAGGGCATGGGGAGGCAACCACAGGCCCAGGGGCCAGATCCGTCCCAATCGCCTTCTCAATTCGACCCGTGGACAGTCCGGGAATCAGCGTGTTTTTACATGAGTAGAATGCGTCCTTTTATTTAGAACGCATCTCTGGCTTATTTGTGGGGCATAGGAATTCATTCATTCTCTCCCCCCAAATATAGTCTGGCCCCCCACAAGGTCTGAGGGACAGTGGACTGGCCACCTGCTGAAAAAGTTTGCTGGTCCCTGGGATAGGGGAACGTGTTTCTCCCTCTCTCGTAGCACTGGAAGTTGCTGACATCCAACAAAGGAGAATGTTGGAAGATTTATGACAGATAAAAGGTGGTCCTCCTTTGCATAGTGCACAATCTATGGAACTATGGAACTCACTCCTGCAAGAGATGGCAACTGTCACCAATTTGGGTGGTTTTAAAAGACCATTAGACAAATTCATGGAGAAGAGGGCACTTCTGGTTAGCCCCCGTGGGAACAGGATGCTGGACTAGATGGGCTCTTGGCCTGATCCAGCAGGATCCTCCTTTGTTCTTGTGTGGTGAAACTGTTTCTGGACTGTACCACCAAGCTGTAGGCAAAAAGTTGGGAGGGGGGAATTGCCTAGAAAGTGCAGCGCTTTGGAGCCTAAGTTGCAAATGTGCAAAATAACAAAGGAGTCATCACTGAAGAAACCTCTTGTGTAGGGATGGCATAAATAAAATAAAATAATAAAATAAAACAAATCAGTGTTTCCCATTGTTTTGCTTCTGAAAACTTGTGCCAGTTACGTTTCTGGACAGACAGTACAAGACATTGTAAGAAGATGGTAAGAAAGAAATAGTGCGTTGCTGATAATGCCAAGATTGCAGGTTTGATCCCTGTGTGGAACAGATGCCTAGTCTTGCATTCAAGGGGTTGGACTAGATCAGTGCTTTCCAAACTCTGCACATTAGTGTGTTGGCTGCAGTGCGTAGGTGTGTTGCACAAACGCTCCCCGTGCTCCTCCGAGGGCTGGAAAGGGGTTAGTTTCACCTCCAGTTTGCGAGTAAAACTGAATTGCTGTGTCGTGAAGTTATGCATGTCTAAAAAATGTGTCACCAACATGAAAAGTTTGGAGAGCTCTGGACTAGATGATCTTCAGGGTGCCTTCCAGCTACAATTCCATGATTCTGTGACAGGGCGGCTCCACTGCGCTGTGCTTCCATGTGCACTCTGTGCCTTGACCTTGAAGAGGTGCTTTGTGTATGTGTGAACCTTTGATAAGGAGTGTGGAAATGGGCTTCAGCATCCTGCCTTCTTCCTTGGGGCTGAGCCACACATGATATGTGAGATCTGTGATCAGATTCCCCACCTTTTGTTGTTTAATTTTAAAATGGGAACAGAAGACTCAAACTTTCTAGGAGCCGTGCTTCAGAGTGAGGCCCTCTGGAGTTTCTTCAGTTTAAACAGGCCTTGCGCCATGAACCTAAAGGCATTTAGTCGGAAGGCAAGTCCATTTATGTGACTGCAGCTTATTTCTTTGCTACAATTAGCATGTTTGCTACATATCTTTCCTCTGAGGAGCTCAAGGCGGCCTGCCTGGTTCTTCCTCTCCCCGTTTTTATCTTCGCAGCAGCCCCTGGCGCAAGGGAGCCCAGTGAGCATCGTGGCTGAAGGCGAACTGGAACCCTGATTTCTCAGGCCTCCCACCACCACGCCACACTGGCTGGCTATAAATTATTCCATATAAATGTGTTTAGGATTGCAACCTTGCACTTTGATCCTAAACATACCTATATAGAAAATTTCCGCTGTCTGCTTCCAAGTTAAGAGTGCACACGACTGCAGCCTTATTATGCATGCTTGACTCCCCGAGCTGCGCACAAGGAAATACAAGTGACTCATTGTGTATTTTGGGGTTCTGCTACATGCTAACAGTCTTTTTAAAAATGCTGATTATCTTTTGCTTTCCTTCTAGCTTTATTCAGTGTCTCAGACAAGACCGGCCTAGTGGAATTTGCAAAATGCCTCAGTTCCTTGGGTTTGGGTTTGGTCGCTTCTGGAGGAACCGCAAAAACCCTTCGGGATGCAGGCCTGAACGTCAGGTAAAAGCTGTTTGAAGGTTCACAGAATCATGCCCCAGATGAAGTGTTTCAGAGTAATTGGCATTGCTTGCTTCTGCATTGCAAACTTGAGATTGGGTTTGCCACTTCACTTGTTAACGTCAAACCATGGATTTGTTTCATAGAAACGAGCTCTGTGATTCTGTGTTTCCTGTGCAATCCCTTCATCCACTCCTTTCTTAGTTACGTGCTAGTTTGCATAAATCCATCGTTTTCTGTTAGTTTGCCAGTTTGGGTGAAGTGGCAGACTCTAGTCAGTTCAAACCAGAGAGTAAGCAAATTTAAGTAAATCTCTGCATATTGAGCTGACAGATCCTAGATGATAACTTAATTTCCTTTGCTGTGTGCTGTCCCTGTTCTCTGGGATTTTTCTCACGTTGGACTTCTGTCACAGCTTGAACAGAAATCCTTAGCTCGGCGTCACAGCACCTGCGTTGCATAAAGAAGATCCCAGGTTCCAGCCCCAGGATCTCCAGCCAGGGCAGGGAGTATTCCCTGCCTGAAACCCTGGCGAAGGTGCTGCCAGTCAGAGTAGACTATATTGAGCCAGATGGACCTGTGATGTGACCTGGTATAAAGATTCAAAGGACCTGCAAATTAGTGTTGTGCATATATTTTTGCCTCGGTTTCTTGTATCCTGCAAGTATTCATGTGGGGGTATGTGAAAAAGGAGGCCAGTACAAGACTTTGAAGAAATGTTCATGGGAGAGGGATGAGAGGCTTCCATTTTTACATTTATTTACATATGATGGCATGTATGTTCTGCCTTTCCTTCATGGTGACGTATGTCGTTCTCTCCTTTCCCATTTTGTCCTCATAACCTTCTTCTCTGGGCAAAGCATGGACTATACCACTGAGCTCTCCACCCAGATTTCTAAAGGTGTGGTTTGTTTCCACATAAAAATGGCTGCTTTGAAATATAGTCGTAACTTGGAAGTCGAACAGAATCCGTTCCGGAAGTCTGTTCAAAAAGCTTGAAAACTGAAGCATGACTTCTGATTGGCTGCAGGAAGCTCCTGCAGCCAATCAGAAGCCACAGAAGCCCTGTTGGACGTTCGGCTTCCGAAAATAGTTTGCAAACCGGAACAGTCATTTCCAGGTTTGCGGCGTTCAGGAACCAAAATGTTCAGGAACTAAGCTGTTTGACTTCCAAGGTACAAGACAAGGTTGCTTTTCTTTCTGAAGATGGACTTTAAAGTGGGGGGAGAGAGTGTAATGTTGTCTTGAGTTTAGAATCCTTTAAATTCTTTGCTCAATAGCCTTTCCCGGTGAAATTTACTTTAATTAGAGGAAAGGGAGTGCATTATTTGGCTGTGGTCATGTGAAAGGGAACTAATGCTTTTTAGATGTCTAGAAAGGCTTTCTGAAATGAGCAGTTGAAAGCCTTTCTGTCCCTTTTCATGTAATCTGTCATCTGTTTGAGGCTGTGTGCCATTAAGAGAAGGAAATCCATTAAGATAGGCAAGCATTAAACAAAATACCCATTCAAGACCATGATAAAGGATTAGTCCAAGAGGAGGCAACACGTGCCTCCCATGGACATTTCCCTGGGCAAAAAGTTCATATTTTCCAACTCCGGTCTTTACTAAGTGATTTTTGGTCATCCTGTTGTACCATGCAAAGTATGTAGTATTTCTTAAAAAGAAAGGTGAACAGTGGTGGAACCGTAATGCGCTGGAGAGTGTGGAGCTGTGCATCATGGGCTCAATTCCTGAGCAATTTGCCCCATGATGCTTTTTTTCTTCTCCTCAGTTTCCAGTAAATTTCAGTTTATCTTCCCACCAACCTTGTGGTGTAGGCCAGTGTTTCACAGAGGGGCGAGGAAGCTGTCAAGTTGCCATGGATAGCTGTTGTATCTAGCTCTAAATGCAGACTTGGGTTTTGGGGTTTTCATGACTGGCTGCAAAGAAGTTGGGTAAAAAAATACTAAATTTTGCCTTTACCTTGGAAAATCATACATTGTTTAGATTAAGAGGAGCTCTGTTTCTAGGAGCTCAGACATTTTACTACAAGAACTCTTTTTACTTTATACCCAAGACATTATCATGACTGTACAGAGAACCTGTGGCTAAGGAGGTACTTTGCTTATATTCAGGAGAGTTTATTCAAATTCTAGCTTGGAAACGTTGGGTGACACTGAGTAAATAATCCTTTTTCAGCTTCCATATTTCACCTGCACATTTAAAGTAGTGATTTATCACAGCATCCTTGTCAGGCCAAACAAGGCTGGCCAAGCCAATTCATATATATGCTACAGTGACTGCCCAAAATTCAGTGGGTATCCACATGGTCAGTGCTGGCAATCCCTGTTGCATTTTGTGAAAATAAGCATGTGCTTCTTGACTTTTTGACATTCATTTAGGCAATAGTTGCTGCTGCATTTTCAGACATAGACAGAATAGACATTCATATTGGATTGTCAACATTCATGAAATAATTTTTTACATTCACCAATTTTTGGATGTTCACTAGAACAGATACATTAAAAGTGTTATTTGATGGAGAGAAGAAGAGATGAAAAGAATCTTCTACCATGTGTTTCATATTAACCAAATACCTATTATACCATCTCTATTGGCAGATCGGTCTTTTAGTCAAACAGTTTATTGCACCGAAGGAGTACTATAGAAATAAAGTAACTGACTTCTGACTTTCTTCTGTTTCTCTATCACTCTCCCCCCCACCCCTTTGCACAGAGATGTTTCTGATCTCACTGGCTTTCCGGAAATGTTGGGAGGGCGTGTGAAGACCCTTCATCCTGCTGTTCATGCAGGTAGGTTGGTCCTAACGTGCTTCTGTTGGCTGTATTTTATGGAATCTGTGTGGCATCTGGGGAAAGGTGGATCTGCTGAAGTTGCACATCGTCTAAATCATGGCGGCGGGAGGGGGGGCGGTGATTTATGGCCTCTGGTCTCACTTTATGCCATCCCTGACAACACTTATTCCAGATTAGTCAAGGCTTTTGCTTCTGGCTCCACCCATCATCGGCTCTGGCCACTTCAGCATGCAATCTCAGTAGATTACTCGTTGCCAGGGAAAAGGCTGCTTACCCCATTTTCAAGCTTTCCTCTCACAGAGGTGATCCACTTGGGTCTGGGCTGTTTTGCTCCAAGCTCCGTATGGGGACCTGCATCCCTGAATGCGTCCTCACAGAATAATTCCTTCCCCATAGAAATAGAGGGTGCCGCCCCTCTCCCTGAGATCCAGTATTGTGTGTGTGTGTGTGTGTGTGTGTGTGTAGAAACTGGAATTGGGCCTAAATACTGTGCATCTTCCTGGAGGATAATCTGTGAGCCTTATTGAGGCCCATGATTCTGACTACAGTGGTACCTCGGTTTACGAACTTAATCCGTTCCGGAAGTCCACTCTTAAACCAAAACCGTTCTTGAACCAAGGCGTGCTTTCCCTAATGAGGCCTCCTGCCGCCAGTGCCCTTCCACTGTTCGGCTTCCGTTCGAAGACCGAGGTAAAGTTCGCAAACCAGGACACTACTTCCAGTTTTGTGGAGTTCGTAAACCGAATAGTTTGTTAACAGGGCTGTTCTTAAACCGAGGTACCACTGTAGCCTATGTAAGTTTTCCACAGTGATTATATGTTTGTGGTTCCTTGCTTACAACTCCTTAAAAAGATTGGGTGTTCATTTTAGAAGCATAAAGTCAAAAGTTTTGTGGCTCCTTACAGCTGAATTAAGATTTGGAAGGGATCACGTGCTACAGTTCTCTCAGGATAGTGGTGTCGCTCCAAAATGCATTCAAGAAACTACATATTTGTTTAAGTCTCCCTTCCTAGTCAAAAACTGCCTTCCTCTGCAAAGGTAGAATGTTGGGAATTGGCATATCAGGGAAAGGCTAGGCTGAGTTTTCTGGGTGTCAGGGTTTTTTTGTTTTGTTTTAAGCATATGTGAGCTTTCATTTATGTGATTCTCACCTGCGTTCTGAAGTTATATAGTCCCCACAGGGCAGTACTATGTCATTTGTCTTTATACATAGCTCAGCCACTTTCCTATAACATGAGCTTGATGACATGAGGGATTCCCTTCCCCCTCCTTTTGAAAGACTTGGCGTTGTGAAAATACGTTGGTTTAGAAATCCAAAAATCAATGGCATGTCAAATACTGCTAGAAACGTAGGCCAGTATTCTGTCATAATTTGGAAGCCTTAAAAAATCCAGAGGCAACTTTTTCTAAGCTCCATTCCTGTGCACAGTTACTAGGGAGTATTCCATTGAACCTGCTGGGTCTGAGTAGGCTTGAATAGGCTTGTGCTGTAAGAGCAATTCAAAGTCTGAGTCAAGTAGCTGCCTTTGAGACTTAAGGCTTCAACCCTTTATAGACCTGGATAGGAATAAGCCCAGTACACATAGTGGGTCTCACTTAGATTTAAAAATACTTTGGCTCATGCTGTCTCAACTTTGATAGCTATATGCTTAGACTTAACTGGGATGTTCATGAGTAATATTTGAGTAACTAGGAAAGTATTTGGCACTTATGTCAGTTATGAAATCTCTACAGGAGAATCTGGCATTCTCAGACTTAGCTAATCATACTTTGGTTTTCCTACTCCTTTCTCTAATTCTTTTATTCCCCCCCCCCATTAGGTATTCTGGCTCGGGACATCCCACAAGATAAAGCTGACATGGATAAATTGGATTTCAGTCTTGTAAGGTAAAATGTTTAAAGGGTCATTGTGAGTTAATAAATAATCATGACATAAACCTGCAACCAATCAAATGTTCATTTACCGTAGACACCAGGGCTTCTGCTCCATAAACAAGCCTTTATCTGTGTGTTAGAGTAAAAAATAGGTCAGATGCATAAATTTTGTGAGATGGTGTCATTGTCATCATTTTTGGAGCGAAGGAAAAAGGAGAAAAAATAATAGCGTAAGAGACTTAAAGGCTCTATACTTCTATTCATTGTTTTAATTTTGAAACACTGGCAAACATACCCTTTTGAGATTTACACAGTACTGTTTAGATTTCAACATGTAAGTCAACTTCAAACGTAAGAGTGCATAAATTCAGGGCCAGAGGCTGAGGACCCTGGGGCTGAAGACTTGGTCTGGGCACGCCCCCCCCCCACGCCCCCTTTCAGTTTTGCGCCTCTTGCCCCATCCCTTAACTTAGAGGCAGCACAATAATTCCTCAGCTTCATTCGATTGGCCAACTTGATGTGGGTGTGGTGCAAAGTGTGACTTTGGACGTCAAACAGAAGTTATTCATTAAATGGAAATCAGAAAGTTCAGCATCAAAGTTAAATAAAAGTGATTCTTAACTGGCCAGTTTTGTGCAAAGCACAGTGGAAACGTAACGTGGGTCACTGTCTGGCAACTGGTCACCTGATTCTGTACCATCAGCACCCAGTGACCTGGACAGATGACTTTTAGTGTTTTATATTTCTGGGCCACCTTAATGATACTGGGTTTTTTAACCTAATAAAGGGCAATATGGGCACAATCCAACCAAAATATTTGGTCCCTCTTACTGATTTCAGAGGAGAATTAAGCATATGTGTAATGCTCTTTCCCCCATCTCCTGTTGGAACTAGTGGGTGGATTGTTCCCATAGTTCTCATTCTGTCACAATCTCAGCAGTGTAGGTCATCTGCTGTTTGCCCACTGCTTCCTTTCAACTGGGTTCCGTATGGATGAAATGCATGTTCCTCTTATTTGGTGGGCTACCTGAAAACAACTTTAAGGTGATGACCTGACTCTGGATTGCCAGATTGAGCCAGGTAGTGTTGCAAAGGCTGCTCCCGTCCTGCCTTTTGAACCTGCCCTTTGGAAGAGCAGCTGCTGGGGGGTGGCTGTCCTGAGTGCCCCATGTCAGGGTCTTGTTTCTGCTTTGCTTCAGCAGGGATCCGATAAATGATTGCTTTGCATTAGGGCAGGGATGGGGAACTGCACCCCCTACAGATGTTGCTGCATTATAGCTGCCATCCTTGCTGGAGTCAAGGACCACATTTTCCCTCAGATGGATATGTCTGGGGTACTGCATACCAGTGTTGCAGGCGGTGGAAGCAGAGCCACAAGTCAGCAGAGCCAGAGCTTGTAGTTGCTCCCTTGTTTGTTTCTGCCACCCTCTTATCCCCTCTTTTCATTCCTTCCTTCCTGTTGACAGTTCCCCCTTTCCACAAGAAAGCTTGGCATGGGTGGGTGCAGGGAAGGAGTCTGATTCTCAGGGATCATGTGTGGAGGGGAGGGGTAGCCCTTCCTTAAGCTGCCGTCCCCTATGAATCACACGCACACATATCACAGAGGGGTTTGGCTTAGCAGAGCGGGGCTCCCACTTGCATGAACAGGATGTCCCGCACTTTTAAAGTGGGCGGCTGTGGCCAATTTGGGGAGATGTGGGCTGGCTTCAAGGTGCCGTGGGCTACATCAGCCCCATAGCTCTGCAGTTGCCTGTCTGAAATGAACAATTTAAAGCCATTCAATCTTCTTCCTTCCAGAGTTGTAGTTTGCAACCTCTACCCCTTTGTCAAGACAGTCTCATCTCCAGGCGTAACTATCCCAGAAGCAGTTGAACAGATTGACATAGGTAAGTCAAAGGAACATTGGTTTGAATGGATTGTGCCTTGCAACTTTGTGCCAGCAACTTTGGGGCTGTCACTGCTTCATCTTTTCCTTGAAAACAGACTTCAGGGAGGGGTGTGGAAAGGGATGCATGTGTGCAAACCCACCACCGCTGGGTATCCCAATGTTTGTCTTGCAATGCTGCATTTCTGGCCACGTGGTGGCTTTTCTGTGACCTGGACAAGCAGAAACGGAATTGGAAATGGTTCCTTGGACAAAAAGGGTCCTTAAAATCTATTTTGTATGTAGTAATTAGCTGAATTTTTCTAAAGGTTCTCTTTCCGCCAGAGAAATTTTCATAAATGATGAATTTACTTTGAGAAGCCAGTGCAGAAACCGTTGCATTATCCACCTTACCCAACGATGAAGCTTTGCTGACTCAATGGACTTCCATGCACACAGTGTGGCTTCGGCTCCTGTCCTGTCCCCTCCAGTCCCCCCCCCATCAAAGTTGACTCCAGGGGGTTGAAGGACCCTCTGCAGCATATTTTGGAGGGAGGGAGCATGGAGGGGAGGGAAGTAAAGAGAAGTCCCATCATAGTGGAACTGCACCTATATGGTGCATCGGATACAACCCAGTGGTTGTAATACAATCTGTTGAGTTGTTGGAAGGCTGGCTGTAGAACACATGCTATAAATCCTGCAAACCCTGTGTGCGAGAGGAAATGAGTTGTATGTGAGATGACTAGATTTGGTGTGCCTGAGATGTTGTATAGCAAGGTTAGGGAGCCTGAGGGCCTTCAGACTTCATTGGACTCTAGTACCCATGACCCCAGCCAGTATGGCCACTGGTCAGGAATGGTGGAATTTGCAGTCTGGCAACATCCGGAGGACCAGGGCTTTTTTTCAACTTGGTTCCGGCACCTCCCCTGAGGGTTCTGGCAGACCCTGGATGGATCAGCGCATTGCGTGTTTTTGAAGGTAGGACCTTAAGCTCCCAGTCTGTGATGTACAGAGGAATGGTAATGGTTTTCCTGGCTTCCTTTTAATTGCAGGAGGTGTTGCTTTACTGAGGGCTGCTGCAAAGAACCATGCTCGCGTGTCTGTTGTGTGTGATCCTGGGGACTATCCCACCATAGCAAAGGAAATGCAGGCGTCCAGCGCTAAGGATACGACTTTGGAAACTCGGCAGCAACTGGCTCTGAAGGTCGGCTGTCTGATTGTGCGTGCTGCTTTCCCGCAACTTTTCAAGTATGCTGGTGACTGACTAGTCTCAATGTGCTTTCTGCAGGCTTTCACTCATACGGCTCAGTATGATATGGCCATCTCTGATTACTTCAGGAAACAGTACAGCAAAGGGGTGTCTCAACTTCCCCTGAGGTATGGCATGAATCCACACCAGACTCCTGCTCAGCTCTACACATTGAGGTCTAAGCTTCCTCTTTCAGGTAGGATGCCTTGTAAGTCTGTTCTGAATAACCTTATAATGGTCCTGTAACAATGCACGCAGATCCTCCTTTCTGAACACAGTGCGTTCCCAGGGAATCATTAAATGAGCGTTTGCATAGAAAACTGATGATTTCCTATGGGAACATTTCTATAACCTGTGATTTGTCATCTCTTCCTCCATGATTTCTGCCTGAAACTGCTGCAGCCAATCAGCAAAAGCCATACAAAGGAAAAACTGAACTGCCCGATTTCTACTGCTCTTTGATTTCTTTGATCTCCCTCCCTCCACCACAGTTTCTGCCCCTAATGGCTGCCGCCAACCAGCAAAAAACAAACAAACAAGGAAGTGGGCAAACTTTGGCTGTTCGGATATCTGAATCAGCCATTCATGTAGTGAGGTTTGGGAATAATCCTTTGTGCTCAGATAACAGATTTTTTTTATAACAAGAGTTCTGATAGTGGGACCTGTGTACTAGGAAACAGTTATTTTGAATATACGGAACACATTTCTACTGTAATCTTTACAAGAACTACTATTAGGTAGGTCAGAATTGATATTTCCACATCACAGACTGCAGAGAACAACACTTATTCAGTACATTCAAAACAGGTAAAAGAGGTGAGATTAGGAGCTATACCTCATAATCTTAAGCACTACATTTCACCCGGCTCTCAGTAATGCTACTGATGGAGGCAGTGTGCTTTAGTGGTTGGAATGTTGTCAAGTTCTTCAAGCCCTCAGATGTTTCATTCGTTGCTCTTGTTAATGTAAAAGTGGAGGGGGACCTTCCTTCTTTCCTCCTTCCTTCCTTCCTTCCTTCCTTCCTTCCTTCCTTCCTTTTCCCTTGTGTTTACTACTGGTAGGATTAAAAGCAAAGAGAAATGGTTCATAACACTTTGTTCCTAAACTGAATGGCACCTTCCGCTTTGGCTGTTGGTGCCCCTACATAAGAAAGGCCTTTATGACTGAATTTACTTTTATGTTCTGCCTTCAGTTCTGAATGGCTCTCCTGGGTTTATAAACCTGTGTGATGCTCTGAATGCCTGGCAGCTGGTCAAGGAGCTCAAACAGGCTTTGGCCATTCCAGCCGCAGCCTCCTTCAAACATGTCAGTCCAGCAGGTAAGACTCTGACTTCCAAGGATGGGTCCCGGTTAACTTGCTTGGCTTTCTCCAGCTGTGCTATGTCTTAAAGGAGACTGTATTTCTCCTGTAGTGCAAAGATGCACTAATGTCCTATCTAGAAGAACTGAGACGCTTAACAGAAAGGTGAACTAGAGCTCTGTTGTGCGCTTCTCTTTCTTGGAGTAGCTTGTATGCGTAGAGTTGGCAGGGGCTTCAAAGGTCCCTCAGCCCCTTACCAATGCAGGAAATCTACTGCTATAGCTTCTCCAAAAAGTCACCATCCAACACCTGCTTGAAAACCTCTATGAGAGGATAATCCACCACCTTCCAAGGCCGTCTTTTCCAGTTTCAAATAGCTTAGTCCAAGTCTTTTTGTTCTTTCTTGTAGTTTGAATAATGGAATTGCGATTTGAAGCTCAGGTTCCGATATTTGCAGGTGGGGAGGGCCATACACAAATGGTACTGCATCTGTAGGCCTGTGGCCCTTCCAGAGGTTGGGCTGCAAAGCCCCCATTGGCCACAGCCACTGTAGAGAAACAAATAATAATTTATAATCATTTATTATTTATACCCTGCCCATCTGGCTGAGTCTCCCCAGCCACTCTGGGCGGCTCCCAATCAAGTATTAAAAACAATACAGCGTTAAATATTAAAAACTTGCCTTCAGATGTAATAATAATAATTTATTGTTTTTTTACAAAGCTCTTCTTACGGCCTTTACTTCTTTTGCCTACCAGGGGCAGCTGTTGGCATACCTCTCACTGAACAGGAAGCTCAAGTCTGTATGGTGCACGACATGCACAACACCCTGACACCCTTGGCATCTGCATATGCGCGAGCAAGAGGTGAGTGGGGACTCAGGGCAATTTACCGTATTTTTCGCTCCATAAGGCGCACCTAGTTTTTAGAGGGGGCATTCAAGAAAAACATATTATTTAAAGGGAGCGCTGAGCAGAGCCTGTCTGCATCCCAGGCTCTGTTCAGCGCTCCCTTTCACGAGCTGTGTGGAGCGTGTGTGCGGCGCTTGCAGGCTTTTCCCCGAGGAGGGAGAAGGGCAGCTCTTTAAAGGGAGCCCGGCTCTTGGGGGCTTTTCTGGGAGGTGGGGGAAAGGATAGAGCCGCGCTTTGTCCCTTCCCCCACCTCCCGCAAAAGCCAGGGATAGCCGCACAAAGCCTCCACAGGGCAGCGGAGGCTTTGCGCCACTAAGGCAGAAGCTAAAACAGCTAGAGGGAGCACTGCAGCGCTTGCTCTAGCTGTTCTGGCTTCTGGGGAAGACCACGAAGCCTCCTCAGGGCAGCGGGGAGCCTTCATCCTGCTGCCCTACGGAGGCTTCGTGGGCTACCCCAGAGCTGCTCAGGAGCGCAGGGCATCTGCGCGCAGCCTGTCCGTTTCTCCCCCCCCCCCCCAGCCCCAGGGACCACACATTCGCTCCATAAGACACACAGACATTTCCCCTTAGTTTTTAAGAGGAAAAAAGTGTGTCTTATGGAGCGAAAAATACGGTATAACATTAAAATGTGTTATAAAAATGTGACACCAGATGGCGTTGTAGAGCAGAATCCAAAGTCAATGGCCGATTGCCTTGGGAGCGTTTCCCCACTATAGCTTTTGATAATAGTGTTTTTAATATCTGTATAGATCCAGCCTGGGTTTTCATATCAGGGTTGCATCCATGCCTTTGATCTTACTGCCCTGTGTAGAATTATTGTTTTCCCTGTTTATAGCATGACATTGTGGGGCAGTGGTGCCCCATCTGTTGGAAATGGCCCCGGGCTGGTTAGACATTCCCCCCACATTGTGGCTCCTGGCTACAGACAGAAGAACTCCATGGAGAAGGGATTCATCTGCTAGTTAAGCAATTTTGTTAACTTGTGGTGCTTGGCAAGTACCACACAGGTTTGGCGACTTGGTTATTCATGCTTCAGCGAACCACCTACATCAATACTGTGATGTTGAAAATGTGCAGTTGCTACACTGAGCTTGCTTGCCCCCTGGGTAACTTGGGCTGCAGTTAAGAAGAAACCTGCCAGAAGTCCCAAGGTAGTAAGGAGCACTGAAGGCATTGGGACTTACTCAAAAGTAAATGCACCTGGGATTGAGCTGTACACTTAAGAAGCTAAATTCTGGGATCCCTGACTCTGGTAGGTGACCTTTCTGGTGCAAAATGCTACTTTTCTCCCCCAGGTGCTGATAGGATGTCGTCTTTTGGTGACTTCATTGCTCTCTCTGACATCTGTGACGTCCCCACAGCGAAGATTATTTCCAGAGAGGTCAGTCCCCGTGGCATTCTGCACCTCTCTGGTCAGTTGGCTGGAGTTGGCCTGACCACTGCGTGACCATAGAGTAGATGGTGGGTAGGGATAAGGTGGTTGGTAGTGATTTTGTTGCATATAATTTACTTATAATGGGTGTTGTTCTCCCCCTGTCCTCTTGCCCTGGGAACCTGCCCTGATCTTGAAACCCTCAGGTCTAGTAGTGTGTGGAAGGCCAGACCTTTAGGCTTGGGTTTTGCCCATGTTGCAATAAAGGGCAGAAGTGAGTCCAAGGGAATGGCTGGGAGGAAGGAGTTTCTAAAGTACACAGAGGCACTGGGAAGCTTTGTTGATCAGAACGTAAGCATGCTGAGCACTGAACGCTGCTCCTTTGTAGCCAGAGCAATGCCTGACTAAACCCCTGCCATTCACCATTAAAAAATGAAAAAGAAATCCCCTCTCCTCTTCACAGTCCTGAAATATGGACCCAGAATAACTGCTCGCGACTGTCAGTTTTCACCAAGAGCATAATTTTACCCTTCACCTAAAACTTTTGGATTCAGTTTCAGCCTGTGACCCCTTGATTTTTATAAAGCAGCAGATGAGATGGAACAACAGGGAGTCCGTACTAATCATTTCCCCTAAATATGTGCACTTCTTGGAGAATAAAAAACATATTCTTGAACTGATCTTTTCTTCCCTGCCCTTTGTTAAATTGATACTCCTAAGCCTTTGGACATAGGGTTATACCTAAATTTTATGTCTTTTTTTCCTGATCAATTCCTGTTTTATATTTCATGGGAGATAGCTAAGGCTGTTTGACAGGTTGTTATACAAGCTGGAAATCCCAATTGAGATTTCTTCTCCCCCCCCCCCAGCTGAGCGTTTGTTTTAAGTTGTGTTTTTGTGTTTGGTTTGGTTTTAAAGGCAGGCCGTCTAACAAATCCAAGGCTGTCCCTCTGCCCCCCAAAAAGGTTCATTTAGGACGAGGCTCCAGTCCCTCCTGCCGGGCAGAGTTAGCCTGCTTGGATTTAGGCTTCTGTAATTACCAGTGGAACCTGCAACAAAATGTTGCAGTAGTGGTGGCAGGGATCCTGTCCAGGGTGCTAGCAAGCTAGCAGTTATGTAGTCTTCCAAAGTATTCAGTTCAGTTCAGTTTTCTGTGCCTTTCCCCTCCCAAATGTCAGACAGGATTCATTGACCACTGAAAGGGTTAACTCCTTATTGGGCCGCTTTGGCGATCATTCCCTTAAGGGTCCCTTGAGCATGCTGACACCGCCCTACAGTAGGACTGACACTACCTTAAAATTTAGTTTGCTGTTAAGATATTGGACATTCTTGGGTGGCTTAACTTTTTTTTTTTACCTTTATTGGCATAGGTTTAAACAATAAAATCATACAAAGTCACCCAAATATATTAATAATCCAAACACATACAATATATAAAAGGCTCACTAGCCACCGCTGAATAAATCAGACAACTTTGGATTTAGCTTTAAAAATCTTGGCTAAATAACCCGAAACAATCTTGGTAGTTTCGGGATTATCATCCCTCAACAGGTATTGGATTATAGATTCTTTATAAGTGGGTATTTTGAGCTGTAAGGGAGCCACTAGGAGATCTCTGCAATGGGTGTCGAGAAGAGGGCAATCCAAGATTATGTGACGTATTTTATCTGGTGTTTTCTTAATACAGGAGCAGAATCTGTTCTGGAAGGGGATCTTTTGAAACCTTCCAACCAAATACAGCTGAGGGGAATGCCTTTGACGAGCCAACATAAAAGCTCTGCGATGCTATGGAGTATCTAAATTGTAAAAGAAATTAGGCATTACTCCATGGTGAGGCTGCAATCCTAAGTGAGCAGATGAGCATACAGAAGGCTGGGAGGGGTGAAGTTTTGGGATTTCATGGTCCAGTAGCCTTTGCTTAATAAGCGCGAAGATATGTGACTCATCCAATAGAAAAAGGGAATCTATTGCAAACGTGTGTTGTGCATACAGGTATCTGATGGGATTGTGGCTCCTGGCTATGATGATGAAGCCCTCAAAATCCTATCCAAAAAGAAAAATGGAAGCTACTGTGTCCTCCAGGTTAGTGTTTGAACTGCTACAGGATATGTGAATATGTCAACTGATTTCTCTCTCTCAACTACGTCCAGAGTTCCCTGCTCCCTCCCTCAATTTACTTTTAAAGCATGATATTTAAGCAAAAACCAATAAAGATATACTCATGACATCTTAAAACCTCAAAGTGCAATGGCGTTTCTTAAAATTGCCTCTTAGGTTGAGGAGACGCATTTTAGTGATTCCAAACTGTTTTCCATGCTTGTAGTTTGCAATATAAACTTGTATTCGGTGCATTGATGGTTTAATAAAACTATGAGAAGTAAGGAAAACCTGACAGTAAGAAAAAACCTTCAGTAAGAAAAACCTGACAATATGGCTGTGGTCCAAAAGGTAATGAATACAACATTGCCATCAATTTAGGGTTTAATGGCATATGGTTTAAAAGTAGTTCCTGTTTCATATCTCCCAATGTGGAAGTATTCCCTACTTGCATAGGACCAAGCAGATTTTGCACTCAATAGTTCTGCAAAGAAATAAAATGACAAAAATATAGCTATTTATATACAAAACCCCTTAATCTGTGTGCTGGGGGGGGGGTAACCCATCACATTTTTACTCTGGAACAAGTCCCAGTGTGTTGAGTGGGGCTTGCTCCTACTGAAATGTTTCTAGGACTGCAGTTATAGTCACTTTAAGAGAAGGAGGCTAGAATCCCTGAAAGATGAATAACACTTTGGGAAGCCGCCACACAGAAACTTTCAGCAGGTGCTGCTTGCTTGTTTTGAAGTGTGTTTTGGCATTTGTGAGGACCATGGAGTTGAACATTTCTGGTAAACCTTTTGCTGGCTCCTGGTTTTCAGCAGGCGTGTAGTACTTCATTAACAATAAGCAAGGAGAGAAACTGTATTAAATCGACATGGCATTAAGGACAGAATCCTGCTTTTTAGATGGACCCAGCTTATGAGCCGGATGAAAACGAAATCCGCACTCTGTTTGGATTGCATCTGATGCAGAAGAGGAACGATGGCGTGATCGACCGATCTCTCTTCAAAAACATCGTCACTAAAAATAAAAGTGTAAGTGAAGGAAAGGGTGCCTTGATGGGAGAGCTGACTGACAATGCTCCTGTCAGGAATGGAAATTAGAGCGCTACGTTGAGACCATTTAATGGTTCAGTCTTAACAGTATATAATTGAGTGGCAGGACTCGGGCTTTGGACATACAGCTCTCTGATTCCATCCTGCTTTATCTTGAGTTGAAAAGAACAGAACACCAAGCATCAGTTCTGAACAATGGCATCCAAACACCAGTCCTCTCCAAAGGCCAATGCCCCCCCCCAAAAAAACACCTCTCCTTCGAACAAGTCCAGAAGCCCATTCAGAACCTCGTCATTTTCACCAAAGACAGGCAGGCACCCAACCTGTTGGTGTAGTACCACTTAAGATCAGCAGGTGGCTCTGCAGAACACTTTGCCATTAATCAGATTGCCCTTAAACATCGCTGCTTGCCTGCTTTCCCCAGGCTTGTTTCTCTACTGCTCAGTCACTAAATTGTCCATCTTCACTAGTAATACAAGGATGCCAAGAAATCTGGAGACGGGCTGGAGATCCTGTATGTAGTGAGGATGGTAGAAGCAGAAGCCAGTTGTTCTCTGTATTGGTGAAACTTGCTCATCTGAAAATCCACCTTTCCTGCTCAGATAAATCCTTTGGGGTGCTTGTTGGATGTTTCCATAACCTGTTGGGGTTTGGCCTGCAGCTGTCTTTGGGTCCAGCCCACTTCCAGGTACCTGGCCTGCTCTGCAGCAGAGTAATCACGCAGCTTCCACAGCAAGTGGGAGTTCCAAGACTAGCACGGAGAGTAGAAAGAAATCACAGGAAATGATTGAGTACAGACACAAGTCTTTACGGTCAGTTTTAAGCGTGGCTGTTACAAACTATACAAAACAAAGCCTCTACTAGGGCCCTGATCGAGGCAGTTTAAACTTAATGCTCAGGCCTGGCCCTAAAAACTGCCAGACCGTCTCTCACATCGTCACAGTTTGAGAGGAGAGTTTAGACTAAACATCTCTTAACTGTCCAGTACAGAAGAGTGCATGGGCAGAGACATTCTTCACAGTGACCTTGCGCCCTGGCTTCTAGCATCTTCTGGAAACTCAGTGTTGTTTCTGGGAATGAATGTCACTCCCCCCCCCGGGTCCCCAGCCCCCCTCTTCTCAGCTCCCCTCTTGGTCTCCAGGGAAGAGGCAGCAGCCCTGTCAGGAGAGAGAGAGACTTCACACAGGGCTGGTGAAGAGATGTCACTGTCTCATGGAGACAGCTGCCTTGCTCTGCAGGGGAATTCTGTTAAAGACCACCTAGATTTTTCTAGAAAAAAACAGTTGTGCCTTCATTTTAATTCAACAGTCATCTAACCACTCAGGTTATAGAAGATAATTGGTTTGCAGAGTGTTTAGAGTAAAGACTCAAAACAGTTATTAAAGTAAGTGCCCTGATCTTCAGTTTTATGTCTTGAGTAGCGCTGCTTAGGAAGTGGGTTTTTCCTTTCCTTTTGCCTTTGCAGCCAATTTCCATTACTTTAATAGTGATACCTTCTCAGCCACCTCTCTCTTCTTGTTTCAGCTGCCCGAGCCAGCAATCCGAGATCTGATTGTTGCCAGCATCGCTGTCAAATACACCCAGTCTAATTCAGTTTGTTATGCCAAGAATGGACAGGTAACTGCTTGGAAATGTTCAAGGGAGATCATCCCATTGTACTTTCTGGCCAGAACGTCAGCTTTTGAAACTTGGTGCTGTGAAACAAATACAAGTGCAGTGATTTAGACATCTTTCTGCAGGGTCTGCAGTTAAAGTTTTGCTAAGTTTCATTTGATACATTCTTCCCTTCCCACCTTTTTCTATGTTCCCTGGCTCACAGACTCCAAAATTTCCCTTGTGTGTGTTTACTATATTGAAGCCAGCAGCATAGTGGGTGATGATGGATATACATTGTAAATGATTGAGGGCACATTCTCTGCCCAGAAAACAAATGCCTCGGTGTACAGTGAATGTGTTTTCAAGCCATTTACGCCACGCTGCCACTGCAGTCGTGTCTTCATCCGGAATCTGAGTGTGTTTTCATGCACAAAGAGTGCTTCCTCTTCTCCACTAGGCATTGCCATCGTTACTCCCCCATCAGACTTAAGAGTGCCACTTGCATGCCTTGGAAGTGTTCCCCTTCACACCTCTTGTTTATTATTTTCAAGTGCATGGCAGACCTTTCTGTATACTTTCCAGTTCTGAACTTGCCCAGAATTGTGAGTGGCGATGTTGAGCTAGAAACTGTGTTTGGGATATTGAGTCCTGTTGAGTTGCTGCTGTCTTTTTAAAGACGCTTTGGCTTGTTGGGACCAATCTGCTGACTTTGAAAGAGTTCTCCTGCCTTTGCAAGGAGACTCGTTTGTGGTGCCAGGCAGGCTTACTGCCGCTGCGCCATAAATGTCAATATGTCTCCCTGCATTGAAGTGCTGCTAGGGGCAGACTGGCAGGAAATCCTCTTGTGAGCCAGGGAAACTGTGGACAAAACGGCGGCTCCCTTGGCCTGAAAACAAGATGAGCACCGCAACCCCATAGTCGCCTTTGACTGAACTTAACCGTCCAGGGGTCCTTTACCTTTTTTTTATAACTTGCCAATTTGCTCTGCTCTCCTAAGGAGTCTAGGGTGGCAGTCATGTGTCCTGTGCTTTATCAACACTGTAAGCTTACAAGGTGGGAGATTGTGGGAGCTTCCCAGCAGGTTTGTCACTGTTGCTTGCCAGGAAGGGTGAGGAGCTTGGTGCTGTGCTGGTGGTGCAGTTTTTAATTTTGATCTTATTAAAGTGCTTCAGAGAAGCCTCATGGGCTGTAGCTGCTGCTGGCCTCACAGGTCATTTCAAGCTCATGTCCTCCCCATAAGCATAATAAATAGGACTGGTCCAGGAACAAAGCGTGTTTGCCGCTGCTCCCTTTCAAGAACGGTGTTGAGCATCCCTCCTTGATGTTTCCTCCAGAGCCTTTGCAGAGGCAGCTGCATTTTCCATTGTTGGAGCGTTGCAATAATGACTGTACCATCTGTGATGCTGGGGAAGTAAGAGACTCCATTCAGGTTCAAGCAGAAGGAAGACTCCTCTTTGCTACTTGGGGCAAATGGTGTACATTTTGATTCTGTTTGTGTATGGTACATTTTGAACTGTTCTTGTTTTTCTCTGGATGTTGGGCTTCTACCCTGCCCCCCCCTTTTTAATGATAGCAGTTATAGCAACATAATGAGCTTTTTTCTCTGTGTCAAAAGCCTCTTAGTTGACTTCATCCTGTGATTTGTTTATGTGCTCAGGGGGCTATTCAGAGGCTGAGCTGAAAAACAAGGCGGGGGGGAGCCTCTGGAATAATTTAGGATTCTAATCCTGCTTCTGTTTCTTCTCCGGATAAATGATTGAACTGTTTATACCGTCATTTCAGTTGACAGACACGAGGGCTGTATTCTGTTGCAGTCTCTGCAAACATCCCAAGAGAGTTAACTAGAATACACTGAGATTCTTCGTTGCAATAAACAAGTCATTCAGACCTGAAATGGCAACTCTCCATTGGGTACTTTTGATATACCTTGTACCTGGCTGGTATAGTGTTGGCTGTATAAATGTTCAGTTGCTTTTAGCACCATTCAAGAGCCATTGAAATTTGTGGCAAATCTCCCGTAAATCTTAAAGGATCAGGGCCACACCCAGAATGAACAAGCCCTTGGGCAGCCCCTTAACTTTCAGGGGTGTGTGCCATGACTCCTCCCCCCCCCCTTGGGATGTGCTTCAGTATTGTCCAGCTCCTGATATTGAGGGCTTATCCACACTTCCTCTTGCCCCACTCTGTTCCCCAGGGAAAAGAGTCTACTCCTTAGGACTCAGCTGAGTGCCAATTGGAGCAAACCGCCATTTGGGTTTTCTCTGGGTTGATGCTGGCTCCGTTTCAGAGCTAGAGGGTTTTCCCTGGGGAAGGTGCAGGGCAGGGGGAAACAGCTCAGACCCCCATGTTTCTAGGCACGGGACAAGGGAGAGCGTGGAGGGAGCCCTAAGTGCCCCTCGAGTTTTTATCTTCAGAGCTGACAGGATTTGCTGCTTTCCCCCTTAATTAAGAATCACGGTACTCAAATTCAGTTACTCAGACGAGAGGCATATAATAAGCAACCCAGAATGCTTATGAAGGAATAAAGGTTATAGAAGCACATGGCCTTAGCTCCTGAATTGTTCTTCCCCAGGGACAGAAGGGCTGCTTCCATTCACATCCAACGGAAACCCCTGCTGTGATTTTTGTAATTTCCTGTAGACCCACCCCCTCCCCTGCCACAGCCACCTATATTTTTGCCACCACCAAAGCAAGGTAAATTTTCTAGGGGCTGCATGTGGCTTGGGGAATTGGTGGAAACTATCATGCTGGGGTAAAGAAGCTTTTTGGCCCTGGGAGCAGATCTGAAGGTGGAGGTTGTAAGGAGCTGCCATGGGGCAGTTAAGGAGCAGCGCTGGGAGGGAGTCGTGGTTTCTGCCGCATGGCTCCTTGAGTGTAGAGGATCCTGAGCACACTTTGCTTGGAAGGGAAGCAACTTCACACACCTTGTCTTTCACTCAGTGACTACGAAGGAGCAAGAATTAACAAATCAAACATCACAGACCAGGTTCTCAAACTTTTTTCTCAGAATATAAATTAGCTCACCCCACATCAGATTTTTTATTGATAATAAATACATTGGAAAACACAAAGAAACAACTCCTAGCAGTGCTTGAATTATAACACAGAACACAACTTCTATATAATATGGTCATGAGACACCCAGAAAGTATAAAACAGTCCAGCTTCATAAGAACATGAATCATTTCCAAAATGTAATTATAAACGAGCCTCTTTCATCTGTGCCTTAAGTATGAGTAATCACATTTATATTAGGTGTAGTTTGAGACAAACAAACTCATCTCTTCAACACAAAGAAGCCTTTCTCTTTTCTGATCTTTCATATTTGTCAGAGTTCAAAATCCCTGTTCACAACAATATGTTGTGGAGAACTGTAGAAAAACAGCCAGTGCTCTCACTCTCATTTTAAAAAGATATCCATATTCTGCATTTTATTTTATTTTTTAAGTTGATACTATGCTACACTGAAACGTTGGAATGTTTCTTTGATTGCCCTTGAATCTTCCCACCGCACTTCCCATCCTCTCCTGGCACACCCGTGTGGCAAGGCCTGCCCTTTGAGAGCTACTGCCACAGACCAAGCACTTGTCCTGCTTAGAGGTGCAGTATTTTGTTTGTTGTGAAGATGAAGAGTGTTGTTTGATGTGTAAAATCAGCTTGTATTGAGGTTCAATGCAGTCCTGAAGCCAGTGGAGAAGCCATGTTAGGCAAAAGACCTTTCTAATGGAGCAGGCACAACATTACAGCTGCCCAGCATGCAGGACTCTGTAAATCCATTCATTGTGTAGCCCCTGAGGAATATTAAACAAGCGCAATGTTGTGTAATGCCAGTGGCTGTCTTGTTAGCTAGGAGCATATTATTCATTGGCTGCTAAAAAAAGGACACAAGTCCAGATTTTTCATTCCCTGTCATTGGGGAACGATCCTTATTTTTGTTTTATAAATGATCCTGGCAAGATGTGAAATCACGGTAGGAATAAGACAGCAAATGGTTCATTTCTTTCAGTTTGGCCTTGGACTTAGGGCTTTAACATCTGGAAATGCAGCCTAACCAGCCTGGAAAGTTTGAGGCAGTGGCCAGGCCTCTTGACCCAGCAAGGAACTCATCTCTCCCCTGGTGCTCCTTTCCTTGGGCGGAAACGGGAACACAGTCCCAAAATATTGCAGAGGGTGGGGGTGAGGAGAGTGGAAAGTGCCCCCCAACCTGTTTTTAACATAGTAGAATGAAGGCCCAAACCCCAAAAATAATTGAGCTGAAAATGAAATACACATGGATGATGCAACTCTTGAGTTTTGGCCATTTGAGATTATACGCTACCTCCCTGATGTCAGTCGCTTAACTTAGGAGACTATTTGCTCTCTGAGTTCCCTGTTGCAGTGGCACTGGAGGTAATAAGCCTTTTACTGCTTTTAAGCCTTTTACTGTGTTGTAAATAAAAATATGCCCTTTTCCCTTATGGGGTATCCAAGAGCCCATATAGAGTCCTTACATAGGTTCTCTATTGGTAGGAGAAAATAACAGAGGCCAACCAGAGAATATTGAGAAGCAAAGCAGCTAGTAAGCCTAGCAATCTTTATTGATCTGTTGCAAAGCTTACTAGCTGCTTTGCTTCTCAATATTCTCTGGTTGGCCTCTCTTATTTTCTCCTACCGATAAGGAACCTATGTAAGGACTCTATATGGGCTCTTGGATACCCCATAAGGGAAAAGGGCATATTTTTATTTACAACAACTGCTCTTTAAATACAGGCTTAAAAATGAATTCAGAATTTTAATCTACAGTAATAAGATCGATCTGAGCATATGGAGATTGCTTCAGAGTAAAAATGCATAGAGTTGCCCTGCCTAAGCATGGAACTGGCATTATTATCTGAATTAGTGCAGGGTTGTGAATGTACAGTTGTCGCATAGCTTTTGAGTCCTCATTGCATTAGAATGAGGTTTACACCTTTCCCTGGATTTGCTTAGATTTTTAATCTGTCTCTTGAGTTCAAGGTGAGCAGAGCAGAATGCATGGTTCATAAAACACACACATATACACACATACTGACGGATGTTTATCCTCACAACAGGAGGTAGTTTAGGCTGAAAAGATGTGACTGTCCCAAGGCTATCCCATTAGCTTTGTGGCTGAACGGCTATTTGAATTTGGTCCCTTGACTCCTGATCCCAACAATCATAATTTCTACACCCAGATTGTAGTTTAGAGTGTCAGATGCTATTCTTTCAGAAAACGTTATTAAGCCCTGCTGCTAGATAGGATTGCAGTCATGAATAATAATAACTGGTAATTTCTATAATTGTGGACCCTGGAAAAAATGAGCAGGGAAATTGTTATTGATTGCACTGGTAATTACCTGGTTTTAGGTTAACATTTCTCCCGGTGAGTGCCGGTCTGTAGAGAGGGGGAGGGGGTGTAACGCTGCTCTTGGCTTTACGCAAAATAAAACACATGTTGTCTTCTTAAAAGTATCCTCTCCAGTCAGTCTGCTAAACTGCTCTCCAGCCCACCTGTAAAATAAATTATGTAATGACTTTTCCCGGAGCGTTTTAGATAGATATAACAGCATATTAGAAGGGCTGAGACCACAAAACCCTTGGATGCTAAAAGAAGCTTGTTAGCCAGACTTTGCGTGTGAGGGTGATTGCCCCCTGTTTCGCTTTCTTCATTTATTAGTGGATTTACAGGACAGCCGTTTGAAGTAGACTAGTTTCTTAAGAAGTTGTCTTCACATGCATGGGTTTTCTGATGGATTGCTGCTATTTCTGCTTCAGATTGAGCACATGCAGGCAGGTAGAATTTAGATAGGAAGAAACTGGATTTGCTACTAAGCAGAAAGGCATTAGCTTAGCAGAAGAAGTTGTCTTTCTGCACCAGTTAATTATTTCTGGCTTTGGCAATGCCCAGTATAAGTGCCTCCATAAGGGGCAGGGGGGAAATTGTGACCTTGCAGCAGCAGCAGCATTGTGTGTACCTGTGGGGCTGCCACAGCTCCCCTGGAGCTCCTCTGGCCTAATGACCACAGCACTACCATCCGGACAACATCCACTGTTGCCTCCTCATCCTCCCTGCCCCAAGCCATCACTTCCAAAAGAGATGGTGTGCCTCAGGCAAATGACTTTAATATTGAATGGACTTAGGAGGCAGCCTTGATACTGAACAGCCAGACTGCGCTCTTTGGGAACGTGGAAATGTGTGCCTGCAGTTGCCCTCCTGCGCAGCCAGGCTTCCTGCCTGGAACTGACTGGATAGCACCTGGAGTATATAAAAATCCAGTCTTCCTTCTAAATTTCATTTAGATTCCGCCCGCTTTTCTAGTCCTCATTGTTGTGAAAAAAAAGTTTGAAAATATATGTAGAACTAAAGTGGTAACAGCAGGAAAAAATATGCAGGGATTGGAACTCAAAAGTTTTGGATGTTGGTATTCTCTATCTCTTCCCCCCTCTTTCTTTCTTTCTCCTTAATGTTAGAGGCCTATGAGTTGTGTCTCCCCACCCCTTCAAAAAAAGCTCAACAGTTTCTATGTTACTCTTGTATCATCATATGTTCCAGCATATGGTGGGGTTTATGTGCTTTTTTGCGGGGGATTTTTTGCAGTCAAGCAGTATACAAAATTGTATTAAAGTAATGAATAAATTTCAGCTAGAAACTTACCTACTCCTGAGCTGTATATTTCCCTGCTTGCAAATCTAACCTTTGACAATTTTCCTATATGTTGTTTTGCTTACGTGGACAAGTTCATATAATGCTGGGCAGCATCAGGTTACACAGCCTGTGGTCCTATTGAACCTGGTAAGACAGAATCCCAGGGGGGTTGGAGCTTTACAATCCCCAATCTTGGGTTGGGGCCCCTAATCTTTTCCAGAGGTTCAGGGCTGCAGTGAGCCTTCTCTAGGCCAGTGACACATATTCACTCAGCCAGAATTGACTCTCTTTGGCTGCCTTAACCTCCTGCACCATCTGCCCATTTCAATGAAGTCTGTATTGATTGTGGAAATTAAGATAGCTTACAATGTAGTAGAGAATATTACAGCTTTCTCCATAGTGTTTGGGACTCCCACATTGGAGAACGGCTCATCCGAGAACACGCAGTGCAACTGCTTTCCCAGAGCAGGCTAGATGCCTAGAAATTCTCATAACTTGAGTGCTTCCTTTTCCTTGGCTCAATGCAGAGATTACTGAAGAAAAAGCAGTCTTGTTTCCTAACTTAACAAATATTTTGCTTCCCAACCCCCCCCCCCCGGCGGGTGTGTAATGTTCAGGAATCTTGTTTCTAAACTGGTACATATTGGTGACACAGTTTGTTTAAGGTTTGGCTTTTCTGGTGAGGCCTTGAGTGAAGTTCTTAGGAAAAGGTGCCCATGGAAGCTTGCCCTTCCTCCAAATAACTCTAGTGCTCTGTCTCTTTCAGGTGGTTGGCATTGGGGCAGGGCAGCAGTCCCGAATCCATTGCACCCGACTGGCTGGAGACAAGGCAAACCACTGGTGGCTCAGGCATCACCCCCGGGTGCTCTCCATGAAGTTCAAAGCGGGAGTGAAAAGAGCGGAAATCTCTAATGCTATTGACCAGTATGTCACAGGGACCATTGGAGAGGTAAGCCTGGGGGCACTTGGCGAGAGGCAAAGTCCAGAATCTGTTCAGGAATGGTGCTTGCATTTATACCCCTTTCTCCAGGGAGCTCAAGGTGGCTTACATGATTCCCCCTGCTCCTCACTTAATCCCTACAACAATCTTGTGAGGTAGGTTATGCTGAGAGGCAGTGACTGGCTCAGGGTCACCCAGTGAGGTTCTTGGCCGAACCAGGGATTTGAACTCTGGCTTCCCAAGTCTGGCACTCTGACCACTAGGCCACGTGCAACCTCTGCTCACATAGGAGGCACCTTGGAATGCTTACAACCCTGCGAAAGCTCTGCGCCTAGGGCTGCCTTATTCAAATATTCAGTAGGATAGCCAAAGCCTAGGGAGAAAGGGATGTGCCTTGCATATTCATGTACTTGGGATGGGAGCTCTTGGTTGTGATTGCCATGGCTGGATCTATGTGCTGTTAGTTATTGAAGCTGTAATTCTCTGTTGCTTTTATATAGTACTTAATTACAAAAAACAACAGTATGAAAAACAGGCAAGTTTGTTCCAAGTGCATTAGACTTCTTAGGGTAGAGCCCCCCCCCGCAAGTTAGATGATCCTTGGAAGCCTCAGTAAAAAGGCCAGGCATCTCCACATTTCTCAGAGGCAGACAATACTCCCATCATGAAGTGCATCTGAAAGGTAAGGGTCAGATTCAAATAAAACTAGGATCAGTATCAAGTGTCTTCCTTCCAGATCTGGGTTATCATATTTATCACATCATATTTATCAACTGATATTTCAGAAGATCCAACCGGGTACCTTTATAGCTGCTTCCACGAGAAGGTCTGGTTCGTAAAGAGGGAAGGTTCCTAAAGACTTCAATCTGAAGTACCAGAAGAAATTAAGTCAGAGCTGCCGCCTAGTTCTCATCAGAGATCTTTAAGGGAATAAAAGGACCACGAATGGCAACTCTCTGGTTGAAAAGCTTGTGCCGAAAGCATTAAAAACAAATATCCAAATTTGAACACTGCCCCCACCCCCTTTAGCTGCAGAAGGGTGTTTGACTTCTTATTACTTGAATGCTTCTCTGGCAAGTTCAGGGCTTCCACAAACGTTGCATAACTTGGTAAACTACACACTCCTTCGGAATGCAATAAAGTCTGAATGCAATAAAGCAAACAGGGATGTGGTTAAAACAGACATTCTGCAAATCATGTCAGAAGTCTGATTGCTTCCTTGGGGCAAACGGCAGCTGGATCAGTGGCACTCAAGACAGAGGACAGTGAGCCAAAATCCTGTTTTGTTAAATGTTGTGTTGGGCTCCTTGTACTAAACGGTCTGTTTGGGTGCTTTGATGTTTACTCACTGGCTGGAGTAGCAGAAAATAGGCCAAGCAAAGCAAATGACTGAAATGAGCAGGGTGCTTTGTAGCAGGAAGCTATAAGGGTACGTGTGTGCATTAGTTTAAACAACAAAGGAACCAGAGGGGCTTAGAATTTAATAAACCTCCGAGTACAAATTTTGTAGCAAGGTGTTTTACGTGGCTGTGACCTTCCAGTGGGGAACTTGGAGAAATGTTTGCATTCTTGTCACTGTATTTGCCTGCATTGTTGAATTAGATGCCATCAATGAAGCAGGTGAATTTTTAAAATGCCCCTTTGCAGGATGAAGATCTTGTCAAGTGGAAGGCGCTGTTTGAGGAAGTCCCAGCTTTGCTAACTGAGGCAGACCAAAAGGCATGGATTGGGAAACTGAACGGAGTCTCGCTCAGCTCTGATGCTTTCTTCCCTTTCAGGGATAACGTGGATAGAGCAAAGCGGGTAAGGCTGTGGAATTGGGGGTAGGGGGGTGACTGTGACTCTTAATGACTAGCAGGCCTGAGGAGAATATGTCCAGTTAGCTGCTCTTGCTCTGCATGCTGGCTCCCTAAAGTCTGTTTTGTAGGTTACGGTTGCAAGTAAGAGGTATCAAAGTGGAAGCAGGAGTTGCTGTAGGGAAATTTAGTCCTGACATGCATTTCAGGAAAAGCTGGTGATACTTACTCAAACTCGGACAGGTTGCAATTCTCATCTTTCAGCACCTTCCAAAGAGAAGATTCACCACCCTTAGTATCCTCTCTGACCTCCGTTTAGGACAATCTTCCCTAAAAGTGGTTGACAGCTTTTGTGGGCACCCCATATGTGCAGAATTGTGCAACAGCTAATGAAATGGTTCAACAAAGCTGATTTGTTTTTGTCTCCCTCCTCCTTTTCTCTCAGAGTGGAGTCCAGTTCATTGCTGCCCCTTCTGGTTCAGCAGCTGACCAAGTTGTGATCGAAGCCTGTGATGAGCTGGGAATAACTCTAGTTCATACCAGCCTCCGTCTCTTCCACCACTGAAGCTTCCCCATGTTGCCAGACATTCCTCCTTGCTCATTTGCTTGTCTCTTTGCTTGTGGAAGCATCCTCATTAACGGGTTCTTGCTTGCTTTCTAAAAAGCCAGTCTTCATGGGAACATTTCACTTTATATTCTACATATGATACCAATTGCTTTGAGAAAACTAAAGTAGCTAGCCTCTGATGCATTTCTTGAAAAATTAATGGACAAAAGTGTTTGTCACTAATGTGTCTGAAGTCAAATTCTTTATGCATTCAAGGCGTGGACATTGGTTTTATTGGCTTTTGCAGTATGCAGATAATCAGCTGGGCATTGTATGTATGGGAAGCAGATAATCATTGTACTTTGATATTAAAATACCACATTTAATCTCATAATAGTCTCACCCCCATTTTTGCGGCTCTAAAGTGGGTTCCAGTGCTTTCCCCACATAATAGTTGCAGGGTATAATTTGACAGCAGGAGGATCCGTGGAGCTGGGCTGCCGATGGCCTTGATTGCTGGCTATTGACTGGGAAGGGCATTCAACCCGGGTGCCAGACTGCTTTTGCCTCTCTGGGTCCCTCCATCTGTTCATGCCTCTGGGCGCGCGAGCTGCCGGAGGCCTGTGCAAACTTGGCAGGCGTGGAATTCCAGCGCCCCACAACTTGGCTCACACCCAACCGCTGAGGCCTGCGTCTCCTCCTGCCCACACTCTGGGACACGACGGCTTCCACCCACCTTGACGGCTTCCAGCCATTACCGTAATTCACTACATAATGGTTGCAACCCCCCCTTTTTTGGGGGGGAGAGTATTAAAAATGCAGCAATGATGCAGTGAAATATGGTATTTCTATTGCACTCTTCGAAGAGCAAGTTACAATTGCTAATAAAATAGTTAAAACAAAATGTAATGCATCAGCAAGGATTAACAATATAAAATGGTAGCAAGATAAGTAAACTTCACAGCAGTGGGAATGGAGGCAAAGGCCTGGGTGGTGGTTTTAAATTGGTGCCCAAAACTTAGCACTGTACAGACAGGATATTCTGAATTTGGGGTGCCTGACCCCTAGTGATGTTCACTGGCCACTCCGATTGCAGCTTCTTCTGCGGTTTCTCCTATCATGGTTAAATATGATGAGGTGACTGGCAACTACAAAACTTACTGTGCACCCTCAGCAGACGTTACCTCCACAACAGCTAAACCTCTTTTTTAAAGGGATGGAAGGATTTATAGACCTACAAGCATGGAAGAAGCTGCACTCACACGGATAAGTGAGAATTTGAAGGGGGTCCGGCACAAGTAATATAATACATGTTGAGTAAATTTATAGAATAAATGTCGTAGTTTGTAGCCATGCTGTTATAAGCAACCACAATACATTCTTTTGTTAACAAGGGGTTGGGGAACAACTGCAGGAGGATCTGCAACAACTTTGGTGTGGGAGTGTCTGAAGCTTTATCGGGCTCCTGTATCCTTATTCTCTGTATTCTGTACTAGGTACACCAACTTGTGGTCCGACTATAAATATGTTAAACTCCAGCACTTGCACCGGGACATCAAGATGCTCTGTGCAGCTTCTTCTACTCTACATACTCTCACATAAGACCAGGAGAGATAAAGACTTGAAGAAGCTGAAGCCTCATCTTTCTAAATGTTTGTTTCCCTTTTCAGAACTCTGAAATCAAAACAGTGAGCTACAATAAAAAGATTTGCCTTATGCTTAGTTGGAATTATTAAATGTGAACTGTCTTTGGGGAGGTGTATTATAAAGTGATGGAAATAACTTCTGCCATGCTGACAGCAGAATATGTGGTAAGAGTAGGTAATTTTCACTGCCAAGGGGGAGGAAACTGGCAGCATGGTTTCTGCGTGTTTGGTGGTTTATTAAAAATGTCTCCACTGTGAAATACTCTGAAGCATGTTTTGCTGTGCTTGTCAGATCAGATGTGCAGTTTAAACAAAGAAGTTATTTGTTACAGGCATGAAAGTGACCAAGCAACAAAATTGACTCAATTTCTAAAGGGTTTTCCCCAAAGTGTAAGAGAGAATTGTTTGCTTTTTTAGGGAGTTGGGTCAGCACTTCTGTCTCCTTTAGGAAAGCCTTTAATTTGCCTGGAGAAAGAAACATTTTGGGTATATGCTCAGTGTGGGTATGTTCACTTGGGTAATTCACTTTAATCTAAATAGACAGGAGCTTTTGATTTTACTTTACTTTCTATACCAAAAACAAAGTCAATAGCTGGCGAGCTAAAGCTTTTTAATTTTTAATTTAGCCAATGGCAAGTGTTGAAGAGATGGTGCTGTCCAGCTCATCTAACACTCGGTGTAGTTGAGATGCAATGGTAGATGAGAATGAACTGCAGCTGCTGGAGAAAAACCCTTCATAGGCTCTTGTTAGACAGGTGTGGTGTAATCTGGAGCACCAAGTTCCGCTGGCCGTATTCAAGTGAAGTAGAACAAAACTTGAAACAGAAGAGCACCCACCTCCCTGCCTCTTGGCTCATTTCAAGTTGTGCTGTAGTTGGCTAGAGGGACGCAACCTGTTCAAGCAGCACTGCCTAACAAGTTGCTCGTTTGGAAGTGCACAACTAAAACAAAGACTTCTGTAATCATACTTGGGGGGAACCTCCATTGGAGGTGGTGGGACTTGAATGAATCTCTCTGAAAGCAAGGTTCAACATGGCCCAGCCTACAAAGGGAATGCTTTGTGCTATTTGTGACCCTGCAACTATGCGGTTGTATGAACTAGCCTTGGATGACAAATGAAGGTAGGAAAATGTGCTTGGTGGTTTCTCCTGTTGGCATCCATCTGTCTCAAGGGACAATGGAGTGTGCCTCCAGGGGTGAAGTCAAATGGCTGCATTTGCAGCACTGAGTGACCTCCCCAGGGCACAAGCCTTGGCAGTGTGTATGGAGGTCTTGTGCTGCCCAGACAAAAAGACCCCTCTCTGCCTCACTAATGTGGCCCAAAGGAAAGCAGGACAATACATGTGGCACCAGCTTGGTGCCAGACATACTGAACTGGTGGCCTGCATTGATTAAAAAATAAACTGCCTTTTAGGACAGTTTTACTAGGAGCAAATACACTCATCCCCTTACTTGCGCACGATTGAGTCACATGCGACTGCATGCATGCAGCATTGTGAAATAAATAATACAATTCTAACCTAAAATGGTGGGTTAGAGCTGGAAAGTCCTTGTGACCCCCAAGGAGACTCTCCTCAGAGGCCGTAGAGTACGCCAGTGAGCCAAAAGTCCAGAAAAAAAAGACTCCAAGGGCTCCAAAATGGTGTGCGGACGCTCTCACTGCTGCCACACTCTCCCACTCAACGACGGGGACTTCTTGGAAGATGGTGGACCAGAGAGAGCTCACTCTGAGACACTCCCACGCTACCCAACAAATCCCGCTACCCCCACAAATGGAACCGTGCTAAAAATGCCAACAATGAGACCGGGGTCAGCAAGTTTTACCTCGCCTGGGCCGGTTCACTCCAGAGATCCCTCTCTGGGCTAGATTGCGCACACACCTGAGCACATGTCCGTGTGATTTCCGGTGTCTGCGCAGATGCAATTTCTGGTGCTGCAGAAGCGAGTCCCCACATCGTGCTGCGCCGGTTTAGCGCAGCGCACGGGGACTTGCCAAGCAGGCAGCTTGGTTTGGGGGTGGCTCATGGGCCGGTTAACCCCCGTGGGCTGCTTGTGGCCTATGGGGGTTAGGTTGCCTACCCCTGAATGAGGCAGAAAAAAGGAGGTGAAAACAACCTGTTCTCTTGGAGGAAAAAGAGGAAGTCCAGCCACAAAGTGGCTTCAGCGCCAGCCATGCAAACGGTAGGAAGGGGCAAGACAGTCTCCCTCCCTGCCCACCGCTTCCCTTTCCCACTCTGGACCCAACATCCCTGCCACCAATCAACCAAACCTTTAAACAGCTGTTGGGTGGGAAGCTGCAGTGGGTTCCCCACTTTCGCTTATGCACACAGGGCCCATAACATACGCCCTGTCCCCCGGGAAGTTTCCTGTTGTCAGAGAACGGCTGGGTGACAAACAGTGGCATCAGCTGAGGAACCACCAAGAGAAACCCCAGAAGAGGAAGGTTCAGAGCCCAGGGATTGGTGATGGGACACTGAGGAGAGTTCAAGGAGTGGAATGCTGTTGGGTCAACAGGATTTAGTGAGCAGGGCAAGTTCAACTATTTTTGATCACAAATAGCTAACATCTACTGTGACAAGCTCCCCTCCCCCCTTGTCTCCAAGGACACGCAGAGTGATGCGTAGGCCAGAACAAAGATTAGAGATGCCCAGATGCAGTTTGAGACTGCTTGGAAACATCTGGCAGAGAGGAGCCTTAGAGGGGGTAGAAGGTGGGGACAATCAGTCCTGGCAAGACCTACTCGGAGTGTTGTTGAGTTTATGTTGCCTTGAGTAAAGTTAAGTTCACTAACAACTGGTTCTGCTTCTTCTGGCCTGCACCAGACTCCAGCCCTGACACCTGCAGTAAAGACTTTCATGATAGCAACATTAACAGTATTGCAAGCCATATTGTGTAACAAAAGCTGTATTACAGTATTAGCATTTTGCTGTTGTAATCATTGCAGTCTTGGGTTCTGTATGTTTTTAGCCTTGTATTTCATGTTGTGACTGAAGACGGTTAAGATCTCAGGGAGTGCCGCTGCCAAATGCTTTAAAAATAGGGTCACAATCACTGGGCGTAGAGCATCAACATTCAACAGCAGACCCTCTTGTTGCCCTAAAGCAAAATATTTCCATACCATCACCTCCTCCCCTGACTACTTCAAATGGTCTAGATCAGAATGGGGCTAGAGTAGAGAAAAGGCCATCAAGGTAGGCTAAAGATGCCTCATTCCCATGATAAATTCAGGGTGGGCTTTCTTCACCTGTTTCACAAGACAGGTGTCTTATAGCAATAAAGGCTAAGAGAGAGAATTTCCTTTGCTGTATGAATTAGTGATTCCAGTTTCAATTTTCACGCAGCCACAAAACTCATTAGGTAGCCTTAGGCCGGTTGCCACCTATCAACCTAATCTATCTTACAACGAGGGAGGTAATGAGCAGGGGAGACATGGCTGGTGATGTTTTGAAAAATGAAAAGCTCAAAAAATATAAAGGAGATGTATTTTTATGTTGTGATAGATCCACACTCGCACCAACGGTGCTGCTATACAGCAGCTGTATTTCAGTGCCTAGAAGGGGGATGCAGAAGAGCTCCATGTTCCAGATCCAGGGATGAGCTACACAATCCAAAGAAGAGAGAGACAACTAGACACACAGCTGGATTGTAAATCTTTTTATTAAAAGAGTTGTCTCCCACAGTAGTTAAAGCTTTGGCACTTACAGTATAAAAAATAATCACTGATCATAATTATACCAAATTCCTCTGTCAATGGTGTACTAAGTGTCTTTAATATATTTTCCTGTTAAAAAAACACTGAGGGGGAGGGGAGGGAGCAGGGAAAGGAAGAACAATGTTGATAAATAACAGTACGAGATACAAACATACCGCTAGGGAAAGAAATTAGGATAATTTAGAAAGATTAGGACTGTGCATATTTTTAGATATCACAGTGATGGGGTTTGCAGTCCCTATTGGTAGCTGCGCAATTAGATGAACACAGAACTTTGGATTTTCATTCATTCCCTATGGCAGGAGAGCCCCTCCCCTTAATCCCTTATGGCTACTGGTTGCTGAGCAAGTTATGAGTTAGTATGAGTCGTCTTCAGGGAAAATACTGAATGGTATTGAAACACTGAGCAAAAGAGAAGACAGTATACAACTATCCTTTGTGAAAAGAAGTCTTGAGACACTCCAAGAGTGGCCTCCCTTGGAGAAGCTGTGAGTTGAGTTGAGCAAAGCCGAGAAAGGCGCTCTGGCCACCCGAAGCAGACCTGCTTTCCTCTAGCAGCATTCTAGAGTGGATGGTCTTGGCAAGAAAGACTTTCCTTGGCTGGTGTTAGTCTCCTCGTCGATTTGGCGTCTCTGCTTGTAGATGCAAAGGGTAGAAGCACTCAATGGGGCAGTGAACATTCTGCTGGAAGAAAGGAGGAGGAAGGAAATCAGCTCAACAGGTCTAGAAGGTGGAAAGTATCTTGCTCAGCCAAAATACTTGCATCTGTTGACATTTCACAATGCAAACCCTTAACAGATGAATTGTGAGGTGGAGGGATGGGCAGCAGTTCTGCTGAAGGGAATGGAAATGTTCCTGTTCCATTGCATTCATCAAAGTGATGGCTGTATTGGTTTCCCTTCCTTCTGCTGCTAACCTGGACATGGTCCAATAAACACACTCACTCTTGACACAAACTGCATTCCAGTCTTGTTTCATACCATATCATACCGTAGGATATTGTGGGAACTGGAACCCTGTGGCAGTCAGACTAGGAACGTTTGATTAGTCATCACATGAAAGTGGTTTAGAACTGTTTTAGGCTGGCCATGCAGATGACTAACTTATTCTAAATATTTTGGTGTTGGACTAGAAGCACTTGATTCTGAAGCTGTGCATCTGATCAGTCTCTTAGATTAGAAACTGCTGGGAGACCCATGAAGTTAACAGAAGTTGCCTGTCTATAGTGGAAGACTACCAGGAATTTGCATTCTTAGTAACGACGGTGAGCAGTGCTGAACAGCCACTGCTGTCAGATGAATGGGGCTTCTATACTTACAGTATTTGAAGTCTGTTGCTGTCTCTGTGAGTACTGTGAGTAGGTGTGACCAGGAGAACCTTCAGGTGAGAGCGCAGCCCCTGGCCGACGACAATTGTCACAACGCCAGCCCTTTAAATAAACAAACACTGCATTTTAGCATGAGATTCTGAATGGAAGGTGCCATATATATCAAATTTCAATTTTGTCCCTGAAGAAAAGTGGCATACACAATTGTTTCCCTTCGTATCCTAAGGGAAAAGATCCAGTCAAAATGAGAGGTTGATTCACTAGGTATCACAGGTTCATTCATACAGGTAAATTTTCACTGATTTTAAGTCAATGGGAACTCACTGTGTATGATTACAGTCTTAGTAGGCAGAGGAACTAACAGTGTTTTAAGGTCAAAGTCATTTAAAGTGTTTTCAGTATAGGCTTAAATAAGTTGCATGAACAGATGTACTGATCATTTGGGAAATAATATTTCAACAACTACAAAAGCTATCTGAATGAAAGCCATGTTAGGAGACAGGAACAGTACTGCGTCACCTAGGCAGCTCTAAACAGCTCATCCACAGTGCTGCAAAAGTACTTGTTCTGAAAGTGGCATTAGTATTGGTAAATCAGACTTCATATACTGAGCATGCCTGTAGAACCAGGCAAAAATGCATAATGTCACATGTTTATTTCTGCTTTAGGCTCCCCTTTAACAATTTCATTTGTAGTGCTTGTTGCTGTAGAGTCACTTAAAATGTAATGAACTCTGAACCTGAGTGGGCATTAGCCACAAAATATGTCCAGATTCTGCAAGTATGTCATATTCCCTCCTGCCTCCCCCCCCCCCCTCTCTCTCACACACCATGCTGCCTGTTATAAGTCACAGCACTGGTATTAGAATGCTTACCTGCTGTCCTCCATAGCAAGTACAGGAGCAGATGGCCCCAAGATATTCCTTCTGCCACTGCTCTCCTACATGGTACATTTTGCCCTCATCATAGCAAGTTGCTTCATCTACAAAAAAAAGCCAAGGAACAAGCAATTCTTTTAATTGGCATGTACTTTGCCACTCGGAGGGCAAAACATCTCCGGTATTAAATCCACCGTAACAGTGCCAACCTATACCAGGAAGATTCTTAAGACAATTTAGGAGGTTATCTCCAGTGTGGTATTCATCAACAGGTTGGCAGGATTTTGTTCAGGTTTTCTCCTACCTGCCAGCCTGTGGAAAAGAGGAGGAGGGAAGAAAACCTAGTTGAGTACTGTTGATTTATGGCCACCAGCATTGGCAGTAGGGCAGTAGGTTGCCAGTGCTTTCCTGTAAGAGGGAGCACCTAAACTGGGCAGAAACTTTATCCTGATGGCAGGAACACATTTTTCTTGCCTTTTGTGGTATAAAGAATGAACAACCCTGTGCAGAACACCCTCATTGTCAGTTAAACACTCCTGTAAGAAGAATTGTCCCAGAGGACAGGAATCGGACCCCAACTTTTCATAGAATCATAGAGTTGGAAGAGACCACAAGGGCCATCGAGTCCAATCCCCTGCCAAGCAGGAAACACCATCAGAGCACTCCTGACATATGGTTGTCAAGCCTCTGCTTAAAGACCTCCAAAGAAGGAGACTCCACCACACTCCTTGGCAGCAAATTCCACTGTCGAACAGCTCTTACTGTCAGGAAGTTCTTCCTAATGTTTAGGTGGAATCTTCTTTCTTGTAGTTTGGATCCATGTCCGTGTCCGCTTCTCTGGAGCAGCAGAAAACAACCTTTCTCCCTCCTCTATGTGACATCCTTTTATTTTAATTCAGAAAAATAAATCACTAGAGGTGGCATTTAACTACGCTTAACTCAGAGTAGATCCATAAGTTTGGCCCATTAATTTCAGTGGATCTACTCTGAGTGAAACCCAGTTGAATAGCACCCTAGATTTCGCTTCTAGGTTATTTTGGGGACAAGCACAAGCAGCAAGAATGTTGTTTTATACATCAAAAAAGGTAATGCCCATACGTACGAGGTTCGCATTTGAATTCTCCCTTTCCATTCCCAAGGCAGGTGCAGCTCATCATCTGTCCGTTCTCTCCTTGCCGGTCCCACTTCTCACCAATCTTATAGTTCACAGCGTTGTCATGACACCACTCTGAATGAACCAAAGAAACGACAGATCAATAAAGTGATGCTGAATCCACACTGAGCCCTGTTTGACAATGTGTTGGTCACTTGATGTATTCTGGGGCTTAGGGTCCCATAGACAAAAGCCTCAGATTGGTAGAAGGAGCTCTTTACAAAGAACAATATTTCAACAAAAAAGAGCTCTTATCCAGTCAACTGGCAGCTAGGCACAGTTTGGAAGTAAAAGGGGGCCTGACATGTTTAGTATCCATAAAAAATAATTCCTGTTATTGTTCCCAGGTTAACAGTCTCCGCCTATCCAAAAAATAATTCTAGGGTGTTTCAGCCACATCCATCTGCTGTTGGTCTCCTCATTCCTGTGATTGCTACGTGAGGCTGCTTAAACCATCACTTATCCCAGGGTGAGCTAGAAGCAGTTGATCTTGCTAAGGGTTGAGCAGTGCTTCGCCACTGGAACATATTATGAACATATTTAGAAAGTGAATTGGCTTTTAAGATTATTTTAGAAAGCTCTAATGCTGCTAGGATACATATGACAAGGCTGGGAATGAGGGCTATAACTTGCAATATGATCAAGACATAGTATTTAGGTTTTATCAAATTGTCTTCAGGTTATCAGGATTTATTTAGTTGCTGATTTGGCTGTCAGTATCTGTAAATGTGAAGCACACACAGAAGAAGCAATGTTCAATTAGGTGTCTTATTTTATCTGGGGGGGAAACGTAAGAATGTAAGTATATGGCATCAGGGTAGTCAGCTGGTAAAGTCCTGAAGCAAACAAAATACTGAACTTTAATTGGAAAAAAACTGGTGTAAATCAGAATTAATGACAGCTCTAGCTGGATTATGTTTTATGGTTTAAATCCAACAAATAGCAGGGTCACTTATATTTCACAGTTAATAATTCCAGTCCAACGCAGGGCCAACTGAAAGTTTTTTCCTCAGCTTTTGTTAAGGGCAGATATTTAAACATCTCCTGAAATGATAGGCATTGCGGATGTTTTTTGAATGTGCTGGACCCAGTAGAACATATTCTTTTATACTGTCCATTGTACAACCAGCTACGCAAATGTGTGCTATCCCCTTTTCTGGGTTGTCTAACATCACAGTCTAACAACACAGAAAATGGTGGTGTGTTAACCAGGGCATTTGGGTGTCCCCTAGTTTGCCTTGTATTTCTTGAGTCAATGTGGGTTTGTTGTTTTTGTAGAAGCCTGCCGGGCAGTATAAGCCTTTGGCTTGCCAGGTTTTTATCTGGAGGTTTTGTGCTGCGTGGTGGAATAGTGAGTGGTGAGCCAGGGGGTTTAGTGGGGCTGGGGTTGGGGACAGTTTACCTGCTTCTTCCTTCCATGCTTAAAGCATTGTCTGTGTGAACCTGTTTAGCGTTGTGGGGATATGTTTGGGAGGAATGGGTATGCCATGGTGGGGGTATTTTCGATTACGTCTCTCTCCAGGTGTATCCATTGTTTTGTTTCGTCTTCTGGAATGCATGGGATTATGTGGTGCACTTGGTTGGCGTTGTAGTATAGTTCTGTGCTGGGGATTCCTCACCACCCTTCTGAGGGGGGGCGAGGTGTAGGTATTTGGGGTTTATTGCCTCAAATTTTAGAAATGGAGCCAAATGAATTCAAGAAGCTACTCACTTGAAGAGTCACATCTGAAGTGTCCACTGCCAAGGCCTAAACATTGGCACCAGAGTTTAAATCCAGTTTCAGACATTCTTTCCCATTCCTCCCCAACAGAGTAGAAGGAGCCAGTGAATGTATCATAACATGAGTCATCTGTTGGTTGGTTTGATGTTCCAGGAACTGGAAAGGACACAGAATGAAAAGTAGTATGACAACATGCAGTACTTCTTAGCAAACAATCCCCCCCACACACACACTCAAAAGGGTGCCAGTAAGAATGAAGTCTCCATGCAGCGATAAATAGCACAAAAATTTAGCTTAATTATCTTTGTTCAGATAATGATCTGGATTTCATTGCTTAAACAGGCTTCCTCTCCCACTAAGATTATTTGAATATATAACTCAGAGGAAGCAAAAGAACAGGCAGAAATGTATGCTGAAAGATACACAATTGAAAGAGGAGTTTGAGAGCTAGAATGGTGCAGTGGTTAGAGTGCAGTAGTGGGGGGATCAGGGTTCAAATCCCCGGTCAGCCATGAAGCTGGCCAGGGTCACTTTCTCTCTAACTAACCTCCCTGGGAGGTGAAACTGGCATGTGGCACGGAGACCCCTATGCATGCCATCCTGAACTCCATGAAGGATTAGTGTGATACAAGCGTGAATCCAACCAAACAAGGACACCATAGTTATCAGCGATCCTAAACCAAGGTTATTACACAAAAGAAGAGTGGAGCCCTTCCCCCAAAGTGCTTCCTTTCTACTTACCGACATTGCCCACTGTGACCACCTCTTCAAGGACTTTGTGCCTTTTCCTATTTTTAATTGCCTCCACTATGATGTTGTAGGTGGCACCTCTAGTAAGACCAGTAAGTGTAGCACTTGACGATGTGCCAGGAACTCTGAGCTAAAATTTGAGAAGATGTAGAAACATGTTGAATTTTGCTTTCTTGAAGAACGAGACACTGGCTCTGAAATGGCTGTATATCAAGTCGATTCTCTAGAGAGCAGGGTTCTGGGGTCCAATCCAATGAGGATATGGCTTCTCTTTACCCAAATAGAGATGAGACAAGTCTCCCTTATTCCAGCACCTTTTCCCCTTCTTTTACAAATGCAGTGATGTGGCTACCTAGATCTACTCAAGTTGTCAAGAACAGGGTGAGATTTGAGCAGCCAATTTACTGCTTGGCCACTTTTTGATGTCACCTTCATGGTGAGGAGCTGCCACAAAGTCTTCTTCCTGTGCAGCTCTAGTAATGTTGAAAGAGTAGCTCACAGTAAGTCTCTTTCCCACACCAGCATTTGCCCCAGTTTTTTGCAGGAGTGATAAGCCCATCCTGTTTTGGACAAGGCATTTCCTATCCAATAGGACAGAGATGAGGACCCTGAGTGGCCCCACCAGATATTGCTGGACTCCAACTTCTATCAGCTCCAGCCAGCATGGCAAGTAGTCAGTTGTGACAAGTGTCATAATCCAGCAACTTCTGGAGAATCACAGGCTCCTCATTTCTGCCTTAGACCAAGAAAAAACCCTCTTCACAACCATGGATTCCCATCTGTAGCAGCAAAAGCATGTTACTTTTGAAGTATTCAACACATTTCTCCGGTATCTTAGCTCTCATTTCTTCTATCTGTAGTCTCTGTTCCCTGTAGCTCTACCATTACCCTAGCAGACTAATTAGCTGCCTGCAATGACTCATTAAATGACCTATTTTCCATTACTGCACCTTATGCCAGGAATTTCCTCCCTAAATGTGTATTAATGCCATTTCTCTGCTTTCCTTCTCCTTCATCCTCAAGGACTGCCTCTCCCCATATGAACCAACCTAGACCCTGTGATCATCATCTGAGGCCCTTCTTTGTGTGCCTCCTCAGAGAGAGGTCCAGAGGGTGGCAACACAAGAACGGGCCTTTTCTGTCATGGCTCCCCATTTGTGGAATGCTTTCCTCAGGGAGGCTTGCCTGGTGCTTTGGTTACTTATTTTGAGGCAAAAACATTCCACTTCTCCCAGGCCTCCCATTAAACCACCTATTGCCTTTTAAACTGGGGGGGGGGGTATTGTTTTTGTTTGTTATGACATGTATTTTTGTGTTTTTATATTGTAAACCGCCCTGTGATCTTCAGTAGAAGGGTGGTATAGAAATTTAAATAGTAGTAGTAGTAATATCCAACTGAGATTAAAGTACGTGTAACTTCAATGGGTACATTTAACCATTACCTTTAGCATGCCATCCCTGTTTTCATCATTGTCTTTATTAGATTGCAAATTCCTTGAGAATGGGGTCTTGAAGACAGTTTGCCTATGAAACTTGGTAAAGTGCCGGTGAGGGCGTTATCTAAACAAGCACAACGGCAACAACACTTTTCCAGAATTACCACTACATTTTAGAAATTAACAAAACCAAGTTACCTCTACAGGCTCTTCCTCGGCACCAACAGGTTGACAAGAGATAATGTATTCCGTGGTCTCTGAATAGGGCGTCCAAGAAATGGTTGTCTGAGAAACTGCTTCCTGGAGCCTCGTGTGATTATTCTTGGGCAGAAGGTTGTGGGGATAATAAGCATGTTCATCCACGTCTGGTAGGTCTCCAGGCTGCACATGTGGCCTGCGCCCCACTGGGGTGGTGGCAGTTGTAGGGGTCCGAGACCCATATACTTCCACAATGACTTGTTGGCCTGGCTTGCTCAATATAGTCTGCTGACCAGAAGTCCCTGGAAGTTGGATACCATTTCCATTATCATGCGGGTTGTTGGTGAGATAAGGCGTGTTCTCCACAGTGCTGGGCACATCCAGGTTCTCTGACACACCTTGGCCAGAGTGTGGCAGCGTTACTAGCTGGGGAAGCTCATCTAGCCAAAGAGAGGTTAGAAGCAGTCAAAGCCAGGTTCTCAAGCACCCTTCAGCAAGCGCTGCTTTCATTATGAAACAAACTAAGCAGCTGCTCCATAAAACACTGCCTAATTCAAGCAATTAAACGTTAGCAGCATTCTCAAGGGTCCTCAAAGTCATCATGCAGTTTCTCTACAGAGGCTACTTAGAGCACTTCAGCCAGAAGGCAAAAGCATGTGCCCACAGAACTCAAGATGAGCCAAAGTGATGACAATTTTTGTACCTTTGAGACGATCCCCTATGAAGCAAAAGAACCTTCTTGCCACAAATTATCTTTTGCTGAATGAATGAATGAATGACAGGACATTTCTATCCTGCCACTCTTCCACAATGGAAGGCAGTACATGACTCTCATGTACCCTCAAATTAGGCCCTTGGACCACTATATTCAGTTCCTTTGATGTAATTTCAGCTAAAGGGGAGAAATGTTATATACTACATTACTCCTTGCACCTATTTCCAAAATCATTTAGCTTAGGATGATAACACCTGAACTCCCCTCTACTTTACAACTACTTACCACACACTTCAAAGGTGAATCTGGTTTGAAACTAACTGAGAGTTATGTCAATCATCCATGACTGAAGCTCTTGACTCCCTTTCTTCTGAGAAAAAGCAACTCTTGTGTCTTATGAACAAGTCACTCAGACCCGCATGCATCAACTGATATCTACTAGTCAATATAGATTTCTCCTTTTGAATCTATAAAAAGCTAGATGGTTTACAATCCAGATCAAATCAAGCATTTGTAGGTTCCACTGATTTACAATTAAGGAGAGTTAAGCAAGTGCTTACCTCTCACCAATCAAATTAAATGCTGAGGATGCAACCACATATACTATTGAATGTTGTGAAGCTTAATTTTGAGCAGACATGTTTAATTTGGATTGGAGTGTACCCTCAGTTTCTAACAGATTCAGAGGTAAGAAGCAATATTAAATCAACCATCTTAAAAGTAGGAAACAGGAAAGACAAAAAGTGAAAGGAGGTTTGTCAACCGCAGCCAAATCTATTAAACTGCATTAGTACTCTGCAGGTCAGGATTACCAACTTATCTGAATATATATATATACAGATTGATGAGTGTCTCCACTTGTGTCCAGAAATATAAAGGAAATTTTAAGCAGTGATGTGCCACCAGTTGTGTGGCAATGGCATTAACTGAAATTCAAAACAGAACTGCATCTAGCTTCTCTTTCGTGCTCAGTAAGATTGAAGGTGTTTTACCTGTTTTTGTCCTTCCAATCAATGGTTCACTCTTCTGATTATTCTTCACAGCAAATACATAGATGACATATTCTGTTCCTGGCTCCAGACCTGACAAAGGATTGGCATAAACCCATTTTTAAAAGGAAACAGTATTCAAGGTTGCAGTGCAATCTTATGCATGCTTACTCAAAAATAAGCCTCGTTGTTTCTCAGGGAGCTTACTACCAGGTACGTGTTTATAGGTTTCTAGTTTTGAACTCTATACACACACTGCTCCCATTTACTACCATCTAGTTATTATTCAGATAGGCATTTATCAGATAGGTTTTGCTGGTTTAACTTCTTATATTTTAATATGGTTTCTCTGTTTTTCTTGTTTTGTTACTTTCATCTCTCTGTTATTTAATACTGTTCATCTGTTGTCCTGTTTAAGTTCAGATTTTGTAAATGCAGTCACAGTGGAAAAGTGGGATATACATGTTTCTAAATAGATAGATAGAGGCAGGGTTCTAAAGGATAGAAGTGCTAATAAGGTTCATATTCTGAAACAACTGAACCAAAGTGGTCTATTGGCCTGTTATATTTTAGCATGGCCAGGATATGGTCCCAGACTGTTGCTATGCATGTAGGAGTAGGCTTAGTTCTCAACTGCTCCTATTCAGGTCTTTGGGACAAAATGCACTTGTTACAACGGGCAAGATTGTTGAGGCAGGGTCAAAAGTTGTCATTACCAAACCCCCAACCCACCAGGGATGGTCAAGCAAGGAACAGGCTTACCCCACCTCTCAGCTGAACAGCTGACTTCTTTGGGGAGAGGTCATACCTGTAATAGTGGCCTCCGTAGTGCCAGGGCGGGGACGTGGAAGCACTTCCCTAGGCTGCCCCCCAGCCTGCTCATATTTGATGATGTATCCTGTGATCTTGGCCCGGGGTGGCTGCCAAGTGAGCAGCAGGGAGTTGCTTGTGGTTGTAAGGAAGCGGAGGTTGGAGGGGGCGTCAATGGCTGAGGAACAAATAAAACCATTGAGTGCATGTATTTTAATATGACATCATATCCCTCAAGGGGGAAATACAGTTTCCATGTGTTTCAGCTACAAGTCTGAGAACATTCTGCTTCTCCCCCAAAGTCCAAGCGGCGGGAAGGGAATCATTGCTGTAACATGCCACAGATGATTTACATGATCAAAGGAAAGGAAACCACCATTTCAGTTAATATGAGTTTTTATAAACTACCATTACCAGTGGAAGCATCAATCACTACTGGGGAGCTGCGAGCATTGCCGTTCAGGGTGTAGATGTAAATCTTGTAGTCAGTGCCGGGCTGCAAGCCTGTGATTCAAAGTGAAATATTAAAAATAAAATAAACCTTGCTCATATAAAGTACTGTTCTGAACAGCATTGCACCTCAAGTCAATAAAAACATGTTAGCAAGGGCTTCCAAGGAAGTTGGCTGACAAGCCCTAAGGGTGGCATCACCATGAATGGCGGGGATGGGAATTAGGGCCTTTGTGCTGCTTCCTATTGAAGGTGAGCAGAGTTTTTGTCACAGACATCCCTGCTGCATTCTGAAATCATACTGAAAAGTAGTGGAGGTATGGAAAGGAAGAGCCAAGGAGACTCAGACTCAGAGCCTGGGCGCAGATAGGACGATGGGCAGACACAGAGGTGGTGTGAATAAGTTCACATACCAGTGATAGTGTAGGGTTTAACATCAGGGCCAATTGTTCGTTGAACAGGATTTTGACCATTTGCTGGGACAGCATCAATATGGAAACCAGTGATTGCCTCAGTCTTGGTACGCCAGACGACTGTGATGGTCCTCTCTGTGACATCTGTGACACGTGCCCTACGGGGAGGGCTGACATCTGCACACACACACAAACACCAAAAGTCAGGCAACTGTCCGTTAGCACAACAGTCTGCTAGTACCACAGTCATACACAGCTGCTTGGAAGACTGAAGGCTGCAGACACACTATACCTTTAAAGCACACTCTACACATATTTCTTCTCTCAAAGAATTTTGGGCACTGTAGTGAAGGGTTGCTGGGAACTGTAATTGTGTGAGGGGTAAACTACAACAGTCAGGATTCTCTGGAGTGGGGGATAGTGCGTCAAATGTGCTTTAAAGGTAAAGGGTGCATGCCGTCTTGCAAACATGCATTGAGGCAAATTCCACCAAAAGGCCGCTTTAGAACTACCACTTATTTATACCTCCAAACCCAATCTGCCTAGTTCTCATTCAGGATCAGAACCAGTGATTCTAGGAACCCATTTCCAGGCACTCCCAAAAAATAGGAGAAGAGGGATATGACCAATCTAGAATAGCATCCTGTATTCCAACAATGACCTCAAGTCCAACTGTCTGTGGAAAGGAAAGAAGCAGGACACAACAAGGGCAAAAGCCCCATTGCTGCTCCCCAATGACTTCTATTTGGAAACCTGCTGCCTCCGACTCTCCGACAGCCATCATGACTAGCAACTGTTGATAGTCCATGAATAATCCTCTTTTAAAGACATCTAGGTTTGTGGGCCTCACAGCAGATTGTGGTAGAAAATTTGCTATTTGTTGGTGTGATCTTCCTTTGGTCTCCCCTGAGTTTTTCAACACTCAGCCTTATTTGATGGTCCTGGGTTCTAATACTGGGCAATTGGGGGGACTTATCTATCCTCTTTCTTCACACCATGCATAATTTTATACACCTCTATCATGTCCTCCCCCTTCCCACTTATTTGCCTTTTCTCGAAACTGAAAAAGCTCCAAATGTTTTTGCCTTTGAATCAGGGACTCTATGGTATCAGGGATCAGGGACGCTATTTTGAAATGTTGAGTAACTTACTCTCTAGGGTAGTGACTACACCCTGGGCAGGTCTGCTGGTCAGAGAGTCCTTCAGAGCATAGATGCTGACTTCGTATTTGGTTGCCACCTAGATGTAACAAAACCATGGACTGTTAAGAGATTTACATCCTCCAGGAGGTCACAAAAAGCTGACGCATAAGCCACTTCAGTAAGCCTGCTCTTCATTTATATTCTCTAATCCAATGCATTGTGAAGTGTTGGGAGCCTTATTGAGCAATCAGAAAATCAGATGGAGCCAAATATTCAGATGACACAAAGAAACGAGGATTTTTCAGTGACTTGCATCCCTTGGTAATTAGCTTTTATCTGCTCTTTTGGAGAATTGCATATTCCACATGTTAGAGCTTTTCTCTGGGGGAATTCAAGAGTATGCAGTACTAGCACTCACCCACCCCCCAAATGTTAAAAGTATGTCACTTACTGTAACAACTTCATGGTGAGAAGCACCACCTTCTTTCAAAAAAACAAAACCCCACTGTCCCTATGCATCTTTTATGAGATATATAGAATGAAAGTTACACATGGCAACAGTGACTGCAGTCCCAGGGACTGTCAGGAGATATACCCATAACTCTCTGTCTTCAATGGAAACCCCTTTTGGAGGAATGGAAGGTGGTTTCAGTGCCTATGCTGCTTGCTGTAATGTATTTATTATTTGCTTCATTCAAATGTAGTTATAAGAGAGGGCTGAATGTGTAGTCAAGCTCAATAGAGGTTGAACTCCTGCCGCAAATAATGTTGTGGCTTCAAAACAATTATAACCAAATGCATTTAAAAAGAAGAATTTTACCGCAAGTGGTGATCATGTGAAATAATCCAGGAATTATGGGAATTAAGGGGGGAAATACTTAAGAGAACATTTCCCAAGAAACCAGAAGTTTTTCTTCTGGGAATACATAACAGAAGTCCCCAAGAATACAAAAAGGATTGGAAAATGTTTGTAGAGTATTTTAAAAAATCAGTGTAAACAAGTGAACAGATTAGCAGGACTTGAAAAAATTCAGCAGTGTAAGAGGAAGTAGGAGAAAATTAGTACGAAGAGTAGAACTTTAGTAACTAAGAATATGCAGAAGAAAGAGAAAAGAAAAGATACCAGAGAAGGAGAGGAAGGGAAGTCCTTAGGTGTTTTGCGTTGTGTCCTTGGTTTGTAGTGGTTTTGTTTTCATTTTCTCCATTTATTCTTTACTTATTCTTTTCGAACTGTATGTAAAAACACAAATAAAAAATCCTTTCAAAAAAATAAAAGAAGAATTACCATGAGTCCTGAGACAACAGCCGATGTGCTATCTGGAGAGAGGTTAATTTCTTTCATTGGCCCGTTCTTATCCTTGGGATTCACTCTGATTCGGTATCCAGTAAGCTGAACATTAGGTGCAGTCCAGGTGACTGTCAGGCTGGTTGGAGCAACCTGAATAAACTTCAGGTTCATAGGAGGTGGGATTGCTGTCAAATTTAGGATTAAAATTTTAGATTACTTCGGGAGTAGTAATGAGTACAGAAATGGCTAGCCCTGCTGTGAAGTCACCGGTATCATTTCAGGTGACTGCAGTTTTGATGATGTGATCAGGTATCTTTAAAAAATCTAATAGAAAGGAAGTTTCAAAATCCAGGTGCCTTGAACAAGACAAATATGTATTGAAATATTTTTATACATGGATCATCAGTAATGGAAGATAGTTGCTGGAAAAACAGGGACCAACTAAGCTACAAAGTCATCTTTAAACAATGCTGCCACAATTTAACTGAGTAATACACACACACACACACACACACACACACACAGGTGTGGAGGTGATTGGTGCTGTTTTCCAATGTCCCTGGTTACAGATTTAGAATTTTAAAGAGTGGTTATAGGTATAACCAGGCAGCACTCTGCTGTGCCTGCCCCAAAACAGGGTCAATTATGTGATTTTGGAAATATCATGATGATTTTATAGAGTCAACAATAATCAAGATTATATGACGGTAACACGTTGCAGAGACATTTATTGACTAGGCTGACAAAGGATGATGCCCAAAATCAGTCAAATTCTGTGCTCAAATGTTGTGTGCGAGTACTAGTGAAATTAAAAGGATGTGCAAGGAAGGACTGTGGGCATAGGCTGCAATGGTGATCAAACTGGTGAGAAAGGAAGAAGGAGAAGGGCAAATGGAAGTGTCATAGGGGACCTTCAGAACCCCTGCCCAAGGCTTTTTTAAAAAGTGAAAACTAATCACCTTTTCTTATATCAAAGGTAATCTTTTTAAGGGAGGAAAAGGCTACACGTCCCTTGATTCCAAAGTCAATATGTGTGTGTGTGTGTGTGTGTGTGTGTGTGTGTGTGTTGCTTCTGATATCCTTCATCTTCCATGCAAAAGAAACCCATGTCTCTATGTCCCCACACCAAAGGCGTTCCCCCGAACTGGGGGTCTCATAGATGAGAAACCAGCAGCACTTGGAAACTATTCTGGCCAGCCAGGCAACGAAGGCAGCAGCTGCCCTGGCCACCGGGTGGCATTGCTATGTGTGTACCTGTGGACTGGGTCCCAATCAGAGGTAGGCTCTCCAAGCCATTGTGCAAGGCAACGATGCGGACAGTGTACTCAGAACCAGGCCTGAGGCCATGCAACTCTGCAGTGTCGTCTTCGCCATCTGGAGCAGGGAATAGCTCATGGATTCCATCCTCAGGGGTTGAGTAGGTCACCCTGTACCTGGTGACTTGCCCCTGTGGGCTTTCCCAAGCAATTTTGATGGAATCGACATCCACCTCAGTGAATGTCAGTCCTTTAGGGCGATCAATGTCTGTTAGGCAAATTAATGATGAAAGATTAAGTGGAGGGGAAGGGTGGGGAAGCAGGTTTGGGTAGCACAAAGCACTTTGTTATAGGCATGCAAAGCAATCTTCTATTTCTCCACATCGCGAAATAGAAACTATTTATTTATTTTATTTTGCAGCCTGCAGAGCCATTTACAGCAGCACAATGGAGGTGTAGCAGTTAAGACTTGTACCATGTTTTTCAGCTGTATGTTATGCTATTGCAAACAGCAATCAGCATAAAGCACAAGCTTTTTGGGAATCGAATGGCTGGTAGTCACAGCAGCACACCTCTGATGGTTTCAGCTGATCTGACCATTGCATTAATGCTTTTGCTGCAACCCAGAAAACCGGACAGGCAGAAGCAATCTGCCTGGAATCTGGCAAGCTCAATTCAGAAAATAGCCTTGGCTAAAGACCCTCCTCAAATACTATTCCCACAGACCTGCAACTATTTTTGCTAGCCCAGAACCTCTTTGATGGAGGAACTGTGTTTCCCAAAAGCGCTCTACACCAGCCAGATCAGAGAATCAAGCTGATCGTTGTCTTGTACTGCTGTAAGTGACTGCAGAAAGGCCTCAAGGTAGCTATTTCAACAAATTAACATCCACATATCAATTTGTCAAAAAAACCACACCATTATTGCAAATTATTGCCATAAGCATAGATAATATGCATACGAAGCCCTATCTTTAAATTAAAGATAGTATTTGGCAGACCAGGATGTTACTTTTGATATAACAATTTCAGCATATTAGTGAGTCTGTTTCCATGACTGAAAACAGCCTGTTGGAAGGCTTAGTATCAGCTCCAGGATAGACATGGACTGCTTCAGAAGTCCTGGAGTTCATATATTTTCTTCCATTTCCTCAGGATGTTTGCAAACACAGAAGTGACTTCTGGGAGTGCTTCCATGTACCTAAACAGTAACATTGGAAGCAGCTCTTAGGCAACAGAGAGCAGCATGGATCGCTTTTCAAGATGTCGGTAAAACTAGCACTGCAATTCTATGCATACTTACTTGGGAGGAAGTCCTATTGGACACAATTTACCTTGCTGCTGAGTAAGTATGCACAGAATTGAGCACTCAGCCAGTTTCCGTGAGCCAAGGAGCAGTCTTTTCATTTAAAAAGAAGATTCAAATGATTGCATATTTTGCCACCATTGATAGCAAAGTGATGTTAGAGTTGTGCATTTCCTATGCTTTCCAGATAGAAAAGGTGACTTCTGTTGCACAAGTCTGGGGTTTCAGAATGCTGTCTTGTTTCTCTTTCAATTCCAGAGTTCTTTTCTTAGCTGGGTTAATTTCTCCCTTCATGGGCACAGCACCTGTGCATGGAGGAGCCCCTGCTGTTCAGTGGAGCCCTGCTCTCCTCTCCTTCCCTAAGCAGGAAACAGAAGATCTGCTCACACTGCCCATGTCTTCCTTATGAGCCTCCCAGATGCATCTGGCTGGCCACCTGTGCACATGCTGGACAAGATGGACCTTGGGTGTGATCTAGCCGTGCTCTTCATATATTATTATCCAACCCTCCCCCTATTCTGCTTGTTCAATATGTACAGGCAAAGGAAGGAAGGCTGGATGGGGATATGGAAGGTGCACATAGACTTCCCATTCTCCTGTGAATACATTGAGGGGGGGGGGACAAATAGAGCTCTGTTGATCCCACACAGCCGGAGCGCTTGGACAGGGAAAGATCATACCCTGACTGTATTACTGTGGGCAAGTCTGCCCTGATTTGTCAGGGCACAGAGCACATGGCGAGCAGTAAAACTCACCAGCTGATGAATTCACCAGGAAGTATTTGTGCCTCAATGTGCATTGCTAGTGTGCAGATTTACTTCAGGGTTGAAAATGCTGGATTGTGCTCCACGCAGAGAGAGAGCTAGTCTTCTCCTTCACTTTGTTTTTCATCAAAATTTGATATGCAGATTTAAAACTTTGAATTTATGCTTTCAAGTGACTTTAATTAATTTCATTGTTATTGCTTATTTACCTCCCCACAGGCTGCTGACAGGAATAAAGAAAAGAAATAAGCAACCTCAGCATTAGTATCTTTGTCAGATAGTATGTAAAAGGAGTTTGTAATCTCCAGCTGTCACCTTTACTATCTTACCATAGGAAGTACAATATTTCACACACATTTAAAAGCAATTAAGTGCCAAGGTTTTTCATTTTTTGCATTGACCATTTTTAGCCATACTCAAAGCACATCTTCTGAGGCTGGGGTGAGCAACTGAGTTTTAGCAGCCTCTCTAGGTTGTATCAGTGGGAATGATGCTGTTTTCTGCGTTTTGCACTGATTTCTGAAAGTAGATATGTCCAGTGAATTCAAGCATTCAGAGACACTGTGTTCCTGCTGTAAAACTCAGAAAATGCAAAATACATACTTGTAACAGCTGTCTCAACCAGAGGCTGGCTTTCTCCATTTTGACCTTGGGCGTAGACACTAACTACATACTCAATTGTAGGTTGCAGTCCATCAATTGTAACTTCAGTTTGATCTGCAACAAAAGGCCAATAAAACATTAATCAGGAATGAAATGTTATTTATGGATGGCCTCATTCTGTCACAACTGAGGCCCTTGTGCAAGTATTCATTTGTGCTCCAAGTGAAAAGGCGACTTGCTCTAGATTAACACAAATAGTTCCAGATCAAAAGATGCTTTGTTAATGGATTCCACACTCAAATTTCTTCAGAATGAAAAATGCAGAAATTCTTTGCTCTATAAGCCAGTTCCAATGAAATATATTGTACACTGGGGGCTTTTAAACAAACATTTGCAAGGAGGAAATCAGATGTCTAATTAAAGGTGAATAACAATATTTGCAATCTTGACAAAAATACTCTTAGGATGTTGCCAACACATCTCAAGACCATGATGCTTGTCCACTGCTGCAGACTTGTTCTGTCATTCTAGAAGAGGTATACTAAACACCATGTTGGTCCAGGAGATGTTATCTTTATGTACAGTGCCTTAGTCTCACGTGACTATTAAGTGGACTACAACTCCCATCACCCTCAGCCAGCATGCTAGAGGGGCACCAAGTTGGGCGAGGCTGCCCTAGAACTAAATGCATGAGCCAGGACAAGCCTGAGCAAAGCCTCACGTTTGGGTTCCTCCTCCTGTTTCTCCTAATCGAACTTGATTTGTATGAATGAGGGAAGAAGCAACGTCTGTAATAAACCATGATTCCTAGGTTCACACACATCAGTGCGATGGGAGGAGAAGAGAGGCACGCCTCCCTGAAGCTCATTCCAGCTTGTGCATAGAGCATTATACCATAATTTAGCATTAGATGCAAACACACCTAGGTACGTGGAACTAACTGCGTGGTTCTTTAGGTCCTGGCCATTGTGCCACGTTTTGCCTCAGTCATGTACACAATTCTGATTTTAGCATGTTATCTCAGCCCTTTGTGGAACTCCATGGAACATTTTCGTAACTGAGGAAGACACTGATATTCTGCCAAGGCTTCTTATGACCTGTAGGCTTTTAATTTTTTTATTTCTGTTCATGCTAGTGCATTCTGAAAAAGCACAAGAGAGAGAAGCTGGCCTATGGGGAAGGTGCAGTGGTGACCCAACATTTTGGCTTGCGAGTAAGTCAGGCTTAGATTATGGACTTTTCCTTCCCTTGGGTGTCCCTCTCTGAGTTTTATGTATGCCCTGTTCTTACCTGCAGAGAGAACTCTGGTTTTTGTGGGACCGTGGTTATCTTTGGGAACAGCTGTCACTCTGTAACCAGTAACTGGGGAAGAAGAAGGCTGCCATCGCACAGTTATGCTGCTGTCCTGAACATCAGTCACTTGTAGCTGGGATGGTGTATCAATCTCTGCACATAAAAGAATTAAAATCATTCATCTCTACACTACACCAGTGTGGTGTAGTGGTTAAGAGCGGTAGTCACGTAATCTGGGGAACCGGGTTCGCGTCTCCGCTCCTCCACATGCAGCTGCTGGGTGACCTTGGGCCAGTCACACTTCTCTGAAGTCTCTCAGCCCCACTCACCTCACAGAGTGTTTGTTGTGGGGGAGGAAGGGAAAGGAGATTGTTAGCCACTTTGAGACTCCTGAAGGGGAGTGAAAGGCGGGATATCAAATCCAAACTCTTCTTCTTCTTCTTCTCTCATTGGCTTCTGTGACAGATCTTAGAGAAGACTGACCACCTTGTGTTCAGCAGAAGTGTGGCCATGTTGGTCCTCCAAGGCCTAAAGTAACTCAGTTAGAAGACATTTCTCAAGGACACTAAATTAATATTCTGAATTTCGTATGGAACCTGCAGTGATAACACCAGATCCTTGTTTCTCCATGATGTGGCCTTGGGGAACAAGCATTCAAAAACTGTAGATAAGAAAGTTGGGGTGAAGAAAGTGGGAGAGGGGGAAATCAGCAGAAAGCGCTATTTGAAAGTGTTAATATTTTAATCTGCAAGCTAGGTCTTGGGATTTTAACAGAGAAGGGGAATTAAATACAGTGGTACCTCAGGTTACATACGCTTCAGGTTACATACACTTCAGGTTACAGACTCCGCTAACCCAGAAATAGTGCTTCAGGTTAAGAACTTTGCTTCAGGATGAGAACAGAAATTGTGCTCTGGTGGCGTGGTGGCAGCAGGAGGCCCCATTAGCTAAAGTGGTGCATCAGGTTAAGAACAGTTTCAAGTTAAGAATGAACCTCCAGAACAAATTAAGTACTTAACCCGAGGTACCACTGTAATGGAATATATATACATTACTCCTTCTCCGAGTGTTCTTCACACACAAAAATGTTACGGCAAATTTGAACCTGTGTGCCAACTATGATAATCATTATAGGCCTTTATCTTCCCCATCAGAAGGGAGGTGGGTGGCTACCCCCAAAACAGCTCTCTCTATTATGGACCCCAACTCTGGAACACTCTTTCCATGGGCAGCCTGCCTCAGGCTTGGCCTGTTCAGTTTTAGGTACCAGGCTAAGATTTTGTTTACCCTATAAGTGAATGAATCAACAGCTATTGCTCCTGAGACTTTATTTGTTACTTTATCATTTTAGCTTTTGCACTGATGCTTAATTTGTCTTTTTATACTGGTGCTGCTAAATTTTAAATATTTTATGTGATTTATTTGTTCCACTTTACTTCATTTTATGCTACCTTATGTTATATTTTTAGAAGGGTCTTTTTCTGAGAACTTCATTTTTGAGAAGGTGGGGTATAAATCTTTCAAAAATACATATCAACAAAATTAATATATATGGTTGAGCATAATATTGTTTTAATCCACGGCTGTGTTAGCCACTTTTGGGATCAAGCATAATCCTTAAAACCATGGATTGCCACCATGAGGGACCTAAATTTTTGCTCCCCTGCCAAATCACTGATGCTGCGCTTTCCTTTGGCTCCACCCACTCAACCTCACCTATCCCATGTTACCCTCTCCCATGCTCTACAATAATTGAACAGAGTCTCCACATGACCACAACATAGTGAAATATCACATGTGGAAGCAGACAAGGGGCCACTGTTGCCCTTCTCCTTTGGTGATTGGTCTTCCAGATGCATTTGACTGGCCATTGCTGGAAACGAGCGCTAAACTAGATGAATAAGAACGCCAACATTTACTGCGGGCCACATTTGCAACGTATTTGGATTCAAACAAATGGAAAGCACTGTTGTGTTACCATCCTGATGTAAATCAAGGAGTTGTAGAAAACAAAGCCATAGTTTTTGCCAGCAATCTCAAGCTCATCAAAAAGCAAGATGCAAGTGTTTTAAATGGGTTAGAAGTCTTTTTGCATGATGGACAGAATTGTTGAATTAAGCCAGTGGGGTGAATAATTTGGTTTGCTCTCCCACCCTTAAAAAAAAGAAGAAGTGAGCAGATGGAATAAATAGTTCTTAAATGTCCATTTGTCCTGGTCTTACCTATTCTGTAGTCGACAGTGACTGGTTTGCTGCTGGCAGGACTGTCTCCACGTCCAGTGACTGCATACACAGTGATGGTATAGTCTGTTCCAGGCTTAAGTCCAGGGATTGTTGCAGTGGAGACATGTCCAGGTACAGTGAACTCTTGAACAGGCCCACTGCCACCTATGAGCAATAGCACAAGATGGTCAAAAGCTCACAGCTGTTGTTAAAATGACGACGGTGGTAGTACATAGAATCATGGAATGCGGGGTTGGAAGGGACCATGAGGTTCATCTAGTCCAACCCCCTGCAATGCAGGATTATTTTGCCCAAACCCACCACCCTGAGATCAAGAGTCTCATGCTCTACCAAATGAGCTATCCTGCCAACACCTAGGAGCCAAGGGGTCTTGGGCCCCCCTAAAATATTTGAGGGGGCTGCCCCTCTGAAGTTGATGGGCATTGCCATTCAAATGGTGTGTGTGCACCACATCAAGTGATCAATTATTTTATTCAATTTGGCACTCCTGTCCCAGGTGATGACCAAGCTGGTGGGGCCAGTGGAAGTGACATGCAGATCAAATTTAATAACTAAATTTGCAAATGGTCTTTATCCCCAAAAAGGGTTCAAAGCAATTTGCAGAAAAATTAACAAGTAATAAAACAATCATGTATAAAATACATAGAAAGTAGCATTACAACCCCCCCATGGCAATTAATGCCACCAGGATGCCTAAATTAGATCCTTGTAATGCACATGGTGTGGGGCTGCCTTTGGAAAACCCATGAAGATAACTGTCTCAGGTTGTGTTTAGTACCAATTAATATTGTGTATAATGATGACAGACCAACAGGTGCAGAAAAAGTCCTCTCAAATGTTAAGTTTTCAATACTTTCAAATTAAGGGGTACACAAATGTCCCCTCCCACACATATACAGCCCCCACCACTGACATTCATCTTTTTAGCGTTAGTGTGAAAGGGATTTGATACCCACAAGATGCTCCGTGTAAGCATCAGCCCCTTTCCCTTGAACATGCAGCTGTCAGGGCTGAGCCAGTAGCTCTGATCCCTTTTACCTCCCTTCTAACTTGTATTTGAATTGTAAGTATCCAGTGTCTATCAGAGCCACAGCAGTCATTCAAAGTGTTGCAGTGTTTTTAAGTCACTTAAAACCTTGCCTCCAGAGTCTTGCTTTAACTTCTAATACGAGGTATTCAGACCATCTGGCACTGACCTGTTTCGCCATATGTGATCCTGTAGTATCTGACGGTAACGGCAGGAGCCTCCCAGGTGATGACCAGACTGGTGGGGCCAGTGGGAGTAACGTGCAGATCTCTTGGAACATCAGAAACTAGACAGAGGGGTTTAAGAAAGGGAAAATTAGGAATATTCCACATCCTCTCAGTTCACATGTCATACTGTACAGTGCAACTGCCCAGTAAAGCTTTTAGATTCCTTTTGGAGACATCTTTCTAGACAAGGTAGTATTTTAGAACTACCCGTATTTTTCGCTCTATAACACGCACCCGACCATAACACGCACGTAGTTTTTAGAGGAGGAAAATCCGTAGGCATGCCACCCGTAGGCATTCCCTCCATAACACGCACAGACATTTCCCCTTACTTTCTAGGAGGAAAAAAGTGAGTGTTATGGTGCAAAAAATACAGTATATTCTGCACTGGTTCCAAGGCAGGCAATGTTTCATCATTGTATTCCCCCTCTGAGATGCATCACTAGCACTTGCAGTTTATTGGAGCGGAAATAATTCTGAAGGAAAGTAGCTAGCCAAGCACCACCCTGCAAGCCCACTAGAAAGCTGCCATTTAAACCCATATCTGAATCTTCAATTGGGTTTTGATTCTGCGATTGTACCAAGAATCCATGGAATTGGGTACTGGACTTGTGATATTCAGCACTTTGAAAACCTATGGCCCAAAGCAGACAATATAAAACACTGAAAGTCACTAAAAGTCGGGGGCGGCATGTCCTATTTCACCGCTTGAGGCAAATGCCCTGCCACTGCTGCCACCACTTCTCCACCTGCCCTGCCACCTCTGCTGCTGGCAGAGAAGTGACCCCGGCATTGGCGTCAATTACAAGCAAGATCTCGGCAAAATCATAAGATATCTTTTCATGCTCCGCATGATCTCCCACAATTCCATCTGAAATTGGTGCCGATACTGGCACTGCTTCTGCACCAGCGACAGAGGGGCCCTGGTGGGGCTGCCGCCTTGAAGGTTTCTGCTGCCTGAGGCTGCCACCTCAGTGCGCCAATTGTAGAGCTGGCTCTGCTCAAAGTCCTGCTTACTCTCTTCTACTTTTTCCAGAAATACTGTTTTTTTTTTTCCCAAAAATGCAGCAACTTGAAAAATCACTGTCTGCGTGTGTCCCTACCTACACATGAAGGGATTGGGAAACTCAATACAATGCCACGTATTTTGCCTCCATGTTACTGGGAGGAGCAAGGGACATGAAGCTGCTGCTTTCAGCATCGTGTACATATGCTGCATATTGTTTAGTTCTGTTTTCTAGTCTTTTCTTAACACCTGCCAAAACTTTCTAGTTCTGGAGGCCACACTGATAGGGTTGACAATGTGCCTGAGGAAATCTCAGAAAGGATGAAGAGAGGCCTTGACTGGGTTCCTAGCAGTTGGCTGCAGTCCCTTCCACAACTCCATGAGTAGCAGAAGCAGAATAAAACTGAGAATGATTTCTATAACTCTTGAGCTGCCATTCAAAACCATCCAGTAAACCTGTAGGTTCTTACTGTTATATGGTCAATGCCTCACTTGCAATCCGTAGTGAAATTTCTTGACTCAGTTTCTTCCCCTGAGCTGTTAGAGGAATTGACCATATCTAAGTTCCATTTCAATTAACTCCGTGACCTGGTCTCAAGAACTTAAAAGCTGTATTTTATTTTCCTTGTCTAGGTCTTACCTGTACTTTGCTGTCCCATCAAAGGCAAGCTCTCCTCTTTGCCATTGAATGCAGAAATGCTCACCACATACTCAGACCCTGGAACCAGGTCAGTGAGTGTGATGGAATTGCGAGATGGAGCAATGCGGACTTCTTTGGGTCTGCTTCCCCCTTGCTCAAGGGAATGGCGTATTTTGTAGCCAGTGATGGTGGCACGAGGAGCAATCCAATGGACGGTGAAAGAATGGGCTGTTATTTCTGAGAAATCAAGCCCAGTTGGGGAATCAAGGCCTATTTTCATAGGAAAATAAAGGAGATGTAAATCAGCTGAACAGTAAAGTCAATGTCGTTTTTTTGTAGAAAAAGCATGCATATACATTGGATATATATTAAAATAGATAGGAAACATTCAGACAAACCAAAGTCCCATCAACCACAGCTCTTAAAGATGTGGGCCATAATAGGTTGTTCAAACACCAAACCCTTCCTCCACTGAAAGGGGAAGGAATAACAACATGGATAGGGCTATGAATGTGGAGTCCTGAAGTTATGAAATTGTATTGGACCAACTTCAACAGAGCCATCATGGCATGATAGTTCTTTCTAAAATGGGCTTGCTAAAACCAATTTGTAAAGCAAAATCTACACAAAAATTTTCAAAATCCTTAATATTTTTGAACAACTGAAATAGCAGAACAATCTTAATAAATTGCTACCACACAAATCTCATTTGAAATAAAACTAGTAGAAAGAAAGTGAAGACATTTTCAATATTTGTCACTCTACAGACCTGTTTTCTGCTCTCCGCTCAGAGGTTTACTCTCACGTTGTTCATATACACTGTAAACCCTGATCAAATACACAGTGCCAGGGAGAAGATCTGAAGAGTTAAAACAGCAACGATTTAGGATATTTAAATTCCTCTAGAAACAATTGCAAATCTCAGCTTTTTACCCAGCAGAGCTCCTTTGCTAAACAAAAATGGTCATTTCCAGCTATGTTGTTTAGCAAATAGTTCTAAATGTTACATTACCTGAGCATGCAGCATTATCTGCTGAAAAAATTGCTGGTCCCCCCTGACCCAATGGATCTTTCCAGCCTACAAAACAAGTTTCTCACTCTCTGACAGTTTTGCCTATTGTCATTTATTCACAAAGCATTTCCAGCTAGAATTTCCATGTTCTTTACTGGAAAAGCTCTGAAGCTTGCACTGTTTCCATATCTACCTCCATCAACAAAACTCTTAAATTTTTTCTACCAAGGCCTTGTCAAATTGTGTACTTGTCAAAAATGCACATAAGAACTAAAGTACAAATGGCAGCAACTCTTTAATTCTGACATTCATTTCCACTGTCTGGGAGAGATGAGAAACACTGCCAGCAGAAAATGTTTAACCTAAGAGCATCTCAGAGAGTTTAGGCTGGGTCAGATGTGTCATGTACTGTTGGCCTACCAGGACTTAGGTACTGGTGACAGAGCTCATATTCTATTGTGGGATGGATAAATTCCAAACAAACAGAAACATAATTTTTCAGGGCTTCCCGACTGTGTATTTATAATTTAATACAACATGTTTCTTCCAGTACATGATTTCCTCATAAGACTTTTTGCATAGAGTTTAAAGTAGTAACTACAAAGAGAAAAATGAAATGGAGGCCATCGAAATGAGATTTGGTGAATTGAGGGGAAAACAAATGAAAAATAGCCATAGAAAATGCATATAAAGAGTGACAGCAAGAGTCTAAAGTAGACGTCTAGCCAATCATCTCCCCACACACTCCCCCAAAGTCTACCAATTCCAATATCAAATCACATCAGTTTGATGACTGGATAAAACGTATCAATGAAGCAGCCTCTTACTTGTTAAAACCACTGCATTGTCAGATGGTGAGATAGACAGCTCTGCAACATCCTCCTCTTTCTTCACAGGTGAGAAACGAACGAGGAAGTTGGTCAGTTCAATGGAGGTTGGTGGAGTCCAAGTTACTCTTATAGTGTCATGGCCCACATTGGTAAAACGCAGATCAGTGGGAGGAGGGACAGCTGAGGTTAAAAGACAATATTTTCAGTAATTTTAGAAGCACCAGAATTCGATTCAATAGTGTTTCAAAAATATACAAACAATCCCATGCAAAAAAAGGGGGGGGGGGAGGAATCCATTACAAAATCAAACCCATGCAAATGTACTACTAAACTATGTTTCATTCCACGAAAGTAAGCTGCAGTAATCTTTCAATCTTTCATTATACAGTTAAAGCTGATGTAAAGCACCTTTAACCTCTCAGCAAAACCGTTATGGATTCCAAATGTATTCCATAATATTACTTTTTTAAAGAAGAAAAAAGACAAGCAGTGAGTTCCTGTATTGTTGTCTTTTGCCTATGGATCTTGCGATCCATCTCAAATCAGAGCTCAGAGGCGGGAAAAGGCACCACTTCCATAACACTAACATGCATACAGAGGGGAGGATGAACAATAGCTGTGAAGTCTCTAGGACTCTACAACTACTTACATAGGAAAAGGTTATAAAGCCTTACCCAGCTAAGGTGAACATAGTAGTCTTTCCATGCAAAACAAACTCCCAGGTCATTTTCTGTACATGCACTACAGAGGTTTCAAAGACTGCCATGCCTGTCACTAGCGTGATTGGAGGATGCCTTCTTCCCCAGACCATTTTGGGGGAATCACTTGAACACTTGGGCCACTAAGTGAGGATTAGGACAATGGACTCCAAGATATTGCTTTTGTATTTATCTCCACTGTGGCTAGGAAAGCCAATGTGGATACTTCACATAGGTTCTGAAACTTCTGAGATGTGGGTTCAAGCCCAGCTCAGATATGCACTGTGAAATGATAATAAAGCTGTGAGAAGAAATGTTAGAGAAATGTTTTCTATCCACAAAAACATTAGGAGATAGAATTGCAAAAGCCAAATAAATTATCATCCCCTGAGAATTTGGCAAGATGCTTCAACCTGCTATTGAGATGCAAGATTCAACCTCAAATTGGTGGAAATACTAAAAGGAAATTATGTGTATAATGCTGTATATCTGTTCCCATTGAACTTCCAAAAATGTCCCCTGGCCACCTCTCCCTAAACAAAGCAAGAGGCCCATTTCTCCACTGAGCAAACCAGTCGTCCAAGCAGCTAGTGACAGCATGAAACAGTCCTCTCAACACAGGAGGTCTTCAACAATCACCAGTTTGCTGAGTCAGCGTAGCAGGGGCACTCTCTCCGCCATTAATGAGTGTGATTACGCTGATCTCATAATCAATGCCCGGCTCCAAGCCTGTGACCGTATAGTGTCCCTCTGAAGAGTCCACAAAATCTTCAGAAATGGGGACACTTTCTCCTGCTGCAGCTACTGTGATGCGGTAGCCAATAATGGTGGAGGCATTTAGTGGGGTCCACCTCAGGCCGATGCTTGTATCAGTTACGTCGACAAAGCTTAAGTCAGTGAGGTGGGGCACCTCTATTGTGTTACAGAGCAAAACAGGGAGCCAAAGACAAACGGAGGCAAAATACAACAAGAAGGAAGAGAAAGAAAAAGCAGTGATCATCAGTGAATTCAGCAGTGAATTAAAAGTGAAGAACTAGCGAAGTAATTGTGGTGATATGCGATATTTCCCTACGAAAAGCAAGTCCACCATTTACAACATACAGCAATGGGTTAGATAGCTAAACCCTCTTACAATACCTGCAGAACATCTCTTCTGAATGTCATTAGAGATGTTCTGCAGGATTTGCAGCCAATTCTCATGAAACACTCTGCCAGCAAACATGTTTTTAGGATGGAGCAAAATGGCACCTGCTCCAGCATATGTAAAACAACAAAGGAGCCCATCTCGGGGGGCCGGAGGGAATCAAATTGGCAGGAATGTATGAGACCCTATCAACTAATGCTTGAGCCCCACAGTCTTAAAAGTTTGCTTCTCCAACTAACACATATGCTTGCCCGTACCAAGTTTTCCTTGTACAAATCATTAGTGGTTAATGACAGCTTGCCTGGGTTATACATGTTCCACACAGATAATCAGGTTCAGATTGTTTTGCCAGTTGCAGTATTACTCGAAAGCAATTGCCTTGGTTAAATATTCTACTTTCAATTAGGATAAAGTGGGGAGGAAACAGTTTCTATGCGTCACGTCACAGACCAGAAGGCTGTAGACTTATGGGTGGGGGAAGTTGCCAACCAGTCCACAACCGAGAAGACACTTTTAAAAAAAGAGAGGCTAAGGATGGTGATCAAGTGGCTCAGACACTTTTAATGGATTCATTAGTGTGGCTGGGGAAACCCAGCCTGAAGGGCGGGGTATAAATAATAAATTATTATTATCGTAACGGGACTAATATTGCTTCTTTTGTGCCTGCTTTTTTGACCTGCACTACAGACGTTCACTCCTATTAACTTAGTATCTAACAAAGCCATTCTTTTCTGAGTGCAAACTTTTAGAAAGATCATAGCCTTGAAACATAATCCTACTCGGAGTTAATCCCACCAGGTAACTGTGTACAGTACAGCAGTCTGAAACATAAAACATGTCATCCTTACAGAATTGTCATTTGTGAAGTTAAAAATGGCAAGGGATTCTAGTCTAAGTAATGAATGAGACATGTTCCTTTACCTGACATTGTTTTCATGGGCTAATCATCCTGAAGCAAAATATTGATTTTGTACATCCAGCCCTACATACAGTATATATTACACAGCCTGGTGATTATTCAGCAGGTAATTTCTAAGGCGAAGTAACACTTATGAGCAACAGCTGTAGCAAAGCTGGTTGATAGATCACTCTAGGAATAGAGTCCTACCTCACTTTGTCTTTGAATGGAAGCAGTTTTGAGGCGCTTACGTAAAATATGTTATGTGCTACTATACTATAGAGGGATGGGAAGGATGAGGAAAGGGACACAGCCTGTTTCAGGGCAAATGTGTGTTTTATGTTTTATTTGGTGGGAGGAGTATACAATTCTTAAATTGATAAGGAATCTTTCAAAGGTGGTCTACATCTGGTGCAAAACATTGGTTTAATAATTTCAGAACCTTTTTCCATTCTGTTATGGAAAACCACTGAGCAGAACTGAAAAAGAAAGTATCAATTTTCTACCAAATAACCACTTATCTTTGTGGGATATGCTTACCATATCACCTGTAAAGAAAGCACCAAAGACATACCAAAAAATTTTCCCCAGTGCTTCTTTGTGTTAGAAAGTGGCATTGGGTTAAGGACCTGATTGTTGAATTAATTCAAACCAGGGTGTTAGTTGCCCATAGGAGCAAAGAGAGACTCAACAAGAGCACAGAAATGCCAAGCAGTGTTAATGGCAAGCATCTGTGAAACACAGGAGCTGGGAGCCATTGGGGCAGGCGGGGGGGGCGGGCGGATAAGACAAAATTCCATAATGACAGGTTTGGGGTTTTACAGCACTACAAGCACAAGGCTAGACTGAGACATCCCAGACCATCATCTTCTACAACAGAAGAAGGGCAGGGTGTACATTTTCAGTCATAACACATACTTCTGAGCACAAATAAAGAGCAAAGAGATACTTTTTCTTGGTCTATAGCTGCAATCATATGCACATTTACCTGTGAGCAAGTCTCACTGTTAATAAAGTAGGGCTAACATCTGAGTAAACACAGATGAAGGCTTAAAATTTTACTAGGGATCAACTGGATCAACTTGCTCATTTTGTATTTCATGATATCTGGGATCAGCATGGCAACAGCTCAATACAGAGACGGTACACTTGACTCTTGAGTGAGCTTATCCAGCAGCAGAGAACATTGGTCCTCCACCAGAATCTTTCTAAACATCAAGCACTGTTGATTTTCAATGGGCAATGTCACCTGAACAAATAAGAACCTTATTTTCTAAAATATTCTTCACACCTCTGACCATCATTAACTGGTACTTGATCTGGTTTGTCTAGATTTGATACAGCAACATGGAAACCCACACAAAATGTAACATATGAATAAACCCAAAATGTTTAGTGATCCATTTCCCCTGAGTCAGAGGCAGCGAATCCAAGGCCAATCTGCTCACCACTGTTGTATACCTATGCAAAATAAGACAATAGTATAAAAACCATATGGAATGAGCAAGTATGTTTGTCTTGGTGTCCAGGGCTGTGATCCTAATTAGAAGTAAATTGCACTGAACTGAACAGGATTTATTTATGAATAAACATGCACACAACCAATGAAAAATCTTCACCGAAAGATGTTCAGGTACAGCTTTCATAAGTACAGAAATTTATAGGATGGCTCCCTGTGAAATTTGTCAAATCTGCTGCTCAGTTTTTAAATTTTACCTTGTGTGATGGTTTCAAAGATGGGCGAGCTCTCCTGGTCATCTTTGACTGTGTAAACACTGACATTGTATTCCACTCCGGGACTCAGATTTTCAAAGATGCAGGATGTCTGTTCAGCATCAACTTCTTCCTCCAGAGTGAAACCTTGCTGTCCATTTGTAGGGACAGTAGTAATTCTGTATCCAGTTACATCTAAAGCACAAAAGTAAAGGGCTTAGTTGGCACTTATACTCTACTTCCTTAAAACTAGACAGAAGCACAGCTATTTAAAAATGTGAAATGGTCTTAAAACCTGGAAATCTGACAGCAAGAAGGTCCCCTCCAATTGCCTGTGACACATAATTGTTTTCACAGAACGTGGGGCAAGTATGAAGCATTCTGATGTTTCCATTTGTTATAGACTTATAGAAATTGCAGGAATATATACTTTCAATATAATCCAATGAGATGTGCTTCATGAACATACTGAGACACAGATCTATGGTGTGTTTCAATGTTAATTTTCCATTTTTCTCCTAAATACATTATTTTTAACACAAATGTTTGAAAGACAACCTTTCAAAGGTGTTTGATAGCTTTGAGGGAGGGCATTCACAAAGAAATGCAATACGTTGTAGAAGAGTTACCATATTCTTACCCTCCTTGTTTTCTTAGTGGGCAGATTCCAGTGGTGCTATTCTTTTTCAAAATACTCCCTAGAAAGGAGTGCCCTCCTTTCCCTCTGTACTAGAAATGGCACTATAACAGATGTATCCAGTATCTGGTTAACAATGCCCAAAATGACAGCTCATCTTGGAGAATTGCTGAGGATCTAGAGTGCTGCACAGTCAAAAGGGCAGTTCCTAGCCATGCACAATATAAATACCTGGAGATGTGCTTCTTTCCCACGAGACAGTGAGGATTCCAGTTTTGGGGTTGGAATCAAGTTCCAAGTTGGTTGGTGGTGACAGAGCTATAAGTAGTAAAATCATTGTTTTAAGATTTCACTAGATAGGCAACAGAAAGAGTTTTCAGTATTAGTTGCTTTTTTCAAAAATGAAACTCAATGTGACTTACAAAAAACATTAAAAACAGTGCTAAAACAGCCCAAACTACAAACATATAACATGTATAAATAGAATAGACGCAAACTCCACCCCACCACACTAAAAGAGAAGCAGGAAGTTAAGATCCAAAGGTATGGATAAACAAGAATGTTTTTGCCCGGCGCCTAAAAAGAGATCTTCCCTGGGAAGATCATTTCATAAACAAGGGGCCACCACAGAGAAAGCCTATTCTCGCACTGCCACCCTCTGCACTTCCCTTGGAATGCAGGGCGCAGATTAGATTATATGGGGACAGACAGTCCTTGAAGCATTGGGGTCCTAAACTGCATATGGCTTTAAAGGTAAAAACCAGCATTTTGAATTGGGCCAGTAAACCATCTGGCAGCCACTGCACACAGGCCAGGATTGATGTTCTGTGCTCAGACCATCATGAGCAACCTGGTTGCAGAATTCTCCAACATTTGCAGTTTCTGAAACATCTTCAAAGGCAGCCCCATTACAGTAATCTAACCTAGAGGTTACCAGAGCAGAGACAACACAAATATATCCCTGTCCATATAGGGTAGGGGTGGTGGGGCCAGCAGCTGAAGCTGATGGAAGGCATTTTGCACCACCAAAGCCACCTGGAAATATAAAACCTGAGCATCAAAAGGTTCTTCCAAGAGCTATTCTTCCAACTTACACTATTTTCTCTGGGTCATGGACTGAACCCTGCTCTCTAAGCTAGCCATGACATGTTGTGAGCTACCAAAGCCCAGCAGCACCTCATGGCAGTCTGATCCTTATGGGCTGGTCTGCTGGAGGTGTCAGGATGTACCAGGCCCAGGTTAGCAGGAAACAAGTCTTTTCTGTGGTAGGAATACACCTGTGCTACCCCCTCTTCCACATATACTGGCTCAAATCTGCCAGATTTATTTTACAAAGAAACCACTCCAAAATAATTCCACAGACTTCTGTGGGGGATAATGGCTTTGGGATCTTTGGCCTAAAAAAGCAGTGTTCATTATGTGATAGTTAAAATGTGTCATACGTGTAACTATTGTCTTGGTGATGGGTGTGATCCTCTCTTGACCATCCATGAGTACTGTGATGGTGTAGTCGTAATGCACACCAGGAGTCAGACCCGAGATGACAATGCTCCCAGACTCAGAGATGACCTCCCTTGGAGCTTCTCCACCTTGGCTTGGTCGCACACCCAGCTGCAGAAGGAAAAGAATGAAGAATTATTCACAGCTAACAATGGCTGCTGTAGTATGTACTCCTGTGAAGAACACCAGTATAGCTTAATGTGGATGATCAAAACTATTAGGAGTTGAATTCTGCAAAGATATATGCATGGTGGAACCCGAGCTTTCTGAGAACTTCAGGATTTCATTTCAGAAAAGTAGATATCTAGTCCTCAGTATTGTAGAGAGCAGAGACTAAAGCAGGGAGGAAAAGGGAAAGAGTTCTGTGGCTCTAACAGCTTCTGGTTTCTCTGCTGACTTTCCATTCCTAGCATCTTGCCTCTGCTGCCCCTTCTCCCTTGGCTTCTTAACCACTCTATCAAAAAAACCCACAACAACTCTATCTGCAACCAAATGAAATACCAAGTTTGGAAATGTTTAATTATTTCTATTAAGCAATTTTATGTGCTGTAGAATTGTTCATTCTGGGCTCAGAACTAAGAGTTTTCTTGAAACATAGCCTGTACTTTTTTTTTTTTTTTTGGCACAAGAACTACTAGAACTAAGAATGATTAACAACAAACATGAAATCTTATGCACGCTGCAGCAAGGTTCCCTTTTTGCACCAAGGCCACATTAGCAGGATAACATATGCTAGACAACATTTTCACAACTTCATTTCATCAGGATGCTTTTGTGTGTGTGTGTGTGTGTGTGTGTGTGTGTGTGATTTCTTGTTAATTTTTGCTTCTTTGTTAGCTGCTTAGGAGATTACATTCAAACCACTTTTAACTGTGGATTTTATAAGTTATAAACAAATGTTTGTAGCTGCTCCAGGAACCTTTGAACGAATGCCACCTCCTTTAACTTCTAATCTGTTACATCAGGCTTAAAACAAATGACGTTCAGCCAGTGTATCAATTGCTACTACAAGTTGTCAAATGCCATGAGCCATTAGTTGTAATAAGCCCTTTTGAACCAGGGGTCTCTCCCCCTGCTGAGGTAGATTGGTTTTCATGTCTGTTTAAGTGATACCTGAAGTACTGGCAGGGTGGGAATTTGTGGCTGTTTTCTTACCTTAAACCCAATTCTTGGAGCTGGTGTCCAGGTAATAACAATAGATGTTTCTGTCACTTCAGTGGTATAGTGAGGAACAGAGCCTGAGGGCTGTACTGTAAGATGAAATCACAAAAAGAGCTCCCATTTAAACAACATCACGACACTTAGAGATGCCAGCTTGCCATGAACTGTATTTTATATTTTGCCTCTTATTGTAAGAGTGTCACATACAACATCTGCTGCTGTAATATTTTTATTTGTAGTATGGAATTTCCTTGGACTAGTTTATTTATTTAATTTGTCAGTCGCTTATCTTGCCCAGCGCAACCCAAAGCGACTTACAACCAAGCAACTAGTCAAACCCCGCATAGATACTGTACATTAAAACCAAAAAGAAAGAGAAATACATTAAAAACATCACACCCTAAAAAGCTGCAGATAATTAAAGGCCAAAGGCCTGGTTATAGAGGAAAGGTTTTGGCTGGTGCCTAAAGAGATATAATGCTGGAGCCCGGTGATCCTCCCTGGGAAGGACACCCCACCCCAGAAAAGGAGGCACACAAAGAAGGGCCTGAGAATCTGAGCACAAGGTCAGAGCTGGTTCCTATGGGGAGAGGCGGTCCTGAGCTGCTTAAAGGTCAAAAACCAGCACTTTGCGTTGGGCTCTGACACTGATTGGCAGCCAGTGCAGTCGGGCCAGGAATGGAGTTACAGTGGTACCTCGGGTTGCAGGCGCTTCAGGTTACAGATGCTTCAGGTTACAGACTCTGCTAACCCAGAAATAGTACCTTGGGTTAAGAACTTTACCTCAGGATGAGAACAAAAATCGCGCGCCAGCAACGGGAGGCCCCATTGGCTAAAGTGGTACCTCACGTTAAGAACAGTTTCAGGTTAAGAACGGACGTCCTGAACAAATTAAGTTATTAACCCGAGGTACCACTGTATATGCTTGAACCGTCCTGCCCGGTTAGCAGCCAGGCCACTGAATTCTGCACCAACTGGAGTCTTCAGAGGCAGTCCCAAAATTTGCAGCAGGAGGTGGGCATTCTCACCAGGAAATTAGTCCTGTTATAAAGAGTAGTCTACAAACTCTGTGGGCCTAATTCCAGAGAGTTGGACTCTAGTCCTGTGAGCTGGAACCCAAATTCCTACAAAGATGGTCTTTAAGCATACTATGTGGGTAACCAGAGAGGCATAGGAGCATATTCCATGCCCCCAGCAGTTATCTCTCCATGAGAAGGAAAGAGGGTTTAGCATTCTCTCAGCTCTTCCACAGGTTCATGGTGCAGTCAAGTAATTCGAGGCTCTGGGTTTGATGGTCTGGTGGTGGTGGGCTCTTTAGATAGGAATGTGTACAAAATGTGAGAAGCCAGGTCTGATATGTTTGAGAGTTGTCCTCATTTTGCTGAATGGGGGCCCAGGACTTTTACCCCCAAAGTCTTCCCGTCCTGATAGCAGCACAAGCTCTTTAGCAGGCTTTTCCAGAAGTCCTGAGATTCCTCCTCCTTGGCCTTCCTATCCCCACTTTGTTTTGCAACCATTATTACCATGCCTGCCACCACCTCCTTTCTTTCCCATGAGGAGGAGAGTTCTTGTGACAGCACAGGGAGGCAGCCATCCCAGAAGCTGAGCCCACCCAGCGCTCAGTAGGCCAGGCTCAACTCTTTAGTACCAGGATAAAGAGTTTGCATTTCATTCCAACTCTTGCCTGCCAAAGCAGATTTAGTCATTGCCATAGTAACCAGGCTACTCTTCTTCCTGCCACCTGGTCCTCAGGGTCATGGGCTAACCAAAGGAGATGGTTCATTCCAACAAAACACGTTTACATGTATGAATGCATATGAACCCCAAACCAGCTCCTGAGTGCAAAGCTGGAAGCAGCCGGCATAAGGCCTGAGCACTGCGCATTACTTCTAGTTTGCAAAGTAGAGGGATCTCATTATTTACATCAGCTTCAAAGTGAGTTCAAAGTACTACCCAGCAGAGAAAACAACACCGCATGGCTACCAAAACAGCGGCTTCCCTTCCTCTGTAAACAAGTAAAATGTTGCCAATTTGGGATAAAAATCCCTAATTAACTGCCTCTGAAGGAATGTCTGCAAGACACACTGGCTGTTGTGTAGTAGCAACTTTAAGTATACACCCAAATGCACTTAATTAAATAGACTTAGGATGTGGCTCCAAAGTTAGGTCTGGTGAGCCAGATGAGCTAGTATAAAAAATGTAGCCAGCTGCCCAGGAATCAAAAGCTATATTAAAAAGACACCTATATATCAAGTGTGTCCATCTCTCCCACACAGATGACAGGGTGACAACTTCTAAAATCTGTCGCTGGTTCCTTCTGGTGAAAGCGTCACACCACATCTGAGTCACAGCCTGCTATCACTTCCAGTAGTGGTAGACCAGAATGACTCTACTGGGCGGGGGGGGGGGGACTGGAAGCAATATTAGAGTATTAATATGTAACTTAGATCCTGGTTGTCAGGCACATTTAACTTGGAACAGATACAAGCCAGAGGACAGCTAATAAAAAACCAAGGCAGCAGTTTTAAGATCAGGAAGTTTCTAAACCAAATATTCTAAAAGTCTGAACCAAATATGGCTCTTTTGTACATGTGCTATGTCATTGATCAACTCAACTTTGGAATCAGCCTGAAGCTTTAGTCTCATCTCAAAACAAATTGCAGAGACACCACCTACAGGTGACCAGCAGAGTCTACTCAGGTCTACATAACTTGTGACCCACCAAAACAAATGCAGCCTACAAGTCACATATTGTGGCATGCAAGTTGGCTCCAACAGTGCATCACCGCCACCCTGACGTTGGGAGGGTGGCAGTGCTACTCTGACCCACCACACTAGCCGCTGATGGAGAAACCTAATCCCATGCTTTGTTTTTGCAATGCCAGGAAGGCAACAAAACCAGGAGATTTACTGAGCCCCAGATGAGCTGCTATTGCATGGCCAATCTGCAATGCTCAGATGGCTGGATCACATCATCCATGACAGATGGCCATCCAACCATTAATTCTGTCTATCACAGTAGAGTCAGGCAATTCACATGATTCTTGCACTTCAAGATGGCTTTTGGATCTTGTGGTAGAAATCTGCATTTCACCACGCAAGGTGGCAATATGTATCCAGCAAGGTTGATCTTGAAGCGCTGTGGTCATCAGATTACTACAGGCTATGATATGAAACCAAAGCTTAGAACTCTCTCTTCAACTAACAGGTAAGTAATTCCCAAAACGTGTTAGGCAGAAGCTATGCTCAAAATACCAAGGAACGAAAGGGACCCTGACCCACTCCTTTGCCTTTTGTACTGGCCACCTTAGCTATTGCTCTTAAGGAGGTTCCAATGGAAGACTGGAGTAAAGGAGTAAAAAATGGGCGGCAATTTCCAATGCTAATGGAAGGTGATCTGGTAGTATTAGGGCACAGGGAGGAGCTGGCAGATTTATTATTTTTATACTCCACTGATGACAGCAGGTATCTCAGCACACACAACTACAAACCTTACTACGTGTAACCTCACACAGCTTCATGTTCTATACTAATAAATTTTCCTCTCTCTTTTTTTAGACACAACCTCATCATAAGCCTGGGAAATATCAGGATAACTGAAACAATATCCAAAGCTGCTTCTTGCTTACAAGTTGTGAAGATTCCTGTTTCCGGGTTGCTTTGCTGGTCTCCTTTGATAGCCACTAGGGACACAGTGTACTCAGAGGCAGGCTGCAGGTTCCTCAGCTGGTATCTGGTGACTGATGGCCCCACGGTGAACTCTTTGGGTTGCCCTCCTGTTGTGAGGCTCACAGTAAGCCGGTATCCTGCAATGCGGCTACGAGGGGGCCTCCAGGTCACCAGCACAGTAGAGTCCGTCTCATTGACAAATCGCAGGTTAGTTGGGCCATCCAGTCCTAGAAGAGAAAGCCAAACAATCATTTTACATCTTCTTAGGAAGCCATTGTTCTTCCCTCCTCCCTGCCTAAACATATAGAGCAGGGCTTCACACAACAGTTGCTACTGCTACCACTAGTCAGTATTTATTTCATAACAGCGACCTCACATCTTATGCCAAAAGTTAAGATCAGAACAGATAAAAGAAAGTGCTTCTTCACACGGTGGAACTTGCTCCCAGAGGAGGCAGTGATGGCCACCAATCTAGGTGGCTTTAAAAGAGGATTAGACAAATTCATGGGGGGTGGGGCTCTTGAGGACTGCTAGCCACGCTGGCAGCAGTAATGCTTTAGAATACCAGTTGCTGAGGACCACTGGATGGGATGGTGCTCTCCTGCTCCAATCCTGCTCCCTGCTTTCCCATAGGCATCTGGTTGGCCTCTGTAAGAACTGGATGCCATTGGCCTGATCCAGCAGTCTCTTCTTATGAACCACTGGAATCTGGGCTCTTATCCAAGTTGGCACCTGGATATTTAGAGGTATTTTAAAGGAGCGCAGGTACCTAATCTTCCTTCCTTGGGTTTGTTTCTTACATAAACACATACTGTGCCAACTATTGTACTGTTCCCCACATGCAGAATGTCTTTAGTTACAGCAATTAACAACCATGATCACAAAATCTACAGTTCTATCCCTTCATTGCATAGCAAAGAGGCAATACTTGTATGTTTCCAAAACGTTTAAAATAAATTGTGATTATATATATTTGTTGTACAGATGAAAAGGAAAGATCCATAGATTTCATAAGCAAGTATTCAATTGGTCTGAAGGACTAGTTATCTTGAAGGACTGGGGGGGGGGGGTTTCATTGGGAAATCTCGTCTGTTCTCTTTTCCCATAGATTTCAATTATAGCACAGGATTTATGTGAATGTTTTTCAAACTGTGGTTTAGATGAAGCCATTCTGGTCATGATCATAATGAATGGAAAGCACAGTTGCAAACACCTGTTACCAGCTCATGCCTATTAAGAATAGCTGTACTCAGCACTACTACATTTGGGATCTGGTCCATCACTGCCCTCAAAATACACAATTTTAAAACTGTATCACAATGACAGCACAGTAGATTGCTATTTTGCTTTACCCTGACAAGATCATGCGGACATTCTGCATTAAGACGTGTTTTGAGTTTTACAAAGACAGTGGCTGTGACCAAGAATCCTTCACTGAAGGTTAGGTGTGAGTGCCTATGCATGTGCACAATATTTAATTCAACAGTCTCCACCACCAACTCATGATCTCAAAAAAAAAAAAAAAAGGAAGTCTGAAGTTCAGTTGGAAGGAACTCCTGAACCAGAAAAGTAGCTTTTGATAAAGAAATTCTCTTGCTGAACTATCCTGGCCACTAACATCCACATTTCTAATTGTAAATAAATATTTGTGAAATATTGAGATTTCTGGCAGGATGAGGTTGGAACAAATATATAAACATAGTTAAAGAAAATTTACTTACTGGTTGTTTGTTCTCCCGTCAGTGGCTCACTTTCTGTGCCTTGTCCGAGGGCATAGACCTTGAAAACATAGGTTGTTCCAGGCAGAAGCTCTGTGACCTCAGCAAACGAATACCTAGTAACGGGCAGCCTCTGACCATGTTCACCAGGGCGGTTAACTGGGATCACTTCTACGCGATAGCCGGTCACAGCACTTTCAGGGGGGGTCCACATGATGGTGACTTTGACATCTGTGACTTCCACAAACTGCAAATCCTTGGGTGAAGGAACCACACCTAGCCAGAAAGATGCACAAAGCACACCCCTTACTGAACTGCAAAGTGACCGCAATGACAGGGGGGGGCTAACCTGGACCCCATATTACAACTGCCCTTTTCACGCTGCCACATTTTGAAAGTAGCTGCCAGGTGGGAATGGTTTAAATGTAACCAAAACTAAGTAAAAAGAATGCCCATTACATCCCACTACCATATCACAGAGGAATTGATGTTCCCTTTTCCAATGTCCCTCAAAAGTCCTTCCCATTGTGTCACTCAAGAAAACCAATCAGCTTCTGGTGGAGTTGGATGAATCCAGGAAGTCCAGTTTCTCTTTCACATTTGGAGGGTGGTATAGCTTTGGAGGGACATAGGGAAGAGCAGTGGAAATATAGTAGGCACTACCTTCCTGTGGTGCTCCTGTGGTCGTCTTCTGAATGAAAATAGGAGAGCTCTCCTGATTCTCTTCCACAGCATAGATGCTAATATTGTATTGAACACCAGGCATCAAGTCACTGAGCGTCACCGAGGTAGCAGACTCTGGTAGGTTGAGTTCTGTACTGCTGCCTTCCACAGATGGAGTATAGACAATTCGGTACCCTAAGGTAGCCAGAAATGCATGGTTAGCCCATGGCACAGAAACAAAACCAAATGGGAGACATCTGCTCACCCCTATGTTGAATTAGCCACCGTTATTATTCAAGCCTTTATTTGATCCTGCACATTTCAGAAACTGAGGACTAGTGAGCCTGCATAAATTAAAATTTAGGAGGACTATAACATTATGAATCACAATACTTCAGAGCCCTCTGTTTTTATTAGACAGGCAGCAGGATTGATAGTCACCTCCTGCATGCCTGAAATATATACTTTTTGGTGTATAAAGAGTTTAGTCCTCGGCTATATTGCCATGCGTTTGCCTCTCTTACAACTGAAGAAAAACAAAATGCACCAAAATTTAAAAACCAAGACAAGTAAATGAGCCAGACCTGTGATTGGAGCTTCTGGTCTGTTCCAGCTCACGACTATTGAAGTGTCATCAACCTTTTCTACATGGTGCTCAGGAGGAGCATCAGGTGCTGTTTAAGGAGAGAGAGAAATATGAAAGTCTAATGGCACAAAAAGGAAACGACCAGCTTCAAAGGGAAAATATGGTGGCCTGGTGTCTTTCCTTGCCAAATATTGTGTGATCCAACATACCCGTTGTCTGTGTGGTGGACAGAATTAAATCCTGCTCTCCCTCTTCTGAGAGCTCATAGACCTTGACGATGTAATTGCGACCCGGAAGTAAGTTGGAGATACTAACTGAATGGGCTGTGCTTGGAAGATCTTTAAAAAGAACAAATGAAAAACAGGGAATGTTTATTATGTGCAACCAACCAACCAACCAACCAACCAACCAGGATTCTAGTGCTACAATGCCATGCTTTGGTGTAAACCCCAGTGAATTCAGCAGGAATTCTTTTGAAGAAAACATGTATCAGATTGGACTGCCCTGGGCACTTCTGAAAACTCCAGAAAACTGAAGTGAAACTCACTTGGCAAGAAATTAAGAGGTATGAATGAAGCCTCCATACACAATTGTATGCAGTTTCAGAAAATTCTAAATAATTCATATATCTATAATTATGAGACTTATATTTTCAATAGCAGAACAAAAGTTAGGCAGCAATCCTTAACATAGCTGGGAATTCAAAGGGACTTACTTTTGAGTAGACATGGCTATGAGGACAACCATACTAGATAAGCTTTATAGGCTGAAATGAAATTAACCCTATTTATGTCATCTGCGACTGATGCTCATCCAATCTTACCCAAGTACTTGGGCTCATCCCCATCTTCACTCAGTTCATATTCCACGCGGAATCCTGAGACAGTGTCTGAAGCAGAAACCCAGGAAACCACAAAACTATTGGCTGTAATTTCTGTGATGGATTCCGAGATAGAAACCACAGAAGGAAGTGCTGTTGTTTCTCCTATCACATGAGTACCTGCAAAGCAAAATTAATATATAAGCAATAGTTTCATGGAAGGAAAAACAGGAGAAATCAAGAGCTATTGCCTTACATAGGCTTTGATTTTATGCAAAAGTATGTTTAAATACAGACTTTTAATACTTTTTTATTTTTGTTAATTGTGAGTTAAAACTGATAGCAAAAGGGCTGAACAATGGAGTGATTTGGGGGTATTTCTCCCCCCCTGAATGAAACCATGACATCAATAACCCCTTGCAACTTGGGGTGGGGTGTTCTTGGCTGGCTCCCTGACAGCAGAACACTCAAGACCTCTGGGTTGGTGTTGGGTGTTGTCGTTGTTAAAGCACAGCAGTAATTATTTTTTTAATAAAAAAAAAAAGATTAAAGCTTCATTTATAAATCCTACATAGTTCTTTTAGCAAAAAACTGCAAAACCCCAGAGCTCTTGAGAAGTCCATAGGCAGCATTCTAGGCAGCCTCACATTGTAAGGCCAACGGAAGACACAGACATGCACTCGAAAGGGAAGACCAAAGGGAAGCTATAGATTTTAAGATGTACAAGCAAATATGCATACCACTTGGCGACCTCTTACTTTAAGGTAAGAAAGACCAGGGAAACAAATACCCCCTGCACCCCTCCACATAAGATATTACGGTGAAAAGTGAACCGCTTTGACTTCACCCACAAAAAAGTTCTGCATTTGCTTGTTTGCAATTTGGCAGGTTTAATCCATTGTGGAGAAGCTTGTGTGCCTATGAATCTCATCCACGTTAGCAAAAAGGTGAAAACTTTATAGCCATTTTTAGATTCCCCATCATAGTGAATGGCGAACACAGAGGTTTGTTTTATACGGAGGGTCTCAGAACCTGAAACAGATCAAAGTAGGGCTGGGCAGGCACACACACACACACACACACACACACACACACAGAGTGATATATCAGTATATCACAATGTTATACCAGGGATATGTGTCACAATGTTGAAAACCAGATATCGCCCAGCCCTAGATCAAAGCAGAGAAAGCACAGAGTGGCAGGGAAGCAGACTGGTATTTTTCAAAAATGCACAGAAACAAAGTGAAATGTGAGGCTACTGGATACCGTTCTATGCCATTACTGTTGGTATAGGAAATATTATGGCAAACAATACTGTAGAACTAAGGCTGGCTATGTGCTAGCAACACAGCAACTATCAGAAGTTTCAAGACTGTTTCAAGACTGATATACATTAAAGCGAATACTACCAGCAATGCAAAACAAATGCTATTATTATTATTATTATTAATTATTATTATTATTTATTGAATTTGTATACTGCCCTGTACCTGGAGGTTAAGCATCTGTCTATCTTGGGAGAGAATGAAATAATACTTACTTGAAATAGCTGTGGTGCTAGAGGTGGTAAATTCAAAACGGGTGACCTCTCTCTGGCCATAGTGCTGAACACTAATAAGCTGTCCCTCATAAACGATACCAGGTTTCAGGCCTGAGATAGTGTAAGAATTATAATAGCCTGGGATGGTGGCCTCTTTCCACTTCACTCTAGAATTTTTCTAAAGGAGCAAAACACAGAGGATATTAGAACAGGAATATGGCAACAGAAGAAGTCCGTGTGTTTCCTTCATTATGAGGAAGATTCTCATTTGCTTCCATTTATAAATATCATCTGCATTTCCTTTATGGGACAATGATATGGAAGGAACAGGTGCTGCTTAAAGGAATGCAGAACAAAAGCTTCTTTCAACACTTATCTCATGGACCAATCCATATTTTGAAGAGCAAGTGGCACAGATACCATTTTGAATGCATGGTTTGTGATATATCCACTGCAGTTCACACATGTCATGGGAGCCGGTCCAAAGACTTTGGTGAAAAGGAGGAATGTAAACCAACTAAACAAAAAACCAAACCAAACAGATCCTAGTAGTTCATATATGGCATATTCTTTTCCTCATGGTGCATATTCAGTCCCTAAATTGGCCAGAGAAAAATGTACGCAAGGCTCCTGCAGTTTGTTTGTAGGAGAGGAAATTGCGTAGTTTTAGCTTGTGTGACAAGCAACACCTGCCAAAACTCTCTTCAGTGCAACTATTAAATGTGCAGGAGCACATGCTCTCTTCTTCATTGGTCCCCAAAGAGTCTTTAGCAATCTCTTTCATTAGAAGGCTGGATCTTTTGAAGTGCCTCTATGTAACCCCTTGGAGGCCTGACGTGCAACACATCCATTAACTGCTGCATGTTTGCTTTTGCAGCAGGAGTGAGGTGAAGCAAGGAACCACTAGACTTCCATCTGACCCCATGAAGCTGGTGGCTCTACCCCAGCTCCCCCAACTGAGCCACTCATTGCCAAATACATAATATTTGGGACACTTTCTTGTTTCCAAGACCTAATCCCTGCCTCCCTTGGCAGCTACTTTGACACCATTCTGTTCATCTCAAAAAAGGTTCCTTCTTCGCTATACAACCCAGACTAATTATGGGTCATTGGGTGGATGTGATGGCACAGTACCACTCAGCCAATCAGATTTAGCCGCATCTCTTGCCTTTGCTTGAAATGACGAACAGGAACATATTCCTGTAACAATGGCAATGACGTCACTGCCATTTTTACTGACTTCTGCTTAGGAAGCATCAGCCCAGTGATCACAGCAATGGAAAAGGCTCCCCTGTCTACCATGCACATTTTCACCAGTGCCCCCAGTCCTCCAGGCAAAATCCAGCTGCAAAATTGAGGATGGGTATTTTAACCCATCTCATCCTCTTCGTGTAGGCTAGGCCACCAACCTCGGCACACTTACAGAATATATAGATTGTTAAGTACTGAATTAAGCCTTAAGAGTAAAAATTACTTCTATTGTATTGCCATGGTAGATTGTAATAACAAATTTTCATCTGCTTGCAAGACTTCTAGATTCTTGGGACTAAGAAAAAGTTGTTCCACAAATGAAACATGTGCTTACTGGTTTCCATCGGATGATGTACTTGGAAATGTGAGAGGATTCAGGTGCAACCCACTGAACAGGATGAGAATCAGGATTAATTGGGACATCTGTGATAATAACTTGGACAGGGCCAGTAGAACCTAAAATATAATTTTTTTCCATTAGTTTACTTACATCTATGCATCTTTTTCAAGTAAATTTATTTTCGTATTTCCCTCTTGCCTCCAATAATCATAACCCACCTACATTGTACAATAATATAAGGATTGTGTTCAACTTTTTTTTTCTTTTTGGCAAAACACAACACAATCTTCAAGAGTTACCGGATTTGTCCGTGTATAACACGACCCCTATTTTGGGGGACTTAAATTTATGAAAATGGGGGAAGATGACCCCCGTGTATAAGATGAACCCTGTTTTTTAACATTCTTTTGGAGTAAAAAAAAAAATCTATACATGGAAAAGTACAATATTCTTATGGTGAGATTCACCAGGAAATGAAATGTGGAAGCAGGTAATATATACAAATTTTTGTGATGTTGGCACATCACAAAAGGAGTGTGATATGGCTGCTTCATTACACATGCAAGGGCTTTCCAAATGTATTGCATTCATTTCCAAATCAACTCACACTCAGAACTTATTGGTTCCCCTTTTCCCTCTTTTATGCTCATAACAACCAGGTGAGTAGGTCAGGCTGAGAGTTAGTGATTTGCCAGGTCACCCACAAGCATAAAAAGTTATTAAATTCACAGCCCCTGTTTTTCATTTTATTGATGCTCAACTCATTTTAACCTTCAGTTTGTTTGTTTTGTACCACCTGCATCAAATTTCCAGTTAAATGCTGATTCAGTACAGCTTCTGAATGAGTATATGGTGTTTAGTGAGCAAGACTTAAATCCCCACAGCACATCAGCAAGGAACTGTCTGGCTCTGTGGAACCCTCTGTTATTTTAGCAATTAAATTCTTCCTTTTAAAGAAGTTTCCCTTTGCAAACTTGTTTGGACAACTGTACAGCATACATACCTGTGGAAACTTTTAAAAGCTTCAATAAAAACAAGCCCCCTCCCATGCTGGGGCTAGCTTTGAAATGGTCTCAACTGCCAAAGAGATACTCAGGAACTCGGTTGTTTGATTTACCCCCACATTTTCCATCCATCTTGTATCTAAGAAGAGGCCTTGGCTACTATTCTGAGGGTACACATATTCCACATAACTCCTTGAGATGGGTTGTTGTAACAGTCGCACAAGAATACCGGGACTCAATTATAACTGCAAAAGCCAACCAGAGGAACCTGAGGACTTGTGTTTTCATTTCACATGCCTCAAGATGTACTATTTCTCTCAACAGAATACTATCACTTTGGAGTAGTGAGACTCGTGCAGGCCACACTCCACCTCATGTTCTATGTCCTGAGTCTCACTGCTCAACCAGCCCCAAAATAAGTCTTGCTTTTTTCAGGGGTGCTATCTCAGAATTGTTATCCTGAGGTAATAGAACACTGCCTACAGGAACAAGGAATCCCAGGCTGCTTCAGCCCTGAATGCATGCTGACCCTCCAGAGTCAACATTATTGTTCCTCTGGTGAACTGTGAATCCCACAAAGTATACTTTGTCACAAAGAAGGCCTAATCTAAGAAAATCAGTCCTTAATTTTCCATCTACTACTGCCCCTCAAAGAACGTTAACTGGCAGCAGTCATGGGAAGAGTCAAATCCAGTTCTCCAGCTTCCTGTGGGAACCATCTTCCATGTGAACAGTTATAGGAATTGTTTTGTACAACATTGTTAACTGCCTTGAACATGCCAATGGAAAAGCAGGATATTAACTCAACAAGTAGATAATCTTGAGTGGGGCTGTGAAATTGGTCTGGGCTGCATCTCATTCAACATTTACTGTTCCCATCTCAGTACAAAACATACATATTTTGCAACAGGTGGAACATAGTGCATACATGTTTAAATGTATGCCACTTTCTACTCCAAAATTCATAAAAATGGAACCCAGTTCTTTCCTGATTACTACTTACTTTTCCCAAGAAAAGTTTGTGTTACTATGCCATTCTCAGCTGGTGCAAGTTATGTGTATACCAGAGAACAAAATGTACTTCCTTCTTCAACCTCTTGGACATTCCCTTGAATAAACAAATTAGAAGCTCCAACAAAATTATGGACTATTATCTCAGAAGAATGACTATAAACCATTCCAAAATTGTAATGGACTATTAAGGAAGGAAGGCAAGGTGGAAAAAAGGTCCTTAATTTTCCATCTATTACTGCCCCTCAAAGAATGTTGAGCTGGGAATGTTTTTCCCCACATTGCTTAAGGAAGGGAGCCATCCACTTAGTAGACAACATCTTACCTTCCACTTCGAGCACATACTAGCTCTGGATGGTTTGGGTCAGCACATGATAAGCACATGATGAATGGATAACCCTGCCTTGCAGTGATAGGATTTAACTACCTTTTAGAACTTTCTGGCCATATAATCCTGCAGCCAAGTTCACTGACCCACAGCAAAGCAAGACAGCAAGACTGTCTAGGTCTCTCCCTAACAAAATACTGTATATTCATCACTGACTCAGCCTGGAACAGAGGTGTCTTTTGTTCCTTGATCTTCAATGGTGTAGGATAGGCAACTATGCTTGAGTTGCACACAAGTCTTCAGACAGAGATCCAGTCCAACCTCAAACCCTGTCTAATCCTATATCAGCAAAAAATTGGGAAGTAAAAAGACACACTTCCCAAAGCAAGTCTTGCAATTCCAGGGCTATAATCCCAGAATCAATATGCGGAAGCAATAAACTCCTGCTTACTCACAAGTTATTTATTTTATGGGATAACTAGGCCACCACCTACCACTAGGCACTGTGATGCTCATCCATAAATTTAAAAGCTAGTAAAAACAAAGCTGCAAATGCGGTTTGAAAGCCCAAAGGTCAACTCAGCAGCCTCTCTTATCAATGTATGCGCATAAGGCTGAAGCTGAACAAACAAACTCGTATCAACCACATCTATGCAAAATTCCTGGAACTGGATGATCAGGACAGTTCAAACATTTTGTTCAGAGAGCTGGTCATGCCAGGTACTAAAAGCTATCATCCTTGCCACGAAGCTGTTAGAAGCAAAGAAGCAGCCCCACCAGGAGAAAAAAAAGTATCTAACAGTGAGCTTCAAAATCCATTAAAAAAAAAATTGTCTGGACAGCTAAAAGAAGGAAAGGTGTGTGCAAGTAAAGAGTAACCATTGCCCTGAAAATCAATATGGTGAAGAGGCAGCTGGAAGGATGCTAAAATGATAATAATTTAAAAATCACAGTGTGAATAGTATAGAGACCCAAATGTACAATTCAATGGAAATAACATTAAAGACATGCAGGTTTGATTCTTGTAATTCATGGGACACATGTTTGGGACCTGAATACTTTCTAACTTCTCTCTCTTACATTAAAAATGTGATCAAAACCATAAAAGATAAGATTCTTAGGAAACAGGATTCTCTGCAAGAGAAAAGGGTCTTATGCAAAGTTCTGCTCACATGGAATCACTGAAAACAAGAAAACATGCTCAAAGGATACATACTGGATCCTTTAAAAAAACAACAACCGGTTGTTCATCCCAAAGCTTCTTACCTGTGTATGCAGTCAAAGGCTGGCAGTGCCACTCTCCAATGCCACGGCCATAACAGTAGCACTGATATCTGACACCATGAACGTGCTTCTCCCACGAATCCCCAATCTGGTAAAAGGTCTGGCTTTCAGAATCTTGGCACTGGTCTGGAAGCAGAAAACCAAGTGGGGAATGTGTGGTTATTTCACAGAAATTTCAAGTGTGGGGTTCTTCAGGCTTACAGACTCGACACTCCTGTTTCCACATTTCCATATGGCCCTTTGAAATTCCCATATTTCCCCCCCCCCAACTTGCCTGTGCTCTTCACAAGAAGTGGGGATTCAAAGTGGGCCCAGCTGGGGCTTCCCCTTCTGTTGCAAATAGCATAGCCTTGGCATGTCTTTTATTTTTATTTTTTAAATAATATTTATTAATTTTCCAACAGTTTAAACACAACACTACAAAAAAACAAAACAAAAAAAAATACAACAATACAATACAATACAAAAACACTACAAAACACTAACACATAAAACTAACAAAACAAAACATGGCATGTCTTTTAGAGGGGCAACCCATCAGGATCCATTTCTCACTTGAGTCACTGGCCCAGGGTTGGAACCTTATCACCAGCAGGTTCCTGTGCCTGAATGGAATGAATTCCATTCAAAACCTTGCTCCTTCCCACCTATTAAGGGAAAGTCATATGCCCAAGGCCAGATAGAAAGACTACAGCAGAGAACCCTTCAACACAACTATCACACAACTTACCATTATTAATTCTATCATGCAGACTGAAAACTAAAGCTGAGAGGAAAGGATTTAGTCAAGGAGTCTGTGGCTTTCTGATGTAATGTCTGATAAGTAGGACACATGTGCCATAAATAATTGTGTAGAAGGGAATCGTTTCGGTGGGAGCAGATTTACTCGTATTTCTCTAGGATTCTATTATGAAAATGTGAAAACAGCAAATAGTGCTTTTGGGGTATGTGACAAATATACATCCCATTTGTATCTCCACCAATGGCCAAAATTTGCTTTCTTTTAAATTCAGTTCTGCTTCTGCTGATAACATGAAATAGCAAAATTTCAATGTATTTTAGGGGTGTAGAATCATGCCATTTCAATATTTAGATCTTTGTATTCTCTTATTCACTGTCCCTGTAATTCTAAACTATACTATTAGGAGCAGAGTTTTAAGTGGAAAGTAGATTCTGAAATTCCAGAATACTTAAATGAGCCTTAATCATGTTGCTTCACATTTATCTTAGTGCATTGCAGATGGGAGCTTTATTAATAAGTTTTACTAGGTGCTAACTGCAGCAATTTTCCCCAAAAAATGCATGGCAAAGATGGAAACAACCCATTTTACAGAACTTTCTAACTCATTTTCAAACAAAACTCCCTTTCCCCCAAGGAGCCATTTGCAACAGCCTCACATTTACTAAGCTGCAGAATGTGGTTCAGTAAACCTGCACAGATCTATTTTAAATGAAGAACTTAACCACTAGGACCTTATAAATGCTTGCCAGGAAAAACATTAAAGCTCCCCAGGGATTAAATAATCAGCTATCAAACACCCAGGCCTAAACATGCAAACAAAATTAGGAATGTTTTTTTGGTCAGAAAACAGCCATGTGTTCATTCTTAGAAATAGTCTTAGCTATGACCAGGTTCAAGAGTGCTGTTCACACAATTCAAATCTTCATTAGTCCTAGCAGAGTACAGTCAGCCAAGTAAAACAGGCTTAGCCTCAGGTAAGATAATATTTGCTAGAACTGGCTTTGAAGCTTTTGGTTCAAGAGACTAGAAAAACTTCATGGTGAAAGTTTCAAACTGTGTTCCCATATGAGGAGAGGCTATGCTATTTTGGGGCTTTCTAGTTTGGAGAAAGGTGAGTAAGAGGGTGGATCGGGTCAAAGAGAAACCAAAGTCATCTCAAAACGTTCATGGGAGTAGTTTTAAAAATTATTCCAATTTGCATCCTTGAAAATTAAATGCTATGGCCCCAATTCATGGGCAAGCAGGGAGATTTGCGTATACTACAGGCTTATAAGCAACCTACATTCAAATGCTGTGAAGAGGTGGTATATACTAGTTACATTAGCAAAGTTTTAGGTAGGCAGTATTTGGTAACAGATTTTTGTAATAGTTTTACAGAGAATGCAGCCTTTAAAAGATGGCATGATCTGACTTTTAACATCAAACATAGCTTCACTCATTTATTATAATACCTGCTATCAAACTGGGGTTTGGCAAAAGCCTTACTGTTCATTAAGTGCTTCTCCTTCCCCCTCTCTCTGGCTCTCGATATTCAGGAAGTTCAGTTGAGAATGGACTTACCCACAGGATCACATTTCCATCTTCCCCGACCTTGACCAAAGCATGTACAGTTCAACATGTGTCCTTCCTCATGGCGTTTGTGGAAGGTCTGGTTTACATCATAGGTGACCCCATCAACTATACACTGGTCTGTTTTAAGATACAAGTACAATATTTGTGCTATTGATTACTTTGAACAAATACAGGCTACTGAGCTCTCACCCGATTAATGGTACTCTATTGTGAAACAAGTTGCACAAGTTTTTCCAAAGCACAGCAAAGTCACCTACAGAGAATTAACCAATTTTCACATAAATACAGAAAACTATAGGTTTACACAATCAGGTTAAAATACTCCCTGATCCACAAGCTTGCATTTTTTTTTGGCACTGAGCTTCTGATGCGAGAAATAAAATCTAGACAATATGCAATTTCTATAAAGGGCTCATTCTCTAAGACCCCTTAATCAAGTCTCTGACCACTATCCTGCTGTTTCTTCTACAAGGCTATTAAACATCAGGCAGCAAAGTACTACTACTAAATATAACGAGTATTATATTTGGGACCAATGTGCTTTCTCTCTTGCTTCAATCCTTAGTCTTTGTTTAAAAACCAAGCAGGCTAAAGAAAAGAAATAGAAACAACTGCAAATCCAGACTATGGCCTTGCACATACCCATAGAGACCTTTGACCTGAATATTAAAGAAAAGCTAGTTTTATGGGTGCAAAATAGCTGTATGCATCACTTGCATCCTCACCAGCCTTATAATCTCCTTCATGCATACTGTAATAGAACCCTGTTTCATTCGATTGACTGAAATGCTAACAGCTGACACCCTAATGCAGAGCTGTGAATCGACCGTATTTCATCTTTAGAGGAAAGTGATTCAGGCATTTAAACCCTACCCACCGATGCTGCACAGCTTCCCTGCCCTCAACATCCAAGGGCTGAGAATGGACATCTACAAAAGGGAAAGACACTCACAATATCACCGGAGGTCAACTCGTGTGGAAGTCCATGCAGAGGATCCCCCCTCAACTCAGCGTGTGGACTGAGGAAGTGGTGCAACAAATGGGCTGCAGCCAGTGGCACCCCCCTACAGCCCCTTTTCCTCACGGAGCCAGTTGCATGTGAAGGGGCTTCTGTTCACCCAACACTCTTGTTTGTGTGTATGTGTTTTTTAACATTGGTTCTTTCATGCTATAATTACTCTCAGTATCAGTCTTAGGCCTGGGTGATATATCAATATATCACCCAGGACTGGTATGAGGGGCAGACCCCAATAATGGTTTAACTCAGTGAAACCGCCACCACTCCTGAGTCCCTCCAGGGCCCAGTATGCTGAGGGAGAAAGAGCTGCAGCTGGGCAATAGAAGCAGATATCCTGCTGAGTAAAACCACCATCACAGTCTGCCCCTCATGCCAGCGCAGAGGGAGAGAGAGAGAGAGAGAGAGAGAGAGAGAGAGAGAGAGATGCCTCTTTCTCCCGAGAGAAGGAGGTTGCTTGCCCACCAACCCGCCCATGCTAGTAAAGGCGGAAGAAGTCCTGCAATCGGAGTCTCTCAGGCTCTATCACAGGATGGGCTCGCTCAGCTGTGGGGCAGGAGCCCTCCTACCCCCCAGCTGAGTGGACCTGGTTCAGCTGCTTTGGCCCTGACCAGCAAAGCACTGGGAACAATGCATCTTTTTTCAACATCACGGCATATCGGCAAAGCATGATGTTTGGCTGGTGATACACCCCAGTGTTGAAAACCTAATATCGCCCAGCCCTGTTCCCAATTTCTTTACAAAGGTTTGAGGGGGGATACTGAATTTCATAAAAAGACTGAAAAGCCAACACAATTCAAAATCTTAAAATGTATTTTGCTTTCCTTCCAACACCAATCCCTCAGGTGTACAGAATAACAACCGGATCGCCTAGTGGCAATAAAAATCAGCTTTAATTCTGAATCACCACTTCAGTGGAGAGTACAGTAGTGACACAGCAGGGCGAGCACAACTAGAGATCACTCTAAGCCTACCTACACTTTGGGCAACACTAACACAGGGAACTGGGAAGTTACGGAGCTACATAACGTGCCAAAGAAAAATCAGGAACGGACTGTCCCCTATAAATTATATTCCATTTCAGCAGCAGCTGGAAGTTTTCTCTCCACCCTGTTTCTTCTAAACAGTAATCCACTGGTGTGAGGCAAATGCAAGATGATGAAATGTCTGCACTCTCACCTTCTTTTATTTTTCTTTCAAGCTGTCTAAGCACTTCTCTATCCATAGACTCAGGAACTTTCAGTAGAATTTCCTACCCAGTTTTCCTGTAGATTAGCGATTCCTCCTCATCCAAGGAAGATATCACTGAAGAAGGGAGAGTAGCTCCACACTCGTCCTTCGGCACATCAGTACCAACCAAACTAATCTGGGAGTGGTGTCTACATGGTACCAAAAGGGTAGATACAGGAGATCCTATACTAAAGCGCCTGAAATTGTTTATGCAAATTAGTATGCATGCATTTCATCTGCACATTCAAAGGGGAATGTATTATATTTACTCAGCAATTCTTTTCTTTTTTCAAGGTCAGAAGTCTGAATGCTGGCTTTGGGCACCATCCAGCATTGGAGTACAAAGCAGCATTTGAGAAGCCAGAAGATCAGCCTGAGATCTCAAATTGCTTGCGGTGCGTATGGCAAAGCAGCAGAGAAATGAGTGCCATATTGTGGAGCTGCTGCAATTTACACCATCCCAGCAGACTGGCAAAGGACCACCAGCGTCACCTAAACTTCCACCCCTTCATGGTGGAGCCAGTTTGGCACTGCCTTGTGCTGACCATCGGATTTCCAAGCCCAGCCTCACGCTCTCCTGTGGGCAACCGCAAGGAGACAAAAATGGTCTGTACCAAGCCTCAAATGCACAAATGGTAAAGAAGGATTCAAGAAGTTTGTGTGTGAGATTTTTGTCTCACAGCAAATGCCTATGTGTCTCTAGCGATTTTCAGGAACTGAAATTTTCCACCAGAGACTGCTACACTCCTCATAAGATTTCACTCAGGAGAGCAAAGAGCCTTGCCCATTATTACTCATAGCTGCACTAAATGCCCTGAGTTTTGCAGGGATTCCCTCAATTCCCAATGAAGCCAATGGAATAATGCAATCTAGAAATTAATAAAGAATTAAGAGAGCTTTACCATATCTGAAGAAAAGCAATGACAAACCTAGACAGCATCTTAAAAAGCAGAGACATCACCTTGCCAACAAAGGTCGTATAGTTAAAGCTATGATTTTCCCAGTATGGAAGTGAGAGCTGGACCATAAAGAAGGCTGATCACCAAAGAATTGATGCTTTTGAATTATGGTGCTGGAGGAGACTCTTGAGAGTCCCATGGACTACAAGAAGATCAAACCTATCCATTCATAAGGAAATCAGCCCTGAGTGCTCATTGGAAGGACAGATCCTGAAGCTGAGGCTCCAATACTTTGGCCACTTCCTGAGAATGTGAGACTCCCTGGAAAAGACCCTGATGTTGGGAAAGATTGAGGGCACAAGGAGAAGGGGACGACAGAGGACGAGATGGTTGGACAGTGTTCTCGAAGCTACCAGCACGAGTTTGACCAAACTGCGGGAGGCAGTGGAAGACAGATGTGCCTCACGTGCTCTGGTCCATGGGGTGACGAAGAGTCGGACACGACTAAACGACTAAACAACAACAACAACAAAATCATATCTGAAGATTACCTACCCCCTTGCACCCACATCATATGACCCCTCTAGATTAATCCTTGTCATACAGACTGCAAATGACCGTATCAAGTTGAGCATACAAGCAGAAATGGGAAAATACCTCTAAGCTGAGAATAAGCAATGCAGGTCCACTCTCCACGCCCATTTCCCATACAAGTGCACCTCATCATATGGCCCATGTCATGCTGTTTGTCCCACTGGTCTCCAACACGGTACATGACTCCATCATTGGTGGTACAGATTTCCTCATGAGCTGTTCAAGGAATAATAAAGAGTGAGGTTTGTTTGTTGGGGCCTATGTTTGTGTATGCCATACCTCATATTAAGCAAAGTACAGTGGCAATCTTCTTTTCTGAACAAACAATTTTGTTAAAATGTTTGAACAAATTTTCATTCTGTCTTACTGATTCCATAAGAGTTTTGATATCAATGTGTTTGCTAAAGTTGTAATGTAAAACTATTTCAGCAATGCATATCAAATGAGATTAATTTACATTGGGAGGGGGATGCAATTTGGAATTTTGCAGCTACTGCTGAAGCTTGAATTAAGGACAAGATGCATTCCCACAAGGTTCTAGATTCCAGAATGGAATATTGGCTGAATATGATTGAGGCTAATATTTATAGACAGCTGCTGAGGCTTAATTAGTGATCTTTCAGCATCACATAGACAAAATTATTTCACAGTCTGCAAAGAATTAGAGCACCAGTCAAACATCTTAGTACTGGACTCTCACTAAATATATGTTCAACATACCTGCCATGGGACAAAATCCAAATTTTTGATCAGCATCATAGTTTGGGGTGGTTCCACACCACTTCATACTGTCTCTCCGTCCCTCAGAAGTGCAGTCAGTGTAATTCTGGTTGTTGTAGAGGAAGGGGAAGTGGCACAGGGCACCATTGGAGTTACCACCACGTGTCTGAACCAAGACTGCAAGACAGAAATAGCCATTCATGGAAGTGGACATTGCAAAGCCTTATCATGACTTCTTAGCACGACTGCCATTCACAGAGACCCATCTCCATAACATCACAATATCCAGGATAGTGGTGTTTTTGATATGTTACTTCAGAGTATGCAATTTGCTGCAATACAGAGTCTTTGCTCTTAAGAAAGCTTGATTTGAATTCCAGCTCAGCAGGGCATTCCTTACAGAGTCCTAATCCTACTCAAAAAACCTATACAGAGTTACCCTCAACTAAGCACATCCCCCCAATTATTATGTCCATCACTTTATTAGTTATGTGATTAAGTTATGTTCTTTCTGAAGAAAAATTTAATAAAATATTAAAAGAAATTTGTGAGAAGACTTCATGTATCCTCAGATACAGCCTTTGGTTCCAACACAGGGTTGTTGTGAGGGTGAATGGAATAAACTTGCAAAGCATCTAACCAATATGGTCTACACTCTTGTTAAGTTGCAAAAGCAGTCCTCCATCTGTACACAAATGGTTTTCTCAAAAAAAGTTCCTGGCAAATGTGAAAACCAAACTCTGCTCTCAAGAGTTGAAGCCAGATATGACTCCTGCGCACCCAAGAATTGTGAATCTAATACAGTCATCATTTTCATTCCCTGATGCTTCAGAAATGCAGCTGATCCTCAGGCTTTTTTTAAAACAGGGCCTCATCTATGCTCTAATCCAGAGACTGGGTGGGAAAGATCAAGACACATCGCTGGAGCACTGGAAAACCAGAGCAGAAGATGTGCACTAAGAGACATCTCTCTGCTCTTTTAATTTTTGAATTTTTCAAATTTTACAAAACATCAAAAGAAAAAAAAAGCAAAGCAAAGCACATATCCTTTGACTTCCCTCCCACCCCTTTGTGGGTCCTTATGTTATAATTATCCCCCCTGCATCTCCTTTATACTTCCAGTTTTTACTAATCCTTAATTATTCCTTATTTCAATTCTTTAGCTACAAGTTTACATCAAACCTGCTAATGCATTTAATTGTTTGCAATATTTTTTCAAATAAACTATATACTTTCCCCATTTATTAAAAGTTAACTCTTCCTGGTTTTAATTCTTCCCATGAGTTTTCCCATTTTGGCACAGTCTATTAATTTTATCTGCCATTGCTCCTTGGTCGGTGCTGTATAACGTCTTTCTGTTCTTAATCATGTAAATAAAGGAGAGGGAGAGGGAGATAGAGGGCTATTTTAAGTTGGAGGCAATGGGAGGTCTTAACTCACTGACTTTACAGCTTCATCATAGTGCAGAAGTAGCTGCTAGGGCAGGGCAGGGACAAATTTACTCAAATTCTGGAAAATCAGTGGGATGGTGGGCAGATTGCCTGAGAGCAGAACCACTCTCTAAGCCTTTAAATAAGACCTTAACTTATATCCCTAATTACAACCCAATGGTTTAAAATAGTCAGTAAGACTAGGCAGATGCTTCTGTGGTTCTATTTTAATTATTCTTTCCCCTCTTCCATGTGGACCTTTACATGGCAACATTATAATCAATGCCACTCCCAGTTGCTAAAGGAAGCTCATTCTTTAAAAAGATCAAAGTGGGATAAAAGTAGGTGCAGCAGAAAAGTACTGCCCCAATTTCTGGCCACAGAGTAGGCAGGCACATGAGAACTTGGTTGTATTGAGCCTGGTATGTTGTTGTTAGCAGCTGTTGTTACTTTTGGAAATGAAAGTAATGAACGAACATTAAGTAAACAAAGGAATGAAACTCAGAAATGATGGGGCAGCAGCGCTTACCTGACCGCTGGTTGGCTGTATTGCCGCTGCTTGCAGAGATGGAGGTTGAGGAGGAAGACCCAGTTGCACTGGTGGAAGCACTGGACTGGTTTTGCTGGTGCATTTGCACCATGCCAGTCTGGCCTGCTACCTCACTCCTCTCCCTCCCAGTAAGCAGCTGACCACTGGTCCTGTCAGTGTTGCGTGCCACCAGCTATTGCAGTCCTTGTTACTAGAAAGCATCACCTGAGCTCAAATGCTTCCAGGGTTTTTTATTGCAACTAAAAGAGCTAGGAATATACTCATTTGAAGTAAGAAGGCAGATTACTAGCGATCCAAAGTAATTATTAGATTATGCACTGGAGAACACATTTTACACAGATTTACATTTACAAACTTTGATTTTGATTAACAATGCAATCACATCAGTTCTCCCTCTCATGTGATCTTTTAACCAGTGTGCTTGCTTATTTATTTATTTAGGTATTCTATTCTTTTCCTGCCTTTCCTCTAGGGAGCTTAAAGTGATGAATATGGGTCTTCTCCCTGCTTCCTGCCCCTGCCCCTTATTCTTACAAACCTGCAAGGCAGTGAGTTGACCAGGTTTCCAGGTCATTCAGAGAGCTTCATGGTCAAGGGCATATTTGGCCTGTGGTGTCACCAATGCCAGTGCAATTCTCTATAAACACTTGTGCACCTTGATAGCCTGTAATGGGGGACTGGAAACTGGAAGCTATAGCAAATTACACCAGCTCAGCTGCATTAAGAATGGAAATAAAAAATGGAAGGAAGACACATTGTGGAGCAGCACCGGCACATTAGCAAACAAGATCAATTAACTGAGAACCCTAAAATCTGGGGAGAAATTCAGATAAGGAGACTCCAGCTGGCATCCTTTATCTGAAGCACTTTTGCACTGGGTGTATTTCTTTCGTATAATGGACAAATGAATTGTTTAAAAGCATTAACATCATTTGGACAGGCAGCTTCTGCCTTGGTATTATAAAGCTAGTAGCTCCACTCCCTGCTGCACTATTTCGCTCTACAGGCAGACCCCTGCTTTAATGCAAATTTCCCTCCCCATCTCAGAGGCAAAATGCTTTGGGGTGGGGGGTGGGGGGAAAGGCCACATAAGACTCAGGTTCTGTTTGCTGCTATATATGGCAACCTGGCTGCAGATTCAAGATCTAAGGAGTGACATCAGAGCATTGCACTGATCATACTCATGAGGCATCTTTCCCCTCGAGCCTAATATGGACATAGGTCTTAGTGGAATTTGAAAAAGGAAAAAGAAGCCAGTCAGACAACTACAGAGAAAGGGCCCTGGATCCAGGATGCAGAGCTCTATTCAGACTATCAGCTCCACTTCCATCCAATCTCCTTCCCCCACAAGACTAGAAGGAGCAAACTGCCATCGTAGGGGCTGGGGTATTCTTTGGGAGGGGGGGGGGTTGTTGCTGTTGGTCTTTTGTATCTTTGTTTTTGAATTTGTTGTGATTTATGTGAAAATTGTTCAGCTTGGTTTTGTATTTGCTAGTGTTTTATTTATTGTTTATAATTGCATTTTATGTTGTAGTTATGTAATTTTATGTTGTAAGTGGCCCTGAGCATGGTACGAACTGTGAAAAGGTAGCATACAAATATACGTAACTGCACATGCACATATATTCTAACTTCACATACTACTCCTTGTGCATTTCCAGGAACCAGCTGATGAGACACAGGGCAGAAGCACATGAGTGAAATAAGAGAGTAATTTCCAAGCATTCCTTAGCCAATCATTCCTAAGAAGTATTCTCCAACCCAATCTCTGGAAGCGCAGTTTTCCCAAGAAGAAGCCAGTTGTGAACCTGAGTGGCGGATTCATTTATTTAGATTTACATTCTCTTCAGACTATGGTCTGAGTGCCAGTAAGCTGGTGAGTCATGTTACTGTTAATTCCAGTCTTATAAAATGGAAACATGCAGAATAAATAACCTGCCTGTGGCTATTTGGCAAGGACAAGAGATTTGAACCTAGGTTTCTGGTGTAGAAAAATATTTTCTCTATGGCACTGAACTGGCTCTATTATGAGGTCATTATGATTCAAATCCTACTTCTCATCCCACTCTACCATCACCCACCAGACTTTTATATTCTGTGTTTCTTGCAGCTGTGTCTTCCTCCATCCTCACAAGTCACGTTAGGGGAAAAACAGTCAGTTACTGAATTCAGTGGAGCAATGGCAAATTTCAGTTAATGGGTCTGTGCCTAGGTGGACAGTGCTACCCTCCCAAAACCTTATTTCTCCCAAGTATGTATTCCTTTTAAAGAATTTTACCATTTTGTTCTGTGCAGAAAGAGTATTTCTTGTCCTGATCGAAGTCTGAGGTGGTGCTGCACCAGAGAGTTCCATCAGTCCGGCCTTCAGAAGTGCAGGAGTAGAAAGTCCTCCCATTATAGGTGAATGGCAAGACACAAGGCTCCCCATTGGCGTTGCCACCGTAGGTTTGGGTCACAGCTTTAGAAACAAAACTTCGCATCATTATCCTATCATCTAATCACAAGTACAATGCAATGCAATGTCTTCCTTAACAGTGAGCTTTTTTCTCCTTTTCCCTTTTTCCTACAGCTTGAAGCTATCATAACTTACTCTACAGCACCATCCAACTGTTGTATTCAATGCTCTTGTATTCTCCTCTTTCTCTGAGGAGAGATGTTGAATGGGGAGACTTGCTTCTCTAAACTATGATCACATCGTAGCAGTAAGTGTTACATGGTGACTTATATGGTGACTCAGGCATAGTAGTCAAAGGAGATCAAAGAAATAGGCAGGGCACCTCAGTACCTTTACATGATCCAGTTGAGTCCTACTGCGGTCGGTAGCCGTGAAACAGCTAAGGTGTGATCCATTCTCCTAAGGTGCGCCAATCTTGAAAAGACCTACCTCAATCAAACCTAGCCCCTACAATTAGTCTCAAGTATCCCTAAGTGATAATCTTTTATGAATTTGAAATGCCTCGTACCTGTTTCCTGGCAGCTGACTCCATTGCCCAGACAAGTACACAGCATATGCTGGCTCCCCTGTGTCTTCAGCCATTGCATCCCCCAAGAGTAGACCATGCCATTGTCAGTCATGCAGTGCCCATATGGAGTAGGCTGGGACTGAGGTTGGTAGAGCGCCGTTCGCACATCTGTGATGGTAGCAGACGCAGTTCCTTCAGAGGAAAGTGTGATAGCAATTAAACCCTGCAGTTCACATTGCATAAAGCCAGGGCTGTCCCTTGATTAAATCATCTTTGCCAGTTAATTATCTCCTTTGAGTCACTTAATCAACCAATTAAAGTTTCATTAAATCTGCAAGATTTGAAATGAGGAAATAAAAGTCATTAACTGTTCAGCCTATTTTGTTTTTAGAACATGTTAAAGAAAAAGTAAAGGCTTCTCCCCAGCATGTGGTATTCAGAGGCTTCTATTCCTGTGACCAACTTCCTTGCTGGAACAGACCAAGGGTTCTTATCTTCTATGTATTTTGGGAAATGGTTTGCTCATTTGTTCTGTGTGTTCAAATGCCTCTCCAGATATATTGCCATGAGGGTTCTCACTTTTCATCAATGTTGGGCCCCCGGCTGTTGTTCTGAATCAATATGGCGGTCCAAAATGTGACTTTGGCACAATGAGTTCAAAATGTGCCAATTTGGAGACCACTGAAAATATTGTTGCCCAGTTTGGTGGTACAGTTCCAACCTGTGCATCCGCCTCTTGAGACATCATTGCCAAACTTGGCGCAAGGGTTTCCAAAGAGAAGGAGGTGGTCTTTATCTATGTTTGCAGGCCGGGTGCCATTTTTTAATCAAGCTGGTGGACCAAATGAACCCAAATTAATCATTAGTTCTTCCATCCCTAAAAAATTATTCAGGGCAAGGTCACGTGGTCAGAGTCCTGGATTGGTGTGTGGGTGTATGTATGTGCACACAGCCCAAACTCTCACAAATTATACTATCAATTTAAAAGTCATCATATGTTTGGGTTTCTTTGAATACCTGGGGCGCTCCAGGAACTCCCTGCTAGTAGTTTATATACAGCGTAACAGAGGACAGCCATGGCACCTGAAAAGCCCATAGGCTTTGTAATCTTCCAGCCCCCATCCCCACTCCTGCTACACACAGTCTGCAATTATTAAGAGAACAAGTGCCACCGCCTCCTACTGCTCCTCCCTTCTATACACAATCCTAGCTTAACCGACTTCTTCCCACAAGTAAAGGTAGAAGGTAAAGGACCCTGGACAGTTAAGTCCAGTCAAAGGTGACTCTGGGTTTGCAGCGCTCATCTCGCTTTCAGGCCGAGGGAGCCGGCGTTTGTCCACAGACGGCTTTCCAGGTCATGTGGCCAGCAGGACTAAACCGCCTCTGGTGCAATGGAACACCATGATGAAAGCCAGAGCACATGGAAACGCCATTTACCTTCCCATCACAGCAGTACCTATTTATCTACTTGTACTGGCGTGCTTTTGAACTGCTAGGTTGGCAGAAGCTGGGAGAGAACAATGGAAGCTCACTCCGTCATGGAGATTTGAACTGCCGACCTTCCGATCGACAAGCCCAAGAGGCTCAGTGGTTTAGACCACCCACGTCCCTCTAAGTCCCACAAATAGAACAAGGACTCTTTTGTGAGAGGCTGAGGAAGGCATAGGAAGGAGGCAGGAAAAAGAAGCAAATCAGTTACAGCACCAATGTGATGCATTTAGATTTCATGATCATATCCAGGTTGATCACCTACCTATGCCTGTGGTTTGGAGAGATGAATGCCTCTCGCACTTCCATTCCCCTCTGCCATTCCCTGTGCAGATGCACTGAAGTAGATTCCCTCTGTTGTCTTTCTTACTCCAGGTATCTCCAATTCTGTAAGATGTTCTGGTGTCCTGATCATTGCACCTGTCTGTAAAGGAAATGAAAACACACAATGGGGAAATGAAGCCCTTGCCATTTCAGCAGCCCGTGTGCTACAGATACCTTGATCCACTTGGACTGGTAAAAACATTTTTTTCACACAGTCATTGATCTGTCATACAGACTGATCTAATTAAACACCAACAGTCTATTTTAGTTGCCAAGAATCAAGCGGAATTTATTTTTCTACTACTTTGAAAAATTTACATGCTAGTTAACAACGGATTGAGATAAATCACTATTTTGATTTTGCAATTATAGGATTAAAACAGAGAGATGAGTCAGTTGCCCAGTGACAGTTGTGGATTTTTTATCAAAGCCCATATGAGCAACTTCAACAGCCTGCTGCAGTTTGGACAATTATGAGAGGATAAATCCTGCCATCCAGATACACAGGCAACCCTCCCAGTAATGGCAAACATATGTATGAGACTATTAAAAATATACCTTAGGGCCAAAGAGGGGCATACTCTGCCCCTGGTCATGTACACTGGAAAACATACCTCCTGTGCCCTAGGAAGCAAGTGCCCAAGGAAGATACAAACTGGCCCATCCCTTGGTCAGTGAATAAATATTCTGTTCCAATGCTTGCCTTCCTCTACTCTCCTCCCGCCACATGCTGATAGCTTCAAGTCTTTCTCCTGCACACATTACCACACTCACCGCACCTCTCTGTGCAAGCACACATCACCATTCATGCAGCTGCTTTCCCTGAAACAAAGTGGCACCAGGAAGTTCCTGCCCACTGTGCCTGACAGCTGAAACCCACCCTTGAGAAATGCAGGGTCATGGGGTGGGCACCCTCTGGAAATACTAGGGCTGGGTAGAAGAAAACCTCTGAATCACTCCAAATGGTTTCTCAGCTGTTGCACTTTGGCCACAAAAACCAACATGTGGGAAATACTTGAGAAAACCATGAGATCAGATTGACAGAATACCATGGCCTAGCAAGGAAACTGGTCTGTGGTTTTATACACCAAGTTCATGTGTGTGAATGGAATCCTGGGAAAGCACTTTTCAAAACATTCAGAGCTGGGAAACAAGGAAACTTCTGTGGGAATAAAACATGGTGGTTTGTTCTAAGAGGCTTGCTCATTTACAAGGAGATCTCCATCCTTGGGTGGCCAGCAGCTGCATGCTTCATAAAAAGGCCAGAAAAGCTTCAATAAAACTAAGCTTTCTAACCGTACATTCCATCGGAAGTATGTTATATTGAGCTCAGTGGGGCTCACTCCCCAGAACTGGTGCCTGAATTTGGGGGGATCCCCCAAAATGACTACAACAGTGTGGCAAAATGAGAACAGAGGCTGTGTTATTGTGGGTGGTGGAGCAACTCCATAACAACACACAGAAAGGGCTTAAGTCCACAGATATGGTTATCAACATAGACCAGGAATCAAAATGCCAATCCATCCATATAAACAAACCCAATGCCATCTGCAAGCAGCTCTTTCACATGCCATATAAGGATGGGGTCCATTTTCCAGCCTGCGGGAGACATTCCCTCATCAGCAAACTTTCTGGGGACTACACAGCAGCGGTGGGCTGGCCAGAGGCAAAAATGGACAGTGCAACGGATGTAACCCTTAGTTTTGTACAACAAGCTACATGCCAACCACACAAAGTCAGGCATTTCTACAACTCCTCTACAATCGCTCAGTATCTCAACCTCCATCCAAGAAATCAAGAGCCATTATCACAGCTAAAGCCAGGCAAAAAAGTGGTCAAAGGCAGCATGGAGCTGGGCCAGTGAGGTATGTGGTCTGGGGAAGTCCCCAAAGCCACATACAGAGGCCCCAAGAGCCACACTGGGCCTCCGAGCCAGAGGTTCCTCATGCCTGCTATATAAGTCCAAGAATTCGCCTGCCTACGAGGAACAGTCACTGCCTACTCCATAAGGCTACTGAGATAATCTATGGGGCAACACTGTAAAACCTGTGATTATTAGCAAAGATGTATCTACGATTTGTACTGAATCCGTTGTTTCCATTTTAGATTTGTAGAAGATGCTTCATTGACTTTCTGAAAAATACTGAAACTTTCTGTTCTCTCTTACAGCAACCCGTAGGAGAAAAATCATGATAGACAAATCATGTCATGAAACAAATTATATCAATGTCAAATAATTGGATCATGTCTTTTTACTGGTACTTGCAAACATTACACCTCCTGGTCTTCCCCATTTTGTAATGCATATGTATTGTCACCACAAGTCAGACTGCAATTACAAATGAAAGGTTGTCTTCCAGGGCTTTAAAGTTTAATCTCGTATGAACGTAAAAACATAAGACCAGGTCAATGGCCCATCTAGTCCAGCATCCTGTTCTCACCGTGGTCCTCCAGATGCCTGAGGGGAGCCTACAAGCAGGACCTGAGGAGAAGAGCACTCTTCCCACCTGTGGTTTCCAGCAACTGGTATTCAGAAGTATTATTGCCATGGAGGCAGAGCAAACCTACTTTGAGGGTTTGGGCATTATTAACTATTGTTTATGTTAGTAAAAAGCCATGACTTTGCCTCACCAATTAAAAACTAAAAGAAGATATCTCAAAACCTACCAGACACAAGGTTTAGGAGACCAGATGTTTCCAAAGTCAGATTATATGGGTTTTACATTCAGTCAGTGATCTCACTTTTAAGTGGCTTTTTTTTTAAAGGAAAAAAAAGAAAAATATGGAAGCTTTTCTTGTAAACATTTCACTGGTTCAAACTCCAGAATAAAAATGCTTCCTATGTATGCCAATGGCTCCATCACCTATACATGGGATTCCCCCCACCTCACGGTAACTGCTCCATTTCAGAGCTGTTAATACAGAGGACTGCATATCTACAATGCTTGAGTAGCAGGCAGTTCACTGTTTTGGTTACCTTTCAAATTCCAGTTCTAATCACAATGTGTCCTCAGATAAGTTAACTTAAGTAACTGCATGGAAGGAGAAGTACCCATTCCCTCAGTCCTCAACCTACCCCACACTGTTTAGGAGGCCCCCTCACCACCACCACCACCACCACCACCACGTGGAACAGGTACTGGGGAAGAGGGACACAGGTGGCTGGTGCAGAGAAAGGCCAGGAAACTTTCCTTCAATGAACTTCCTCACTCTAAATTATTCTAGGCTCCAAGGCAGTGCCTTCCTAGTAAATTCCAATGAAGACAAAACCACAATTTCCAACCAATGGTTTCCTGTAGATACTTTTAAGTTTGTGGGAAAAATAATTGATGCAGCACTAAATTATCTGTCGGTAATTCTTAGTGTATCTGGGAAACAGCAATAGGAGAACACTCTAGCTGCTTCTGAAGTTCACAAGTCTATCTCCAGTTTCTCTAAAAGAGAAAGGACTGGTTACAGCTTTCCTGTTCAAATTTTACAATATTCCTAGAATGGGAAAACCTTTCCCAGCATGAAGTGCAAGACCAAAGTGCGAGCAGGAAAATTACCCTGAGGACAATTAGTGTGAATGAAAGGTGTTACATCAAAAGATAAAGCATGATTAGCACTTCATCCACAGTCTTATGTACACTTAAGAGCCACAGGACACAGCAGGACACATGGTAAACATGAACAAGATTGCACTGGTGTAGCACAATCCTACTCATGTTTACTTAGAAGCAAGCCCCAGTATATTCAATATGGCTTACTCCCAAGTAAGTGTGTGCTTAGTCTTGCAGCCTGTGCATTCCACTTAATACTTTACAGCAGGTGTGGAGGACCTCCACACCTTTGCCGCCCCCCAAATACTGCTGGACTACAACTCCCATCTTCCCTACTGGCCATGCTGTTCAGAGCTAATGGGAGCTGGACTATCACAAAAATCATACTGGTGGATGGCCATCGTTCTGCCTTAAGGTGATACTTACTTCTGGAAGTGCAGGTAATGCGTCCACTGCCTTCTCCTAAGCAAGTACAATCCACCATCATCCATCCCTGATAGGGCTTCTCCCAGATCTCTCCAACAACATAGGAAGTCCCAGCAGCATTATCGTAGCACCGCTCAGCTACAGAAAAATATTTGTGAAAGATACTTTGGTTATTAAAGTTCTTCAGTCAAAAGATGAAACAAGATTTCTTAACCGAGGAGGGGAAGGAGAAATTGCTTCCATTATCTCCTTCCAAACTGCATTAATAGGTGAAGTGAAAAAACAGAATGTGGATATCTCGAAAATATGTCAAACATGAAGTCCAGTTCTCACTACAGTGTTCACCTTTCACTTCAGACTTCATGTGCAGGAATCACATGAATGAATCCTTTTCCATACAAAGAAAAAGTAATGCTCTGAAGTAGCTTGAATGCTATATTCATTTTCTATGTGGCAGGAATTGTTTTGTATTTGAGAGCATTCAATCATGACTCTCCCCAGATTCAGGATGACCACCTGAGTGAGAAATAGGCCCAATCGCCATACCAGCTACATTAAGTGATTTCCATATATAACAGCCTGAGGATGTTAGAACATACTCAAAGCACTAAAATAGGGAGGACAAATAGATATGTGTGTGTACACACATACACACACATTTATCTTTGTAAGAAAGTATCCTGTCAAAGAATCAAGAGGCCAACATCTACCTCAAACCATTGCCATAAAGAACTTTGTTTACTGAATCTGAAGCACCTGCAGATCCATATTTGATATCTCAGGAACAAACATAAACCAATACATACCAACTGGTTTGCAAGTCCATTCACCCTTCCCGTTGCCAAGACACACACATTCCAACATGTAGCCCCCTGTCTCATGAGGCCTTCTCCAGGTATCCCCAATCTTGTAAGACTGACCTCCTTCATGACAGCGATCTGTAAAAATTGCACATAGAATTAGACAGAACTCCTTTATACCAAGACACTGGATTGGTCCATCCAGTCCAGCATTGTCTACTCTGCCTAGTGGCAACTCTCCAAGTTTCTAGGCAATTATGTTTCCCAACCTTACTACCTAAGACCTTTCTAACTAGTTCTGCATGCAAAGCACATGCAGGGGCAGAGGAAGGGGGTGCAGTGGGGGCGGGCCGCTCCGGGTGTCTTCGCTGAGGGGGGTGACATTCAGCACGCCCACATACACCACCCAATTCAGCACGCCCACACCCACATACACCACCCAATTCAATTCTATGGAGTGTTTGGTCCATCATCCTCTCAGATCACATTGGCCTGCACCATTCGCACCTGCCCCAACCAGGCCGATTGGGGCTCCCAATCTGGGCACTCCAGCCCCAGTTGGGCCACCCTCTAGGGCAGGAGTGCTCCTGCGAGGACTCACAGGAAGGGCTGACTACACAAGGCCAAACCTACACCTCCTCGATCTTCTTGCACATTTTCCACTACAGATAATCTCTCTGCTCTTGGTTTTTTTATGCATGTTACTTTACAGTGAAATTTATGGTTCAAATTCTTTGCACCAAATGGAAATGAAAGCTAATCATTTGATAGAAAGAATACCTATAAGTATCCACTAAAAAGAAATAATTGACTCAAGAAATATTTTCTTTTATGCATATCAACAAATAAAAACACTTATTCATAAAGTTTGCATGTCATAAAGGCAAGTTGCTTCTCTTTACATAGTAGTTATAATCATGAATAACATTCTTATTCTGATATTGGGGTAGACAATGGAAACCTTGTGGCTTCTCTATAGCATTCACATGCTAAGTTCCTGACTGAACTGTGAATTTTTCCACTGAGAAAATTCCTTACAGACTTGTGACATTGTTTGCTATTCTTGCAATTTGGTGGTGGGCAATGGTGGACTTCTGTAATGCCCCAACAGTGTCAGTAAATGTCTTGAGCACATAAGACATTTGCCTTTAAGCACCTAAGCACCTCTCCATCTCCAATACGTACTTGCAATAGTGCAGCTGATTCTACCACGGCCAGCCCCAATGCAAGTACAGTCCCAGATCATGGAGTCCTTCGGTCGTTCGTAAGTCTCCCCGACTCGATATGTAGCTCCAGTGTATTTGTCAAAGCAGGTTTCTTCCGCTGAGTGGGAAGGAAAGAGTAGATCACCATAGCAGAATATGTAGCAGGCAGGTTCTAATCCCCCTCCCCAACCATTCAAATTGTCATGCATAAAGGGATCGGGGTGGTGACTGGGTCACCTAGGAGGTGAGGCAGGCAGAAAAGTCTCTGGCTGCACTTGGCTCAGCTTCTTAGATCCTAGAGGGCCTAAGACAGAAAGAGCAAAAGAAGGGAGCCCTAGAAACACACAAGTTGGGTCAGAGAAGGCAACCTGTATGGTGGAGTGAAAGGGAAGGGTCTTGAGAGGGAAGGAAAACAGGGAGGGAATGGGCAGAGATCAAAGCAGGGCCCACCCAGAAGAGAAGTTCACATCTTGATTTGAATGACTCAGCCCAATAGTCCCACCTCAGGTCCCTTGTGGCATAAGATGCGATCTCATGGACTAGGAGTCCTTCTTTACTAGTAATATTCCCTAGGTTTTCTTGCAAGAGAGGCCATGCATTCCTCATTGCCATGGTTTGTACTGTCCTGGTTGCTCTTAAAAAGTGCATAGCCATCACTCCATTAGGGAGAGCTTCTTGATCTCCAGCTAATCTGCTTTCTGGCTGTAGCTGATATGCATGCTGCTCCTCAACTTCCCCTTCTTGACTGCTTTATACCCCTCCTGCCAATCTTATCCCCAAAATAAAAAAGCCTGACTCAGCTTCCACACTGTGTGCGCCCCCCACAAAATCCTTCTAGTTTAATACTATCATTTCAAGTGCCCTTTTGCACACAGTGTAACCAAAGCACCTGGCACCTGCATTCCTAAGAGGAACCCAGCTGGATCAGACCAAGAGTTTGCTGCTCCAGAGCCCCGTTTCTCTCCATGTCCAGTCAGAAGCTTCCAAGAAGCTGTCCAAAGGGGCACAAAGGCCCAACAAGCCCTCTCCCATTGCCTGTCTCTAGAATCTGGTCTGCAAAAGTAGACTGCTTCTGAATCTGGAGGCTCAATTTAGTGATCACAGATATTAGCCACTGATAGACTTGTCTTCCCTTCTCCTTTAAAGCCAAGTAAGCCAATCCACACATTTAAGGCAAAGGTGGCACCAACACCAACTCCCGGAGAGAGCCTGCCCATCCCCACAAAGCTTTCTCTGCAACGGAGCACTAAGCATTTCCAGGCTACTCTTCTGGAGACTCCTCAGACAATGAGGCCCAAAATGTTCTGTGTGCCCTAGAACATGTTCTACAGCCCTTGCTGAGAGCGGCAGGGAAAGGAACATTCTCTATTGACCACGTAGAGATTCCCTGGCAGACACATCATTGTAAGAGAGGGTTTGCTGCCTGTAGTTTGTTTGAAAATCGCTTCACTAGCAGCAGTGCAGAGCACAAAATGGTACAGTGGTTGGCCAGAAGACTTCCACACGACAATGGACAGGAGAAGCAAAGATACACTCAGATGGGGTTGCCATATTTCAAAAAGTAAAAACCAAGACACCCCCAAAATTGTTGAGCTTTCTTTTATGAAAACGCAAAAAACCCACGATTTTCCAACTGACTTGCCTAAGATCCAGGACAAAGTGCCACCTTGCCTTTTGGAATTTCCCCCAGACATCAATTGCGCTTTTGAAATCCCAGTAATGTCTGGGAAAATCCGGATGTATGGCAGTCCTACACTCAGAGGTATCAAAGCCAAACAAAGTTGTGGGGAGGATAGTCAAGAAGTAAAATGAGTTAAGAACAGGCTACCTTTAAAGATGCTTTCAGACAAAGTAGCTCTGTTTATCTCAACATCTTTTGTTTTGAAAAAATGTCTAGTTTCCCCAGAATATTGTTTTTGTAGGAGTGGTGGTGCTGGTGGTAGTAATAGCAATCTTCTGCTTACCCTCAGGCTTGCTTTCGCAGTTGAACCCTCTGCTCCCTCCATAACAGGTACAGACCAGAATTTTCCCCAGGTAACTGCGCTCCCATTGCTGGTTTATCTGATAGTGCTGCCCATTATCATAGCAGCCAGCTGAAAAAGAAAGAGGAGTCTTCAATTACATTCATTTGTCTGGACCACAAATGGTTCTCCAAGCAAGAGGGAGATGTATGTGCAAGGGGGTGGGGCGGATCTTAGCTTTGGCATGCATGGAATATACATTAGCTCCAGAGGCTGCATTCCTTTTGCATCCTGAAACCTCAGTAAAGAAGATGAAGGTTTTTAGGTGCATGATAATCAGCACTCGGCTTGAATTCAAAACAATTTTGTCTGTCTCTTTTCCACCATGTTTCAAACTGAACCACGGGAGGTTTCAAATTCTGAAGCAATGCATTAACAGATGGAAAAGATTGCTCAGCTAGGAGGCCTGATCCAAATTTTCATGCAAGACAATGGAAAGACCCCAGTGCATTTGGACAAAACTCTGACTCTCTCTCCTAAGCAGGCGTGTCTTTGCCAAGACACAGCACAGTCCTCCAGTTCCAAGCATTTTCCTCACTTTTAGTTTTACATTAAAAGCACTGACACTTCCTAGGGTAGACTGACACTTTTTTCAAATAACTTTTATTAAAATGAAAAACAAATGTTACATCCTGCATTTAACTTGTAAAACATAATTTGTGGCATTCTAACAAACTCATTGCATTAACGGCTGCTTTTCTAAGCAGCAGCAGAAGAAAATCCATAAGGAACAATTATTTGATTTCTGAGGGAAGCATTATAACAGCAAGCTGGCTATTACAGATATTTAGGCCTATCAACTAAACAGCATGGATACAGTGGTACCTCGGGTTAAGAACTTAATTCGTTCCGGAGGTCCGTTCTTAACCTGAGGTACCACTTTAGCTAATGGGGCGTCCCGCCACCGCCACGTGATTTCTGTTCTCATCCTGAAGCAAAGTTCTTAACCCAAGGTACTATTTCTGGGTTAGCAGAATCTGTAACCTGAAGCGTATGTAACCTGAGGTACACTGTAGTTCCTTTCCATTTCATGCAGAAACACTGTTTGGCTGAGCAGCTGCCGCCTTTGCTTCTTGAAAGTTCTGGACATCTGCCCCACAGACCAACACACCTGCAGTGGACCCTTATCTTTGAGGAAGTAACCTTGCTTAGTGTCCTTTCATGAGAAAACAGACCCAAACAGAAATTTATGGATTTCACAGTGGCCTCTCTTCTCTCTAAGCATTTATCACTATGTAGTCCGATAGCATTATGGGCTGCATGAGTAGTTGGCTTAGGCTCCTAGATAGCTTGGAGCCTTTATTTAGCCATCTACTGTCCTGTTTAATTGTTGTAGCAAACAATTAATATGCACTCTTGTGTTCAGGAAGTGCGTGAATTTAAAAAATGGGAAACTTGAGTTAAATCAACACAGTGCAAATCTAAACATGTTTACTCAGAGACTCCCTTTAAGAGCAATGATATTTAACTTTAGCTTTCTGACTTAAGTGGACCTGGGTCTTGTCGTGGCCTGGATGGGAGCCTGTCTGCAAGCCCTGTGAGGTTATGGGTAAATTCTATTCACCCTATTTCATGTTTAACAGACTGGAGTGCCAGAAAACATTCCCCTCACATCCACCTCCTCTAAAGCTTCTCTCCCACTTCTGATGCTTTTAAGTAGAAGGGCTTTGGCAAATGTCTCAGTTCTTTAGGCAGAAGCAAATATTTCAGGATTCTGAAAACCCCATGTGTTGAATAGCGCGCGCACACACACACACTGCACAATTACTTTTAAAGTAATAAGAAAACAGGTAGGGAATTGGGCAAGAGTATCCTCCCCCAACCTTGTGCTCACTGTAGGCTGAGCATCTGAGGGCACTGTTAGAGGTTTGCTTCCGTATTACTTTAGTAATTGCAGTGTGGCGCTGGCTCACACACTAGTTTCAGAACCTCGAAATTATTCTTGCCTGCCTAAAAGAACCGAGGCACATTTGCCGCTTGCTGTGCCAGAGATGGGAGAGCATTTGGGAGGAGTGGAGAGTGAATGCTGAGCACTCCAGTCTACAAACATGAAACAGGGTAACACTAGCCTACTTCAGGCTTGTGAGACACCCATCTGTGTCATTTGACAAGACTATGTCACTTTGTCAGAAAGCCAAGTTAAATACGTTCTTAAAGGAGTCTCTGAGTAAACATGCTTAGATTTGCACGTGTTGATTTCAATTGCTTCCATTTTAAATTACGCACTTCGAACACAAGATGTTGTTTGTTACACACAACAGAGAGTAGATACAAATGCTTAGGCTCCTAGATAGCTTGGAGCCTTTATTTAGCCATCTACTGTCCTGTTTAATTGTTGTAGCAAACAATTAATATGCACTCTTGTGTTCAGGAAGTGCGTGAATTTAAAAAATGGGAAACTTGAGTTAAATCAACACAGTGCAAATCTAAACATGTTTACTCAGAGACTCCCTTTAAGAGCAATGATATTTAACTTTAGCTTTCTGACTTAAGTGGACCTGGGTCTTGTCGTGGCCTGGATGGGAGCCTGTCTGCAAGCCCTGTGAGGTTATGGGTAAATTCTATTCACCCTATTTCATGTTTAACAGACTGGAGTGCCAGAAAACATTCCCCTCACATCCACCTCCTCTAAAGCTTCTCTCCCACTTCTGATGCTTTTAAGTAGAAGGGCTTTGGCAAATGTCTCAGTTCTTTAGGCAGAAGCAAATATTTCAGGATTCTGGAAACCCCATGTGTTGAATAGCGCGCGCACACACACACACTGCACAATTACTTTTAAAGTAATAAGAAAACAGGTAGGGAGTTGGGCAAGAGTATCCTTCCCCAACCTGGTGCCCTCCAGATGCTTCAGCCTGCAAGGGGCTGGAGCTGATGGGACTTTTAGTCCCAAACATCTTGAGAGCACAAGGTTGGGGGGAGGGCTGAGGGAGAGGAACAGGAAGACTTCCAGATCAATTCACACCTCTGCCCAAAGCACAATAGGATTGCCAGATGTCTCTTCTCTGAAAGGACCCTCCATTATTCAGCAACACCCCAGACACTACCGATATTTAAAAAAACAGTCAGAGCGCCATGCAAGGTACCGGATGCGTCTTGCTTGAGACACTGAACAGCAGGATTTAATTACTTTTTTAAAATAACTCCAACTAATACTGCAATTCAGTGAGTTCACCGGAGCTCACTCCCAGGTAATCCGTTACAGGATTGCAAGTTTACAGCGCTCAATAGGCGGATGAGAGAAGGAACTTTGCGAGCGCATTTGGCCCAGGCAGACTTCCTGTGCTCTCCCGAGTTTCTTAAACCCTTCGGGAGAAACGGGTGTAAAAGAGAGAGACCCTCGGAGGAGTTTCTGCCTCCTTGGCCCGCCTGCATGCAGCGGGCTCTCCCCCGGCCCCCGAACTTCGCTTTCTCTCGCTCCCCTCGGGGCACTCACGCTTGCTCTGGCCGGCCGGCACCGGGGGCTGGACGATGTGCTGGGCTTGCCTGCGGGTCTTCTCGCCCTGGACTCCGGCCCCCAAGGAGAGGCTCAGCAGCACCAGAAGCAGCCGGCGGGACGGGCGGCCGGGCATCTTCGCGATCTGGTGGGGGAAGCCGAGCGGACCTCGGAGAAAGCGCCTCTTCCTTGCGCGCTGCTCGCCCCTCTTCCCGCTCTGGCTGCCTCTTGCTCCTGTGCGACCTTGCAGCGGGCGAGAAGGGCAGCGCGCTGGGTCCCGGCCGGCTTATATGGAGGTCCGGGCGCCCGAGACCCCGCGCGGGGAGGGGCCGCCGGGACACCCCTTTGGAAGGGCCAGCCGCTCGCTGATTGGCCCGGGCCGGCGGGTGACGTGGTGGGGAGTTGCATTCCAGGGCGAACAAAAGACGCGGCGGGGGGCGGGGGGCGAGGCGAGCTGGGGGGCCGGGGGGGGCACCCTGGCCAGATCGCCGCCTGCAGCCCCGCCCGAGGGATCTCCAGCATCAAAGCCGCCCAGGTGGGCGGGGGGGGGCAGAGCACAACCTGAAGCAGCGGGACGCAGCAAGACATGGTGGCACCTGAGCCGGACGCCCCCAGGGCCCTTTCCCCCCACACCTTGCCCTGTCCGGGAAAAGGGCTGAGAGAACAGGAGGGGAGCGGGCGGATCGGCCGCCTTGCCCCCAGCCAGACCATTGGGTCCATCGAGCTCGGGGCTGCGGACACGGGCTGGCAGCAGTGGCTCGGCGGGGTTGGGGACCAGGAGATGCCGGGGATGAAGCCCAAGACCATGTGCTGGCAAGGCAGGAGCTGCGGGGCTTCCCCTAGAACCCCCGCCTTGCACAATCCCGCCCAAGCACTGCGAATTAGGGTTACCCTGCGCCCGGGATTTCCCGGACACAGACGGAAATCGGCCGTCGGAAACTGTCTGGGTGGGAATCGGGTTTTTTATGTCCGTGAAAATGTGGGTGTATGGCAACCTATGCCAGGAGTGTAGATTTTGACGAATGTCATTAAAAATAGCTCAAAAACTTTTCTATTTCCCTACATTTTGCAAGAAAGCAAACTTTGGGTGAAACTTTAAAAAGCTCAACAGCTGGTCAACTGGTCCAGTTCATCTCAAAAGTAATATACAAGCTTATGAGTTGCGCAGGTAGAATGCCCACAAAGCAACAGAGAAGCAAGCAGCATTCCTCCTCAAGTTTCTTTCCATGTTACTTTGCATTCTCATAATAAACTCAAAACCAGATCAACTTCAGAACTTCATTGACTACTTTGAAAATATTGTTGAAAATGCTCCCACCAAGCAATGTGTATGACACATTTATAATTCATTGCTTTGAGTGGCAATTAATTAATTAATTATAAATTTGGATACAGTCCCTAGTATGTCATTCAGTTTGACATAAGCCTTCTGTCAATGCAATCCTCACATCATTTTTATTTTTATCTAATAAATAAGAGAACTGCGAATGTGGTTTGTCCCAAGTCATGCCAGTGAGGGAATGACTGAGAAGTGAACCTCATGATTTGGTTGTAAAATAATTGTCAGAATCCTTTCCAAAATTGTATTTGTTCTAACACAATTATTTCCAGTTGTTTTTGCCAACTGTGCTCTAATTCAAAATAATCTTCAAAATATCTTCAAAAGTAGACATGTAAAATCATCCAAAACTGGAAATACCACACATATTCATATTCAGGATTAAACGTTCATTTGCAGAATGGAACCCTTGCTGTCTGGTTGTGTAGTTTTCTGTAAAAAGATGCATAGTTGAACATCTACCCACACAAAGAAATACTGCTTATACAATTTATTTAAAACATTTGGTTAGTGGCATCTACAAACTCTGAATACAAACATCAAGTGCCTTATGGGAAGGCATGTGGAAAGACTACCAGACGCTACACCTGCATGTGTGGATCATAGCCCTAAAGGAAGAGGTGATGTTACAGTCTGTTCATGCAGCCACTTTCTCCCAGAACTGAATTGGGAGGGGGGACGGGCGTTCCAGAGGATTGGCTAGCAGACAATGGAGCTCCATTCATAAATGCAGTCAACAGCAGACTGATCTGGCCATGTATATACACACCAGACTTTCAACTTGGATACCAGATGGCTAGGAGGTTCAGAACCCATGAATTACCCCAAAAGGAAGCATAGAGATTAGCAATATAGAAATATTTTCTAAAGAACCCATGATGCTAATCTTAATTTCCCTTGTTTTTCACATGTTTCCTAATATACAAAACCATTCATTTTGGAGAAATTTACGATATGAAATGGCTTGATATTTTTCTACATGTGTACCTTGCAGTGTGCACATGTATACCACATGTGCACTACGACCCTAACCATGTCACCTCAGAAGTAATTTCTGTTCCATTTAATAAGGCTTACTGTCAGCTAAATGGGGTTAGGATTGCAACCTTGGAAAACTTTTCCTGCAAACTTATTGTTAACAGCAACACAATTTCTTTCCTGGTATAATGTTGAAACAGCTAAATAATTAAATTCTAATATCAGGTAAAGTCTTTAAACAGCATTCATGAATATTGGTAAGTCCATATTAGACATGTCTGTCAGAGGGAGAGAAAGGGATTCAGCTTGCAAGGCAGGTCACTATTGTTATCTTCCTGTTGTGAGAGGCTTGGCTGAGAAAGAGTGGGTTGCCTAAGGCCACCAAGTGAGTTCATGGCTAAAGTCAGAGGTGAACCATAGTTCTCAGCTTGCCTTGTGCCTGCCACGCAGCAGTTCACTTCACTCGCACTCATGTGAGATGGATGTGATGCAATGGATAAAAAGATGGGCTGCCCAGCAGTGATGCTCACTGGGCGAACTTTGTCAAATGTCTAGCCTCCTGCAAAGATTTAATGGAGAAATCAATGGACAAAACTAGAATTGGAAAGCTCTTCCACAGTGAATACTATTTTAGAGATGATTAATAATCTGATTCTTAAATTACATTTTTCACATAGGTATGGGTTCAACTCACAATAATGAATCTTTGCCTTTTAAAAATCACATCTGTGACCTGACTTTTGCATTCTTCTGCTGACATTATGCTAACTCATTGTCCTTAGATTTAAACCCAATGTAATGTTTTGATATTCACAAGCTCGACCATCTTGGTTTGGGTCTGTCAAGTCAAGGAGATCCCATAAATCTTTACACCACACCAAAAGCATTAAGAGGGAAAATGCTATGGGCTGCTAGACATCAAATTTTCCTCCCTGTTTTAGAAAGTCAGTAGTGTGTGCTCTGGTTTTCAACTGGGATTTTAATAAGCCAATGGAGATTAAAAATAAGTAACCTTCTGTATCTTTGCTTAATGGTAATGTTTAACCCAAACATTTAACTGCCTTTTAGTTACATTTCCTGACCCTTAATGGGGTCAAATGCCCTCCTTTTCATCTGGTTACAAATTCTTGGGCTTCAGACGGGACAGTCAGAGGGACTCTTTAAAAAAAGTCATTTTCCTTTTAGATTCCTTGTTTATTCTAGAAACCACCCCAAGCATGCTTAAGATATTCTCCTGACTTGCCTTACCCAATGGGATTGTCTGCCAATAAAACTCACACCCAGTAAGATAAATTCTTCTCTCTTACTCACAGTGGACAGTCTTATTTACTTGGGATTACATGTGTGGGTGACTGGGAGCACAATTTGTTCCATTGATTAAGCTACTCAGGCTGCATCAATTCCAGGCAGTATTTGGGGCCAAATGAGTATGGGTGAACTCCCACTTATGGTTTTCCTTCAGAGATAATATCTCTTTGTAGACGCAGGGCATCTGCTTTGCTTCTGCTTCATCAGCTTTGCCTCTTCAATCACACCCCACTGGCAACCATTTCCCCACTTCACATAGCAGTGAATGGTCTCTCCCAACAAGGAAGGGAACACAGATAGCGGTGCTATGGCCATCTATCAACTGATCTAGTTACTCAAAAGCCTAGAACCTTGTGGTGATTCCCATAATGTTGCTTGTCTAATTATCTTATCCTCAATACCAGGCAGCAGACAACTTTAAACCTGAGAGCGGAGGGGCAACCTTATGTCTGAACTGAACAAGCACAGGAAATCATTGTGCAACGTGCAATTATTGTGCAATCACCAATTTATCTGGTATCTCCTTCTTCTCCCTGTCATGTGGAAATCTCACTAAAACAGGATTTCTTCCCATGACACATTGAGACCCAGCAGTGCTGCCTGGAGTTATCAGATGTTTCACAAGAGCCGCTGTTGTGAGCTGGAAGTGAAACTCTTTGAGGCCAGTACCTGAAATCTTTGCATTTCTGGTGCCTGGCAGTGGCTAACTGAATACTGAATATTCAGCAGTAAACACCAGGTTTCCATGGGGAAAGTGGCAGGATGGGCAGTGTGTGTGGGGACCACTCAGACCTGTGATTTGAAATCACTTGAAATCATAGTGCAAACGGAAGTTAGGTTTTGTAGAACTCAGCAAGGAAGAAGCATAAGGACAAAAGTCATTGGCTCTGGTTCCACGTACCGTTGGGCTCCCTGCCTTCTGCCCTTCCAGTTCCAATGGACACCAGCCACCACACAGTGATGTAAGTAAATGTTTGGTTTTCTGGTGTTCCCAGAGCTCTGTTGTACTAGAACCCTCAAATGCCATTATACTGCCACTCTGAATTCAAGACAAAACTAAACATTACAAGGAAGACAAGGGGGTGGCTGTTGCTGCAGCCCCAGGTCCATATTAAGTTTTCCCCTCCCGGTCTGTAATATCCAGTACAGCTTACCTCATGTCCTGACATCATTACAGTGTACACTACCAGGGACTGCAAAAATGCTTAATTGAGGCATGGAAACACACAGTGGAATGACATTCGGCCATGGAGTAAGTTGTGCTAGATGTTACGGTGGAATTCAATTTAGCTTGGTCCTTTTGGGAAATAGCTCTGGGTTCCTTGCAGTTAGCATTGCATGCAGATTAAATGTTTTGCTGGAACTATGTAGTGTTGGTACCGAGAGGGATGCAATAAGCATTTATATAACACAGTTTCTTTATTCAAAGTGCTTCATGTACATTATCCTGGTGTAATCCTCACAGCTCTGCAAGCAGAATGATTGTCCTAACATTAAGACTGAGAGGTTGAAACAGAATGAATGACTTGCTGCTTAAGGCCAACTAGCCTGTTCATGGCAGGGATGAGAACTGAACCAGGGACATATCCTGATTTATTACTTTCTCCATTACATTACCTCTCTCGAGCTTGCCTTCTGA